ATTTCTTACTGCTGATCACTGTAAAAACATGTGGATCAGCTTTCCATTTCTCTTATGCAGATCATGATAACCTGTAGAGTAGAGTAGAGTACAATCATTTGTGCTATTGTTTTTAATTTTCTAAAGCACCTTGATGACAGTGAGTGTTCAGTGGTGAAGCATCCTCTATTGAACCACCCTTAGAAAAGACAAAAACAAAAGAACCTTGCCAAGTCCAACTTCATATAGGTAAAAGATAGATAAAATTATGACTTACTTTGGACTTGGCATAAAGAGCTTCCCTTAACCCCCTGCCCAAAGGGATACTGCAGTTATACTACATACCCATAGGCACCACAATGAAAATTGAAGCTTATACCTAATTAAGGTTTTATACACACCAGTTCCCCCAGTAAATGCAAATTTAAACAAAATTAGACATGTCATATGTTGAAAATGCTCATGGCAAACAATCATTTTGCATTCCTGCAAATAAAATTGTTTTATACTGTAAGCTGGAGGCGAGTGTAACTTATTTTTGTAATAAAGTTTTTATTTTTTTTATGTGTCATTAATATAAATGTGTGTTAGTACAGAGATCTTCTGGTTAAAAACTTAGAATCGCACACATTTCAGTATGTTTACTTGTATTTACATAATTTTTAGAATAGTGGTTGCCAATAGCCTGTATGTTTCACATTAATTGATTTTTTTTTTTTTTTATCTTAATAAACCATTTTAGTATGTTGTATGTCAATTACTGGGATAGCTGGGACATGAAGTGTAATTTAAAATTGTCAAGTATTCATTGGAATATGTAAATGTGCCTTGCCAGTTTTGAACTTTAAGACAAAGAAAGTGAATGATGGTGAAATGCGTAAGAGACATTTGCTACCACAGTTTCATATACTGCCCTTGCTAAAGAAAAGTAACTTTTTCCTCTGATTTGAGCATAAAAGTATACAGTTGCGTTAGCTTCTGAATTTTCAAATCTAGTGATAGAATTTTAGGCTTATGGAAAGTGGGTTTGCTAATTGTAGCCTTAAGTATAATACTGAATTTCAATGTAATCCTTGGTGCTGGCATTCCCAGTGCCAAGGAGTTTAAATGCTCCCTTCAAAGAGGTTGCCATGCCTACTGGCACTTTTACTGTCATATGGTTTTATAAGGAACGCTGTCAAGATGTGGAAACCAATTTTGAACTTGCTATAAAATGAAAACACTGGGGGCTGTAGGAGAGGGGAAGTCCTCAGATTTCTTATTCTTGAAATCTCTCCATTGCTGAAAAACTTAAAACACTTGTGGGATCACAAGTGCTAGTGACTAGTTCGTAGTCTGGAAATGTGGTGGTGGGAGGGAATAACACATTTATGGAATTATAACAGTTGATGGAAGTGCATAAAAACATTGCTATTAAGGCACTACATGTGTTGAAATTGTGGATCATATCCTTAATTTCAGCTCTGATAAAAGCATAGGGGATGATTTTTTTTTTTTTTTAAAAAAAAAAAAAAAAGGCAAAATTGCCAGGAAAGTGTTTGCTTTTAATGGAATGGAAGCAATGGTGAGCGAGCAAAATATCAAGATCTTGACAGTGTTCCCTCTAATTATGAACTCAAGCCATTATAACTTTTAAAATTAAATATGATTTGCACTGTTCTGATATTGGTGCAGTTTTTTAGCAAAATGATCAGAAAACTAAATTGCATGTGTTGATTAATATTGTGGAAAAAAAAAAACTAAAATCAAAAAATTGTTATTTTCAAAGCTTTAAATTTGATTGTGTAAAGAAAAACCATTCATTATTAAGTGGAAATACTGGTGAGAATGGGCAAGTGCATATATACGACATCAGTTTGGTTGCACTTGGGTGTTGGTAAACTTGAAATGTTGTACAGCAATAATGCATCTCATATGGGTGCTTTGGTGACGAGTGGTCATATAACACACAGTTCTCTTTGGCATGTTGAAGGCAAGTGTTGACTTAATGTATTTTATGCTGCCTCTATTTATTCTCACAGGAGGCTTTCTTTACTGAAACACCTGCAAAGGTTTGAGTATAAACTAGCATAGTTCCATATTGGTTTGTAATGTGTTCCTAAATTTGAAGTCTAGTTGAATTTAATAAGAAATTGGAAACTGCTGCTGCTGCTTAACACTTCTGGTTTATAAACACTCCAATACACAGCTTTTTAAATTATACTCTTGTTTTAATATTTTTGTTTGAAGAGTTTCATATAGGACATACAACTGTAATTTTTTTTTGTTGTTTTTGCTTTTTAAAGAGGAGATTTGTTATGACCGAGAACTTAAGTTTGTGTTTTCAGTGTTGGAGGAAGGCTGTTTAACTACAGATACTGAGACCAGTTTCTGAATTTCTGTGTTGTACAACTCTTACCTAAAGACTGTCTTAAAAATCTAAAATAAGGAATACTAATTCTGTTCTTGTTGGGGATGAGGGATATGACATAGTCCAAGATAAGCCAAGCCTCCTCTAAAGGTAGGATTTCCAACTTAATATTTCAGTATAGAAATGTTATATATGGCTGCAACTTTTTCCATTGTGCCTTTGAACATTTTTCAGAGGCTTAACCTTTCTGTTCAGCCTAGCAGTTATTTTGATGCTTCCATACATCAGTGAGAGGACATTTCTCTTTTTTGAAGACATAAAACTTAAAGGCAACATGGACATAAACACATGTAACATTTTCTGGAAAGAGTGTGTTCAAATTGATACATTCCACAAAATTAAGACTGTTATTCCCTCGCTCGCATTAGTGAAAACTTAGTGGAAAATGTTAATTGTTTAAAATGGAATAGCAGGTTTTGGAAGTAGACAATAAGGCAATAAACTTGATAATGTGTAGTGTTCTGAGAATTGGAATTGGTAAAGTTGGAGTTTGAGATTGTGTTCATAGCCTGGAGCTTATGAATCTCAGCGTTATGACTGGCTGTGATGGACTTAAAAGTCTGTCTTCACCGAGTGTCTTGCTGAATTAATTCCAGCACCAGCACATGACATCTCTTGGCTGGGGATAGCTAGTTTCATTAGTTGGGCAGAGGAAATGCCAGATTGTACTGTCATTTGCTCTGTCAGACAAAAACAGTATGTGGCAACAGGAGAGGAAGTCAAGCTGAAGTTTCCTTGGTCCTTAATACAGGTAGTGGGAAGAGAAGGAATAAATTACTGCTACTTTACAGCCATCTAGTGCAAACAAACATAAAGCTTCCTAGAAGCTCTGATGTTAAACTTTTTTCTGGGAGACTGGTTTTCACATAATCACATGATCAACTCTTTGCAAGTGTTTAATTATACTTCCTTGTGTTATAAAATCCACGGGATGGAGTGACTTTTCTCCTTTGCCTTGACTGTTACAATAGACATGTTGAAAAGTGCCACTAGGACTAGCCTGTTAGTTTATTTGGAATTTGGAGAGAGGGGTGATTGCCTCATGTAATGATACCTTTTTCTCGCCAATATATAAGTGGTTACTAGTTTTTTCCACAAACAGACATATTTTTAAACAGCCAGCTCATGAGTGGCTGTTGCACAGCTGAGCTCATCTGGAAACACTGGGTTATATTGATTTTTGAAAGTTATCTTCATGAAAGCTTCTTTAGGTGGTCAGACTTCCAGGTACCTGGTAGAAGCTTTTTAAGAAAGAATAAAATCATCTGACAGTCTAGAAAACACAATCATAGTGTGTGGGTAATAGGTAATTAAATACGGCTTGAATATTTAAAGTTTTGGTTACAGGAGACATTTCAGTTCTAAGAGTTGTTTCGTTCCTGAATGTTCATGAAACTTAGTGTCCACTCCAAAGCCAACACTTAATTTCTGGTAATCATTCAGGTAAAATTTGCAGTGTCAGAAATCTGGATTCCCTCCAGTCTGAGAACCATACATTTGTCTGGTTAATGGTGACAGTTCACTAGTTCACTATCTGTGTTCGCACAGTTAGCATGACAATACAATTTTACTTGTTTTGATCACTAATATGTAGAAAATACATTGAATCTCACTACATCCTTTCTTTGCACTAAGGAAGTTATGAAATGCGTTCTTAGCTCTGCTACACAGCCAGTAGAATAGCCTATGGCATTTGACTGCACAGGAGATAATGGTAAGTAAAAATAGACATTCTAGTACTTAAATGATTTGCAGTACCTAAAATCCAACTTCAATAGACTGTTTAGTTGACTCCTTATCTGCAGTTACTAAGGAGGTTGTGGGTTTTAACTCTTTAATTTTAGTGTGTCCACTTCAATGCTAAGTGAATGTTGAGTGTAATCATCTGATACTGTTTAATGTTACATACTTTAGTTCTAATCTCCAAAATGCTTCATAGATAATTCAGGATGTATTTTTAAACTGATGGATTAGCAATCATAGTAGTTTAAGGGATTTTCCATGAACACAGTCATTGAAAGCGAGGAACTGGAATATATCAGGTCCCTGAGTTCCTGGTTCCAAGTGTAGCATTTCCACTGTTGTAAAACTGTATTACTAAAGGTAGCTAATTTGGGATTAAAAAGCGTCCTCTGTGAGAATTGAACAAAGGCAATTTTATAGATGTTCCATTAGTAAATGAAAGCTTTTCTTAAGGTGCAGTTACAGCATACTTAAGATTGAAGCTCTGTATTACAAAACACTGGTGAGAGCTAGCCTAAAAAAAAAGAAAAAAAAAAAAAGATAATTAATCTTTTCATAATGCAGATATATCACAACTGGAAGATTATTTTAATCTTTAATATTACGGCACTTGAGATGACAAGTAAAATTACCTAGTCCCTGCATCTGGAAAAGCTGAAGTGGCTATTAAAGGCTGATCTTGTTTCAGATTGTGGTCAAAGGTTTCATTTGGATAGTACAATTAAACGTTTTTCCTCCGGTGCGAACAGTTGTTCTGACAAGCTAACCTGTTTCTGACCAGTGGTTTTCAACAGAACTTTTGAGCTCTGTATATGTGCTTAAATTGGTATTTTTAGCAGAAGATGAACCTCCAGTGACAGTCACTGGTGTATACGTGAGTAGTACTTTCACCAAGAAGTGACCACTGTGACTTTGACTTGAACTAGTCTAGTGAAACTGTCCTTTATCTATATTACCTACACTTCTACAGAAGTATGTTAGTTTACACTTTTGAATTGGTGAGATGCTTAAAAGCTACTTTGAAGAAAACCGTGGCATGTATGCTGTTAAAAATGTCAGAAATTTGCAAATTAAGAAATATGGTGCAGGTTTCAAGTTAATGGAAGACTAGAGTTGAATATAAAGGGGGGAGGAGGGGAATGTCATAACTTCACTTACTGGAAGTCCTGAAGGTACCACAAGGTTTAGGTGGCTGTAAGTGTTAGCAGTGGGTACAATGGAAGCTGGATTCATGTATCTGCTGCCTTGCTCCACTATGTTTTCATAATGTTAACATGGCCTCTCAGAAAATTATTTAAAAAAGAGCCCCACTATGGGATTAACTCCAGTGAGATTAATTTTCCAGTTAAAATTAAGAAGAGTCTGGAAGATCTTAAATCCATTGGATTTAAAATAATGTGTGTGTTGTTTGCAACTTGGTTTTATATAAAAGTGATCTTACAGTGGGAATGGTGTAGTAAATGGCACTTTGCATTTATTTTTATTTAATAGGATACTAATCTGAAATACACAGTTTGGTTTGTTGATGTTCTGAGGCATTCAGGTGGTCATGTTTCTATCCAAGAAAATGATCTTAATATTTGGAATGAACTGACTGGGATGCCTCAGACTCAATAGTTGCTTATTTGAGGTAGCTGGTGTTAGGTTAACTGTTGAAATCGGTACAGATATCTAATAGGAAGTACAGAGTTTTGTTTTCTTAATAGCAATATCTAAACTTACACAGTTTATTGCCCTCAGAGTAACATTTCAAGGGAGTACTGCTTTCATTGAGTAATGAATGAGAGGCAGTATAGAGATTAGTGGTGAGAAAGCACTGCTGACTAAGCTTTTGAAAAGCAAAGGCTTCCAGTTTGTAACGTGCTTTGAGGTGCATTAAGGTGTGCTCACCACACGGCTACAGATGGCACTGAGGTAAATCAGGTAGTGGTCACATCTCCACAAGGTTAGCTCAAACTACCTTCAGTGATGGCCTGTGCTAAAGCAGATTATTTGGTACTGAAGTATGTTAAAATGCTTTTGTAATTCTACTGTGGAGTTAGTAAAGAACAACTAGGATAGTAACCAGCACAGCTGCAGGTAGATGATGATCCACTCCGATTTTTGTAGTGTCTAGAAGAATAAGAGGCAGTCACGCATAATGTGTTTTTAGCATTCCTTAAATTTCTAAGTCTTTTTGAAGCAACCTTTTCCTATTTTAATATACAGAGATGAAAACATGTAAGGTTTCAATTCTGTATGCAGTTTAAAGATACAGGGACACATTAACTTAGCAATTCTGTTTTAAGATGGCTGGATGTAGCTAAAGCCCAGTAATAAAGGTATGTATTTTAGAATCGCAATTTTTTTACTCTGAAGAAAGGCCCTGCTATTAAACAGATACTCAGTCTATTTTAGAATACCTCTATCTGGCAAAAATGCATATATTGGAAAAAAATACTGCAACATCCCCCCTCCCCTGTATCTCAAAGGTGTTTAGGAGAGGACTTGAATATGCAGCACTTTGTAAGCATATGCAGGTTAAATACATGATAGATGTTGAATTCTTAGATATGGGGCAAGTGAGATGAATGCGATAATCCTGGAACTTCTGCTTCTCAAACACGTCAGAAATAAGGTAGAGAGATCTCAGCTTTCACAAATGAACTAAAACTGTTTAATACTCAGTTTAAAAAAGAACAGACATGTCTTGACTCGGACATCTTGAAGGGCAAAAAGTGTCCTTGAGAAAAGGAAAGCCTAGTGTCTTCTGTAAATAACTTTGTTTTTTCTAAAGCAGTGATGACAACCAGGGAAGTTCCTCCTCGGAGGCATACAAGCAAGCATATTTGTCTTGTATTTAAAAGGTTGACCTAGGAGTGATAGAATCACAAACACTCCCCACTTGGGAAATCTCTTAACAAAGCATATTCTTGTTTGCTCCCTGAGAGAACATAAGGTGATGGAACAATTGGGAAAAGAAATTGTTTACTTGTGGGCACAAGATGGCCACTAAATGTGCCTGAACCTGTGCTACTGGCCAGTTTATAGTTCAGGGTTAAAGGCAAAATAGCCAGGGAAACAACCTGGTAAGCCACAGTGTAGAACAACTTCATTTAGTAGCTGTGTTACAGCTTTGTAGGGTCTTTCCTGCTATTAATCAGTCTATCCTTTTCCTGTGAAAGGTAGGTACACTCTAAGCCAGGCACCATCTAGCAGCCACAGCGCGATGTGAAGGGAATGTCAGGGGATGGATCTTGCCCAGATTCAAACATGAGGTCGAAAGCAAACACAGGGTCCTTGGATTACGTGTCAAAAGGTAAGAAGATCCTGTCCTGGCTGTCAAAATCATCAGGGCCGCTTTATCTTGGTAGAAATTTCAGAAGAAAATTTTCTGGAAATGCCCTTGTAAGGGAGGAGGTTTTGAACATGGCAAAATATAAAAATGGTGAAAAAGCCCAGTTGCTATGCTTAATGCTATTTCAAATGTCCTATTCTGAGAGGTGAGTGATAGCCTAGAGCTGCTGTTTGTAAACCTGCTACTTTTGAAGTGATGAACTAATAGTCTCAGCCCTAGGGAAGCAAGAGTCAGTCTTGAATATCCAGTACACATTCCAAATAGGGACCTTTTTATCAGTATAGGTGAGGAGTTCTTCCATCTCTTTTTACTGATACAACATTTGCCACTCAGTGCCCTTAATAGTCCCTTAAAGGGTGGACAGAAGCAGGGTAGTGGAGGAAAACTGTTTTTAATGGGGCCTGATGGTGCCTCCTAATTGAGAGATGTTTGAAGGAATGCAGTGTTCATAGCATAGCTTGCATGTAAAGTCTTGAGTTGAATGTCTCAACGCAGGGGACAGTGAGAATAGGTGTTCCGTTTGTAAAGCTGGGTTGAATCAATGCCAACTCAGCAGCCCCTTTGGAGATTTCAAATCCAGTATGGCCCCAAAGAGCTCCCAAGTACACCAGCTTCTTGTACAGAGGTTTTGTGTTTTTTTTTTTTTTTTTGAAAGCGTGCAGTATAAGCCCAGCATCCTGAGAGAGAGAAGTGGCTGATCGTTTCTTGGGACTAGGCCAGGACTTTTCATTAAAGACCTGGTGGTGCAGGTGGCCCGAATAGGTATATCCCACACCTGAGGTGGTCTTCCTGTGCTGAGAATGAAGGTATTTATCTGGGCAATAAATGAACAGTATGTGTTTGGAAACGGACATCTAGGACCTCAAGAGAGAAGAGTTAAGAGCCTGTATGAAGGTTGCTGAATTTTGAAGGTGTTCAGTTTCCTCAGGTCTAGGCTAGAGCTTAAGACAAGAAAATGCACTTCCTTAATGAGCAAAAGGAGTTTTATTCTAAGACTGTCAAATGTAAAAGCCTGTATCAGATCGTAAGGAGAAGGCTGAAGAGGGAATGTGGTAAGGTATTATATACAAATTGTGGTTTGCCAGGATGGTCTCTCCTTACAGAGTTAAAAGAGGATCAGGTGTAAGTAAGGTTTTGTATCTTGTTCATCAGCACTCAGGATATACAGAAGCATTTGTTTTCACAGACAGCTTTCAGTGGGGAAAAGTTGTCATTTTCTCTGCAGGTGAGCATGGTGAGCAGCATCTCTGAAGACTCAGTGGGAGATGGGAACGATCCTGACTGTAGAAGTAATGCGAAGTGAATATCCATTGGAGATCGGTGCATGTTCTAAGTTCTTGGTGAAACTCAGGTGAGCAGCTTTGACTAAGACACCTTGGACTAAATGCACTAACTCCATGTCCTCTTACTGCCAAAACTGCTCCTCCAGATAATCCATGATTTCAATGTTGTTTATTTCTTTTGCTGATTTTTAGCTATTGCCCTTGGGCTTCAGGGAAGGAGAGAGGGTCATTACTGTAGCTTGACTTCCTCTCCAGATGTAACAAACAACAGAAAGAGAAAATTGAGAGGGAAGCACAACTGGGCATTGGTCCCCACCATTATGGTCTAGGAGAACACCAGATACCTGAGCTTTTCAGAATGGAGACTGGTATTCCAAGTTTCCTGACCATAACATATCTCCACACTGGATGTAGACAATACGCAGTATGGTGATAGATTAGTATTTAGTCTACAATTTACCATATCCATAATCAGTGGAGAACTTACTACTTATCCTAGATAAATAATAGTTATGAGACTCTTATATGGGCTGCTGGGAACCTGGATGATATTAGAACCCTTTCTCCATTTTGATATGAAACAAAATCTACTTTCTTGAGGAAGAAAAAAAAATCCTTCCCTCTTGCGTCTGAACTTCACTGACCTCAACTTGAGGTCAGTCTGAGGCCTCCAAGTTCTCTGTGTTGTTATGAGCTATCTTAAGTGCATCTGCTGAAATCCCAGACCTCAATCTTTACCTGTAACTCCGGGGTGGGGGGGAAATACTACATACTGGACCTACAGTGAATACCCCAAATTTGAGATTAGACTGGAGGACTCAAGTTATTAAGGGAAAGAAAATGTTACTCCTTACAGTACAGTTTTATAAGATAGTAAGCTGATTTTCATATTAAAATGCCCCCTTCTTAATATATACTTTAAAATACGTATGTATATGTAAAAGGGGAAGAACTTAATGCCTAGCATTTTAAGCCGTTTCTTTTATACTTCTGTAGAACAACAAAGATAAGCCAGGTAGCTTATAGAGGAGCAAGTCACTCAGTCACAAATCAAATATTGATTAGGGAAGTTTTAGAATAATAGAGTGTTAATAATAGTCCCCCATACAATATCAGACCTTAGTAGCTCCAATGCCTTTCCTAGTTAGGATACTAGTTACTTAAACAGAAAATAAAAAGCAAGGCAAAACTTTAAGTAATGGAGTTTCCCAGAAATTAGCGAAGTCTACCAAATAGTCCTTGTTTCTTGATTTCATGATTTGTGCCTTTTCTGGATAGCTCAAAGTCCTCTTACGTACCTAAGCATGCACTCTCCCTCCCCAAAGGACACTTTAGGGAAAACCACTGTGCAAGTGTCAAGTGTGCACCATAACCAGGAACTTCATTTGCAGGACCTCCGGAGGAATCGCAAGTAACTGTTCTTCGCTGCTCTGGAAGAGACCGTGGCTTTCTGTCCTGCCAAGGTACGTCTGCTGCTAGGCCTGCGGAGGGATCGTCTGCTTCTACAGAAGCACCATTAATGCCAGTGCTAGAGGTGAAGTGGTATATAATGATACATCACTTTTCTTTTAAATATGCCAGCATTTTTCAGGGGAAAAAAAGGGTTTGCCATACCTTCAGGAACTTGGGCAGATGTCTATTAAAAAGCATTAATCAGCTATGAGCTGTAAAGAAGCCTGGCCTTGCAGAGCTCGGTACTGAGCCCCACTTCTTAAATTCTCTCATTAAGACTATTATATCCGTCTTGTAGTGGGAGCTTTACCATGGGGCTGTATGCTCCAGTTATACCACAAAATAAGTAATACAGGCAAGGTGATCCTGTGGTTCAGAAAGCCTCAGAACTCATCCTTACGTATGAGGAGGAATAGCCCTCTGTTCAGGCTCTCTTAGTATCATCTTGTGCATTCTACCTGTTAACATAAATCAGAATTTTGTTGGTTTTGTCATGTATTCAGTATTCTTGATAGGGAAACATAACATTTATCTCCTATTTCTTTTTATTTGCTCTTTAACCATTCTGAAAACACCTCAGGTTTTGCTGTACATCATTTAAATGGAGGAAAATGTCAGATTGATTCTATACATCTTCAGCCAAGAAATGGTAAAGAACACGATATCCAGGTTGTACAACTGGTTCTGTAACAATTCCTGTAAAGTGTTTGATGAAAGACTTAACTGAAGCACAAATAACTTTTTGAGGGTGATAATTAACGTTGTTTAACTCTTACCCTATACTGCTTTTACATACTTCATGTTTTCTGAGAAACTGGTTGCTTGAGCTAAAAATATCTCTGGAATTCTGACCTGACAAAAATGCTCAAGGCATTTACTGCTGTATCCACAGAAGCTAAAGCAGTGGGCTTCAAGATACCAGCTCGTCAGTCACCAAAACAGATCTCTTCACTCTGTCTGGGTTTACGTGATCATTATCAGCACATCCAGTGACCGTGTTAGTATCACTAGATACTAACATACAAGCTGGCTCACAACAGCAGCCTTCAGTGTTACAGTTAGTATTTTTTCCGCTTTTGAAGAGTTCTGCATGTTGATTAGAACTTCTGAGTATGTGAAGACTTCAGATTGGGATTTTTTTTCACTCTTTTTCTTCTGAGATGAAAAAAATTAATCCCATTAAAAACTAGGGTTATGTCCAAATGAGGAAAAAGAATCACAAATCTTCATAGGCTAAAATGTGAAAATACACTGAGGTGGGGCACAAAGTAGTTAAGGAAAAATTTATGAAGGAAATAGTTCTACTAATAAAAATAATATCAAATGCTATTTTATTGAACAGTTTTGTTCCCCCTATTGCAGCCTGTCCCTGCTTCAGCACTACAAAACAGAGAAGATTATAAAATTGGAAAAGGATAGGGAGAACAACAAAGATAAAAGGTACAAAAGTGCTCTCATGTGAAGAACAATGCACTGGAGCAGGAATCTTCGTTTTGGAAAAGACAGTTTGCTCAGGTGGCTAAAGTATTTTGATAAAATGATAAGCAGCAATTGTGCTGAGTATGGAATAATTTTTCACCATCTCTTATACTAAATGAAACACATGAATGTTGAGAGGGCTGTGCCTTCCCTTACACAAGCTTAAATAAGTGGTGGAACTCCTTGCTGCATGATCTTTGTGGATGTTGAAGTTCATCGCTGTTGAAAAAGCAACTTGCAACTTAGGAAAAAGATTCTTTCTCGGGATATCCCCAAGATTGCGAATCAGAGTAAAAGAATGTTCCAGGGAAATATTAGCATCTTGCTATGCTTTTATAACTTTTTCCTAGGTATGCATCCCCTGATGGCCGTCATCACAAACAGGATGCTCACTTCTCTGAACTTCTGCTGAACCAGTAGAACTGTTCTGTGAATGCATAAAGTATCTCTAATGAAAAACTTACAGTAGCTTTAAATTCTCCAGGTCTCATAATCACAGTTATGAGGCATAGGTGCAGCAACACTTTGCAGTGATTTAACAGAAACACATGTCATCTTACAAGGATTTTTTTGACACTTTTTAATTCAGCTGAAACAAAGGAACATGGTTCAAGTTCCTCCTCAAACTCTCTACTTGAAAATTTCCCCCTTTGTCCTCAAAGTTAGTCAGTGGAAATTCCCTTCAGGACCTGACATAGGTATTTTTACAAAGTGTGTATCCAGGGCAGGGTCGTCTTTATCCCCAAAGTAAGTAAACAGTTTAATTTCCATTTAGACTGAGCTCTTAAGTATACACTATGGCATTATTTTAACTCTTTGCATCGATACAGCTCCTGATTTCTTTCATAGACTTTTTCTTACAGATAACATCCAGCTATTTCCTGCCCCGCCCCCTCCCCCCTTCCTCCCTGATCAGCCTAGGTTTTTGGAAGGAATTAGGTTTTCCAATCTTTCTCCTGCACATACCAACTAATTCAGCTACCTCACTTAATGCTTGATTATGGTGCATATCCAGCAAGCTTATCTTTTGCTCTGGAGAACCAATATAAAATTTCCATAGACTATACCTTTGCCAAATGTGGCCACAAACCTAAGACTCATTTCCTTACGCATTTTCCCAATGTCTTCTGTATAGGTCTAGTGCCCTTCTTTGTGCATATTCCTTAATGGTGTGTTTTCCTGGGCTTTTGTTTTGTGTGGTTTTTTTTTTTTTGTTTTTTTTTTTTTTTTTATTTTGCAGGCCTCTATTTCTTATTGTCTGTAGTCATCTTCTACACGCACCTTGCAACTTTCTGCTATATATCCTTTTCCTCTAAAGTCCCATAAACTGTAGTTTACAACAGGACAAATTATTTTCATCTCTAATCTTTAAATTCTCTCCAGTATCTAGTCTGTGAAGGAATGTATTCAGAAAAGTCCTTTCCACACAAACAATTTGAAGAAAAGCTCCTTATATCTACTAGTGGTGCTCTGATCCTTTTAATTTCTCATTGACAGTTGCAAGTTACTCATGTCAAAACCGCCTTTAGCACATTGCTATTTTTTTTTTTTTTTTTCTTCCCAATGGTGCATTTTCCCAAATTGCGGACCTTGCTTGTTCCCAGTGAAATTGTAATACATTCAGCACTTCTCAGCATCTCTCATTTGCCCAGTGTCATTCCTGTTGGGCATGCTAAGCTGACCCTCTGGAAACTGTCTTACTTGAAGTGGGTTCTTTCTTGAATTTTCTTACCAGAACAGTCTCCCTGCCTTTTTTCCTCTGCATTTTTATTTTGCATGGTGCCAGTCAGTGACCTTCGTGGCTTCAGTCCTAAATACAGCCTGGTAGGTATTTTCAGGTCTTCTAATGGAAATGTATTTTACAGTCTTAAAAAAAAAGATTAATTTTGAGTGGCCTGTTACAATTGAAACTCCTTAGCCCCTCACCTTCAACCACTTGCCGAATCTGTTTCCAGACAAACACAACATTTTAAAATCTGTGTAATGTCAGTTGGCAATTCATTCCCCTGCAGTGGTAGAAACCAGTGACCTTTTGAGAAGTATGCTGCCCATCTTTCTTGAAACAATTTCTCCCTTCCACCTGCCATTTTCCTCTTTACTGTTCTGGAGCAGCTGAGCTCCACTGTTGTTCTAGAAAACAACTTGCGTGGGATTTTATCCAGGAATCGAAAGCCCCTGTCGCTGTATCCAGCAGGTACTCTGGCCCCACGTTCTAACTTCCTCATCCAGTTTGCTTTAAGCTTGTAATACTGAGGGTGAACGTCTGGTCCATAATGTGGTGGTCCAGGAATCAAATCCAGGAGCCTCCAGTGCCCACTGGCAGCACACGTTCCCATACAGCTGACAAGCCCTGCTCTGTGTGGGTGGTACAGGGAGCTGACTCCAAAATGCTGTAAATCTGACTCTTGGCAGTTTATTAACTCATTAACAAATGAATGTGAATATTTATAACAGTAAAGCTAATTTTGTTTACCTAAGTGCTAATAATTATCCTCCTACCCAAACCAGAAATGCGTATCAACTGGTCAGCCTCTACTCTGCCCCCAACTTCTCAGTGCTGCTTTAATACAGAAGGGCCAAGAAATGCTGTTAAATGCTGATTCTTTGTTTTGTTTTGTTTTTTTTTTTTTGCATACAACTGAATTATCTCACAAACTGAAACCAGTAACTGCTGATGGATGCCCTTTAAGTTTTGAACTTAAGCATTAGTAGGCACTTTAGATTTAACTTTCTCAGGATCTGAGTCACCAACTTCAGTTTCACTTTTTTATTTAAGCTTAGCTATTTGCTAAATACTTAATGAATGTTCTCTAAGGTTTTCTACGAAGTGAATGAAGCTAAAGGTTAATAGCAAGACTTCTATTTAAACTTCTGGGAAGGGCCCACAAAAATGATCAGGGACTTGTGGGGAATAATTTATAAAAGAAAATGAATTCCCTGTTGGGTAAATATTAAAGATTACACTATGTAAGTTAGCCTGGACAACTGTACCATTGAAAAAGATAAAATATGTAACGCCTTGAAAAGAGCAAAAGCAGACTTGCAGAGTAAGTTAAATGCAGTCTGCTGGTGAAAATCTCTGTATTACAGTTCATTGCCTGTTTCATTAAAACAAGCAAGTTTTTTTTTTAAGTTAAAAAAAAAAAAGCATTCTAGTAAATAGAGTCTCAGTCTTATAACTTATATTATTCAGACAACAAATGTAGTTTTATGTGTTGAAAATCTATACTAATATATTTTTGAATGCTAGAATATGCAGTCTTCTGTTGCTACTTTAAAAAAAAATAATAAAAATGGAGAACTGACTCCATAAGAAGACTTGGATGATCAGTGGTAGATCCTTTTACATTTTAAATATTAAAATAAAATCTAGCTTTCCAGAATAACCCAGTCCTGGCCCCATTGCTTCAGAGCCCATTGCCAGATGCACGTTTCTCCCCTCAGTTCCACAGTTAACCAGACAATCTTCTGAACAACTTAGGTGAAGAGGGAAAGACTGGCTGTTGCTGGGGAATGGATAAAGTTCTCTTTTCTCAGATAAAAGCAACAGAACTTTAAAAAGCTGCTTGTCAGTATTTCACTTTTGTTGTGTCATACTTTATATTATTGGAAAACAAACTAGCTATGTCTTTCAGTGTAGCGGAACCATCTGAGTAGTCATAGGGGCAAGTTGTGCGGAGGGTGATGGGCAACGCTAACACTGCTGCCTCCAGCCGAGCAGGATGGGATAAAGCAGGTTCCTGTAGTGTCTGCCCAGCAGACATAAAGTCTGTGAATTGAAGGAAATTGCACAGCTTCTCAGATTACAAGGTACAATTAGTGCCAAATGTGAATGTGGCAGTTTTACACTAAACAAACATATCCCCGAACAACAAAGCTACAAATTAAAAGAAACTTTACCCAGAGTAGAGGACAGAAATGGAAGCAGAATTTTGACTTCTGCTCTTGCAGGTCTGCTGTACAAGTCACTTCCTATGTAACAGATACATGATGCTGTGACATCTTTATGAAATACTTTAAGAAGTACAGATTTTTAAGCTATTCCGTATTAAAAACTTTGCAAAATAAATGACTAAAAATCACAAGCAGTAAACCTGAGGATAAAGTAAGCAGGTAGCAACAAAATGCATCTTCTGAGGAAAATTAATTTCCTCTGAATACTGTATGGAAATTTGCTGTGTGTATGCACCTTGTTTGGTATTTTCCTAATAGAAAACATGTGGACTGACATGAAATAATATTGTGCAGACGCTCTTAGAAGAAATTCAAGCTCACCTTGGGCTTTTGCCAAGCTCTCTGAGAAAGGTCAACATACTGAAGTCAAACTGCAGCATTTCACCTGCTGTAGAGGTCAATGGAAATGTTGTGTAAAATGACAAAACGTTTGAGCAAAGATTCTGAAAGCTATTTTCAGCTTTTGGTTTCTAGTGATTCACCTTCCAAATACCGACTTTTCCTTAATAATGTTGTTGTGGGGTTTTCACTGAAGATTTGTAAACATGACTCTTCTGAACAGAAGTATTGCATATGCGCTCACATACCCTTTGCCCAGATATGCCTGTGTGGGGCTAGTGCAAATGAATATAAAAGGCAACAACAACTTCTCAAACGAACTCATAAATAAAAGCAGGTGCTTCTCCTTGAGCAGGTCTTTTTCATGTTTGTAACTCGGAAGTCCCTCTGTCAGTAAGATTTCCCAGGAGAAGTTGTTTAAGCACTTTTATTTTGTCCATTGAACTAATCTTTCCGCAACCAGTTGTGTCTTACATAACTTTGAACTTCCTAAGACCGAGTAACTACAGAGCTGCTGAAAGCATCCAAGCGGTTTGAAAGCTTGTGACTTACACTGAACCTGAAGGCAGTTAGTTATTCATGTGAAGTTGGCTTTGAACTGTCCTCACTAGCAATAAACTACATTCCAGAATTAGTGTATTTTCAGTGTCTTAACCTTAAACTTACTGATGTTAAGGTTTGTTACATTTCCTGCCCCGTTCCTTTCCTTTACAAGCAACGGTGAAGTTTTGAGAGGTGTTTATATGGTTTTAGGGTCCCAGTCACTTAATGATTCAGTTTAGTCATCATCTAAATATAGAGCATTTGATCAGCTGTAGCGGTTTCTGGCTGCTCAGCACTGGGGGCCCCTGTTGTCCAGAGCCCAAGTATTTAGAACTAGGTAAGCTTTCTGTCATCAGAGATCTTCTATTTACAGGGCTTAGCGCACGATGTTACGCAGCAGAGCTCGAAATGCCACCCGAGCGTGTCGCTGCAGGGCTGCTGGGAGGATCTCTCCGGGAGCCGGGTGCTCCCCCAAAATCCAACCTGGCTTGGGAGCTGGTCCTGCGCTTCCCCCTCTCCCCTTGCAGCAACCCGAGCCGCGACCGCCGTGCCCCTCCGGGCCCGTCCCCCATTTCGGCACCTCCCCCCCCCCCCCCCCCCAAAACCCCCGCAGCAAGGCTACGGCTCCCGCAGGCCTCGGGGCCTCGTTACCCGCCCCGCCCCGCTGTGGCCCGGCCGCCTACAGCGATGCCCGCCTGCCCCCCCCGTCCCCTCCGAGCTGCGGTGCCGGGGTGAGGGGGAGAAAGGAGGGACGGGAGCGCCCGGCCCGGCAGCCGCACCGCCTCACCCATCGCCGCCGCCACTTCGGGCTGCCCGCCTCCAACAACATGGCGCCGCCCGGAGCGGGGCGGGGGGGTGTGTGTGTGTGTGGGCGCCGTCACGTGGGCAGTGCCGCCGCCGTCACGTGGGCGGCGGGCGCGGAAGCGGCGCGGCCTCCCCGGCCATGGGCTGGGTGCGGGCGGCCGGGCAGCGGCTGCTGCGGCGGCGGGCGCGGGGCGCCGAGGTGCTGCGGGAGACCTGCCGGCAGTACCCGCTCTTCTGCTGCCTCCTCCTGGGGCTGGCCGCCGCCACCCTCCTCCTCAACCGGTAACCGGGCCCGGCCCGGCCCGGCCGGGAGCGCTGGGGCTGGGGCGGGGGAGCCGGGCCGGGCCGGGCCGGGCCCAGCGCGGCACTGCTGCTTTATCGCTCTGTCATCTTTCCTTCCTCTCTTATTTATAAGGTATCTCCACGTTTTAATGATCTTCTGGTCGTTTGTGGCTGGTGTCGTCACCTTCTACTGTTCGCTAGGACCGGACTCCCTCTTGCCCAATATTCTTTTTACAATAAAATACAAACCCAAGGTAAATACGTCCATTAGCGTTCTCGTGCTTTCTTTAAATCCGGTAAGATTTTCACGTGGCGATTCTTGCGTGATTCTAACTGCTTTCAGAAGTGCTGCGCATCAGTACAGCTCGTGTCTGCCAACCGATAGATGTTTTGTAGCAAATACGCAACGATTAAGACTTTGGATCCTTCATAGGCTTCTGCATAGTCCCGTCAAATGTACATATGTCTGTAAAGCCGGTTGTTGGGAGTGTTCACGGGTGTTATCTTCTGCTTCGCTCTTTTTTTTCACTTCTGGCATTTGAGTAATGAGTATTTGAGAAATTATGCAGCTGTAGTTTTTTTTTAATTGAGACTGTTTCTTTTTTAAAGGTGCTCTTCCTTTGGCAAGCCTGTGCCAAGTCTATTTTGCCGATCATAGTCAAACTTCTTTAAGTGGTACTATGTTTCAGAGGAAAAAAAAAAAAAAAAACAAAAAACAAAGCCAAACCATTCCCAAAGGAAATTACTTTTTTTTAACTTAAAATGGTTTAATGTAGAACTTCATAGGACTAAAAATGCACTTACAATAGCTGAAAGCTATGAGTAAGGTCAGTTTCTTAGAGAAACCAGCTGGTCTGTTATTATACAAACTGATGTACAGGGAGGTGACTGGAGATGTGAATGGATATCTCTCTCCTCAACCTTTGTTTTCGTGGAAGCGATTTTTCTGTTTGTTTCAGTTGTTTCTCATGCCATACCTTGTTATCTTGTTTTCCTGCTGGGAGAATGATTTCATTCTTATGCTGTTCAGTTCTCTGTAATTGGAAATTCACAAATGTATCCGTATATTAAGAGATGTAAACTTGTCCAAATATTTTCTCTTAGCAATTAGAATTGCCGGAGCTATTCCCTCATGGTCACAGTTGTGCTGTATGTGGAAAGGTCAAATGCAAGAGGCACAGGTAAATTAAACATGTAGCACATGTAGCTTAGTATTTCTTACATTTCGCACATGGCAGTAGGAAACTTTCAGTTAAATATTGTTACATCAACTTTTCTGTGCTCTCCTGCAGACCTACTTTGCTTCTGGAAAACTATCAGCCATGGCTGGATCTGAAAGTGCCTTCCAAGGTCGATGCATCACTCTCGGAGGTAATTGCTGCTTCATTTCTTTAGTACCTCGAAATTCAGTGAGCTTTTGTTATGTATCTCTTAGACCTTTTACTTCTGGTTCAGTAGACAGTTCAGATGTACTTCCCCATGTATGTTAACTTGTTCCTGTAGTCAAGTCAAAAGGATATATGGAGCAGATGGGTGAGATGGCCTACTCATTAACACAGATGTGACTGTTCCTGTAGGAGTGTGCCTAGAACACGGGAGAAACATCTGTGAAAATTGGGAAGTATATAGAAAAGAACAGTTACAACTGAACATACACGACTCTTGAAAAATTAAGAGTTTCAGCCTGCTTAGTTTGATAGTGTTTAAGAGATTATTTGCTCCAGCAACAGAATTTCTGTAATGAAGATGATAATGTGATGGTAGCTATTTAAATCATCAGATAAAGCTGTAACAAAATCTGTCTAAAAAGGAAATCAGTGGATTTACTCGAAGAATATCATAGATATCTGTTTTTTAATAAGACTAAATCAGGAATTTTGTTTTGTTCTTTTCTCTTTAAAAAGAGCTATCTAAAGAGTGGTTGTTCGTTGTTTTTTTTTTTTTTTTTTTTTTCCCCCCTTAATTTTAATTGATGAAATATATTGTCAGCTAAATAGATAATCTGTTGTCTTTTTTAAAGCTAGGTAAGTATGCAAGCACATACATAGCTTAATCTTTATGTATTTAGAATTCCAACTTTGGAGTTTTGTCGTAGGAGGATGAAAATTACCATCTGAGAAGTGAGAAGATTCTTGTGTGTCAGCCTTCACAATTAGCAATGTAGTGTATAAAGTCAAAGCTGTGTCTGTTTGTGGTATAAGCTAACACTTCAGCTCAGCTGTGTGTGATGGTGTCCTGGGCATGGCCCACAGCAAGAGCAGCAAAAGAATGAAAACCTGAAGGGAAGGGAGGGATGAACAGCTGAGGAATGTTTTTAAAAAACCACAGATAACAACTTGCTGTCTTCCTTTGGTTTAATGTAGTGACTCTGCAACTTCAGAAGCAAACATGCGTTGTTTAAAATTTACTTATTTTTTTAAACAATACGTTTGGGCTGAAATGTATTAAAATAACAATATTGCTGAATATAATTTCGATGGGCTTATTTTTCTTAAACCTTGTTTTAATAATGGAGTGTAAAGTAAATGCTTCTGTGCATGTAATATTTATAGAATTTTGGGTAGCAAATAGCTGTGACAATTTTAAAGGATATGGTAAATGCTGAAGAACTGGAAATTTTCCTGTTCAGCTTAAATGGGAATGTAGTGCTAAAAAAGTTCTCTGTATTATGTTATTCACAGGAGATACAAATAGATACCATAGTTATCTTCTGGAAGTGAACTTTGAAACGTGTTGTTACACATGGGCATTTTGTGCTTGATTGCTCTCGCTGCAGTTCTGCTTTTACTGAAGTGGTATGGGCTTGTCTTTGCTTTTACTTCAGTGGCATGTCCCTGGCCCTACTTTATTTAGCAGTGTAGACATGGCTTTTGTAGATCTATGCCGTGTTTATCATTCCTTTCTTTTGGTGCTTAACTAGAGGGAAGTGCAAGGCCTGAGTTCTGTGCCTTTATGGGGCAGTGAGCCAGGGTAATCATCTTGAATGGACCCAAACCAGCAGTCTGTTTAAGCCACCATTTTCACCTGTACGGGATATTATTTGGAGTGAGAAATACCATTGCATTGTTCCCCACTGTAACTCTTCCGTACTGGTTAAAAGGGTAGCAGGGGTTCTGCCTGCACTGTGTTCCTCTTGACCATCTGCTCTGAGGATGCAGCATGTAATGTGTGCCTGGAATTGGATAGCCTGCTTCATGTTGGAAGGAGAGACTGCTCTTACTTTCTCTTGTGGGTTAGTCATACGTTAGAGGGAAACTGATACAGTGAGAACTGAATTAAGATTAATGAGATTCTAAAGGGAGTGCAGAGTGCTGCCTGCTTCTGAAAAGCAGATTCTTCAAATATTTGGAATAATTGTGTCTTTTTTCATTATTCCAGATTAGTTTTGCTAGTTCTTCCTTTGCAGGTTGAAGAATTTTGGCAGTGTTCAAATTTCCAAATGTCTCTAATTTGAATCAGTTGTATAGTCTTTAAGCTTGTGTTTTCAAGTGCTAAGAGAATAATTTAATACGAACTCGAATCAGAAGAAATCCAAGTTTTTCCCACAAGTATGGATTTTTCTCTCTTGGATAGTGATGACAGTTTGTCTCACTTCACAAATTCTTAATCTTTTGCAGCCTTGTTTTGGTTATCTAGCTCCTGTATGTGGTTTAGAACAATAAGCAAAACCTGTGCTTGGACTTTCCTCCCCGCTTCATTTATGTTTGTTATTATAGTTGAACTCTAAACTGTCAACCATGCATCTATCAATATTTGATAGTTTGGGCTGTATCCTGTGCAAAAAGGGTGCAGTGGCCTAAATAGAATGTTGTTTCCAGTTTCCAAGGTGTTGTGCTTTGTTAGTTTCTCCAACGTTTTCTTTCTCTTTGAATTAGGATCCCATATCTGTTGGTCAGTTTTATGTTGCATATAATTTCAGGTGTTGTGAATTGTATAAAAGAGAATTTAATTCTGTTATTCAGTTAAGGAACTCAGCTTTTTCCCTGCAATCTCATTTTTGCTATGTGAGGGATGATTGCAAGTCAAATCTGTGGAAAGCCTCTCAGCTACTCTCGTTCAGCATCATGAAAGAAAAGCCTTAGTGGATCAAGGTGCTGTCTGTTGATCTCACAAATTTTTCTTTAATTCTTAAGTTCTCAGGTTCTTGCCTTGATTATGGGACCAGAATTTTACCTCTTCTTTTTTGTTTGTTTGTTTTTTCTTTTATTTTCTAAAAGTAAGAAATGGACAAATGCATGCCAAGAAATCAGTTACTGTCTGAACGTGCTCTTTGCCAGTCCTGAACACTTGTAGGAGCACAGTGACCTGCGTGCTTTTTTGTTGGGAATCGCTTGTTCTAACCTCAGGAAGTGGTCTCAGCTATCTAGCTGTACCATCTTTTAAGGCTTTTAAAATTGTCTCTTTCGCTTACTTATCAAACCCTTTCCAATCTAATTTGACCTGGTAGTTCTGACCCATTACCGAATCTCTCATCACTCACTTCTACAGTTCTTCCTCCTGACAACTGGGGTCTGTTTCATGGCAGTCCACAGAAAGCTTGTCTCAGCAGCAAAGACTGACTAGCTTGCAGTGGTGCAGTGCGTGATAGAAAATAATTTCTCTTTGTTTTTTCTTTAGCTGTTGCCTATATTGCTACCTGCTGCATTTGGTTTTACACTTGTAATATCTTTCCAGTTCAAAATTGCACACACGTTGTCGTTTTGCAAAATGCGTGAAAAAGAGGTAGGCTTTAAATGAAATGACTCATCATTTGTATTTAAAACTGGTGAATAATACTTTACAGACAAGGAAATTGCTTATCATTATCTGTCATTCTTTGAGATGTCCTGTCTACTCTGTTGGCATGTGTATGCAGTGTGAGCAATTGAGCTCTAATAACATTGTTGGTGTGGCTGAATTGGAAGTGTGTACACATTTCCTGCTTTCCTAATGCTTTATCAAAGTGCAGTGGATGATGTGTCAGTTTTTTTTTTTCTGATTTACAGGATCACACTGTTGGTAAGGCTCATAGGATTCCTAGGAAAACTGTATGGACCCTATGCCTCAAACTCCAGTTAGTGTCAGTCAGTTGCTTATTATTCCTTGGGTGCTTGTATTTTGCAGTATGGATGATTTCACACTGTGGCTTTTAGCTTCAGTACAGCACCTTGGTGCAACGGAGCATTGTACATAACTGCCTCTGCCATGCCATGTGTTTAATATATGTGCAAGTAGGGACTGTCTTCTGTGTGTCCAGGATCCAGGCATCTTTTTATTAAGGCCGTATAGGTAACTTGAGTTCTAATAGGAGGTGTATTGAACTCCAATATTGGGACCAGTGATACATGGACTTCAGGTGCATTTTGAGTTAAGTGTCTGTCTGTGTGCATGCTGCCTCCAGGTCTTTGGCTGGTGGGATTATCTGCATGGCTTTGTCCTGTGGCAGCATTACTGTAAAGCCTTTACTTATGGTGTGGCTGTGGAAGCAGGAGATAACGAGAGAAACGCTGGCAAGTGTGCAAAATGGTTCAGCTGGAAGTCAGTTACTACAAACACTGGATGAACCTCAAGGAGACCTTACCTAGAGTGGGATGGGTCATCAGGCCTGGTATCTTTTCTGCTTTCCTTGCTGATTAAATAACCATAGGAAAATGTTTCTCAAAGCTATACGTGTTTGACTTAGCTAGCAGTATAAATGAGATCTCTCACTGTTAGAAAAAATTCTTCTAGTGGCTTTAGAAGCCTCTGGACTGTAGACAAAGAGAGTGCCAACAAGTTAGGTTAGCATCTGATGAACTGAAATTGCAGTGAAACATGCACTGAAAGCCTGATGGGACAGTTCCAAAGTAGCAGTCATAGATAAAGAAAGCTCTTTCAAGATGAGTGCCTTGTGCTCCCTTTGAGTAAGCTGTCTTGTGCTGACCAAGTACACTTTCCACCCCACGCAGAAGATGGAGATACTGTCATTGCTCTTGTTGAGAAGGCACATAGCAAAAGTGGAGAAAGAAAGAGAAGGTATTCTTTAATAGATAGGCGCACAGTATGGATTCTTCTGCAGGTCTTTGCTTCTGAAAGGCACTTTTTTGAAAAGGTCTGCAGTTTGAGCCCTGAAGGAGGTTTGCTTCGTTAGAAACTCTGCATGAACAAAAATAATGTTGCAATACCTGCAAGACTGAGATTTCGATGGAGTACATTGGTGGGTTTTATACTGGTAGTGCTGTGAAAGGTATCAGGGAAATTGTTTTGAGTAGTCTGATCTGTTGCTCTTAAGGCCAATGGTCTGTGTTTCTTGACTGGAGCTGGATGTGATCTCTCTCCTGTTGTCTGACGATTAACTTCCAAAGAAGATTCTTGGGGATTTCTTGACCTCTTCTGGACTGGGAAGTAAAGCATCTGTTGTCATCTCCTCCCACTCTTCTACCCCACTTTTAATGGATATATGAGATTTTTGGAGGGGGACACAACATTTAGCTTACCCATCCATCATAAGCACATGATCATATTACAATTTCAAGATCTAGTACTGCTACAGCACATAGGGGCAGGAGAAAAGACATTGATGACTTTTCATATCTGTGTTGTGGACCATACAAAGTTATCCCAAACTGGAAAACATCTCTTCAGAGAGAGGTTGAAGGAGCACAATTTATTCTACACTCTTAAAAACAAAGGGAGGAAAATCACTGAAATAGAACGATTGCAAAAGAGAGAGTATCTTATCAAATTTGAGTAGGCAATATTCTTAGTAGTGAGGACAGAAAAAGAGTATTCATCAGCTAGCTGCTTGTCTGAAGAATTAAGAGGAATTAAAAAGGCTGTGGTGTGCATTTTACTGAGCATGTTTTTATCATCGTGAGTAGAGGAGAGGCATGTAGTGCCCTAAAGATAGTATAAATTTAGTAATCTTGAATTCTTGCAGTGCCTACAGTGTCGATGAGTGCAGCAGCAAATCTTGTAAGAAGAGTAATACTTGTTTTCATAAATGACATTTGTACATCAGCTGTTATATTCACCTTTCTTTTCAAACAGATATCACTTTTTTTTTGACACAGTGGCTTCTTCAGAAAAGCCTTTTCTTCTATAGAATATGGTACAGCAGCCTCATGTAGCAACACACATGTTCTGTCTTACCACCCTGATCAGCACTGATGCTGCTACGGATGAACTGATCTCTAAAGCAGTGATTCAGAGGGATAGGTTGTGACAAAAGAAGGTAGTACAGGTTATATCTTGGGGTTATAGTGAAGGAGGAGAAATCTCATGAAAACTTCATCCTCCCTTCTCCTTCCTTATGCTTATTGGCACTGTCTGATGTTGCCCCTTCCCTTCAGAAGTTTTCTTTTTACTAATCATGGTGCAAGGACTGTCGCAGTTACTTGAGACTTTTGCGTAGGTGTAAGGAGAGGTGTCGAGGCTGCAGTCTGGCACTACACCTTGTGTAAGTGGTGGTGGCCGCCCCCTGCTCACACAGGGACTGTCGCCTCCTCTGCCTCCCTTGTTTCTGTGACGCTGAAAGCCAAGCTGAACCAGGGCGCGCCTGTGAGATGGCTGCAACGGCACTGGTTCTTCCTGCTTAGCTCAGCCTTTCCAGCATGGAAAAGGCAACCACAGCCTTGACCTTATGGGGAACATGTTCGGTGGAAAGGGTGGAAAAGATTCTCCTACAGACATCCACGTAGGTGGGCTATACAGGGGCGAGGGGCAGGAGGGAGGTGGCCATGAGAATACATCTAGGACAAGGACTTTGGGAAGCGCTCTGGCTGGGATTTCAGGAGGTGGCTGGACCATAAGGCAGGCTTTGTTGAAAGCTATGGTGCAAAGTGTGGAGCAAGAACAATGTCTTTCCTAGGAACTGCTTTTTAGGATTTTTTTTTTGCTTGCTTTTTGAGTGGTGAGCATACAGGATTGACTGTCCCACTTTGAGGGTGGGGGAGAACTGCAAAAGGTAGAGGTTTGGATGGAAAAGGATAGAGGTGTGTGTAAGTGTAGGATGGGTAGCTGTGCCTGTGGGACGCTCCACACTGCATCAGAAAAGGGTGGGGACTGATCTGAAAAATTAGGGAAGGGCTGTTTGAGGCAAGATTACATTTTTCATAGTGTTTGCCTAACAGAGTGGCCATGGCACTGTGCTTCACCTTGTCGGGGATACTAGTGGCAGCCGTTTCACGTTGGCATCTGATGAAACCATCACTTTGCTCTTTGCCCCAAATACTGATTATTATGCAAAATGCTTGATCTTAAAATAGAATCACAGCATATGCATTTGTCTGTTAAAGTTTTATGACATATGAACTACATTCTATGAGTTTTGGAAGGTGTTTGTGTTTTTAACTTCTCTAACAAAGATGTACGGTAAACTGTTTATTTTTAAACTATTTATTTTGTAATGTGGTTGTCTTTATTCTGTGCAGGTACTTGAGCTGGTGCTAGAAAACTTTATTTATCCATGGTACAGGTATGAGCTTTACCTAAAAGTTACTATTTTTGAATATCGTAAATATTTGTCAAACTGTTTAAGAAATAGTCACCTGAAAATAAACATTTCTGTTTCTTCAGTAAAATATAAAGCATAGTTTCAGGTGCTACAGTTTCATAGTTTTACTGTCTCTTAGCAGAGTAGAGCAGATCTTTTAATAATTTAGGCATGATGAAATAGTTCTGAAATTTGTATTTCATCCTAAAAGCACTTTTAGATTATTAATTTTTATATGTTAATTTTCTATTAATTCTTACTTGGAAGTATATATAGCTTGATTAACACCTGTGTAAAACCTCAAGACCCCCCGGAAATTTATTTCCGGGTTAGAAGCATGCTGATCTTTCATATTGCTTTAAAAAAAAATAAAAATTCACTTTACAGTTTTTTAAAAAAAAAAAAAAACAAAAGTCCCATTCTTAATTTGTATAGAAAAGGTATTTTGAATACATATTGTGGGAGGCTTCTTGCAGAACATCTGGTGATTTGCTGAGTTTTAAGGCTGTGATTAGTTATGCTGAGCTGAATAAAATAGTGTATGACTAATTATTTTTTCTTTTTTTTCCCCTGTATTTTTAGATATTAATTATTCCTCCAGAGTACTTTTTAAACAAGATATTAAAAATTCTTCTAATAGATCATGCTGGCATTAGTGCCTTAAACCAGCATTTGCCTTAATTATGAATTTGACTTTTTAATTGGATGGATATGTTCAGTTTTGTGCTAAAATAAATTTATACTTTTTTACTTTTACTCTATGCTGTTGCTTTTTTCTGTCTCTCTGGGATCTAAAATTTTATGGGCAGACTTCTTTGCTTGATTTTTTTTTTAATTGTGGCTGATACCTGCATGTTTCACATCTATCTTTGTGTGATGAACACACTCAAGTATAAAACTTAACTTCTTGTGCAAACAGCAGAGGGAGCTTTAACACCGTGTATAGTGAATGATCAAGTTGGAAAACTCAAGGTTTTTAACTTTCAAATACAGAAAACTAGAGCATGTTCCACTGAGGTGTTTGATAACGTAACAGGTGTAAGGGAACCATCTTCTGCATTTCAGAATTTGAAATTTGGTAGGATTTTTTGGCTGGTGGAAGGTGTCTTCAGTGTCTTTGTTTTGGACTGACAAGGAAACTTGGATTTCATGTATTACATCTCTGACACACAAGACAGTGGAAGTCTGGAATACTATGGTGGGCATAGTAATATGCATAGTTAGAAGTGCAGTGCAAAATATACCTGGTACGGAGCCAGCCAGCCTAGATTCTGCTACGTCTTGCCCTCTAGTAAGCTTTATAGATGTTCCTGCCCTGTCTTTAGTTTTTACATGCCTTCGCCTCAGGATTTTGAACTAAGTCTGTAAAATCACACCATGCTCATCAGACCTAATAAGCTTTCCATGAACATGAAGTACTGGGAGTTCAGTGAGCTCTAGTGCAGTGATACCTGAGTAAATCTGCAGAAAACAACTTGGTCCTGGAAGGCTTTCTCGTTTTAGCTTAACAGCAGTAATATTGGATCCGGTCTCATTCCCTCTACCCATTCAGGTGTATCTGTGCTTTCCTGTATTTCCAGAACAGTTGTGCAGGGAGGCATGAGTTGTGTGTCTGTGTGCAGCTGTTTGAGGTCTGTCTCATAGGTCATGTTAGTTTTGACTTTTCCTACTACACTGTTTGCATAGCTCAGCTCACTCTGGAGAAAGGACTCTTGCATTCATGAAATGTTTCTTCTGAGCTAACAGACCTCAGTGGCTCTATGTAGTTCTTCACTGAGCCAAAGCAGAAGCCTTTGCATCCAGACTATAATTTATTTAGCAGCATGGGTAACCACCAGCAGGCAATCCAGACTTGCCAGACTAGGTTGGTAAAACAGTTTGCTGCTTTCCTTTGCAGAAAAGTCTGGCCATAATTCTTTATGCTAGTTGCCCCCTTTTGAAGTGAATGGAATTTGTGCAGAAGCTATCTCTCTCTCTCTTCTTTTTTTTTTTTTTTTTTTAATGCCCTGCCCACTAATTCTGGCTTGCAGCACCTTGCACACTCTGGACATTAGAGAGGTAACATAACATATCTCACTGAGAAGCCTGGGAAGTACAACATTTACCAGAAATGTGTATTGCAAGATAGAATAATAGATTTATTGCTCAGGAAATGAAGTGCTATAACCAGGGAAGAGCTGTGCTTGATGCTTGTTTCATTAATAAACTGTGTAAGAATTTGTAATATTTTATTAGCGGCTTAAAGTTTAGAAGCAAACATTCCTAAATTTGGATCAGGTTAGGGGAATGAAGATTAGTACTTAAAATCCAGTGAACTCTACTGAAATAGGAAGTTATACCTATGTGTGGTTTTTGTTTGGTATTTTTCAAAGTATTTATACTGGTTATATTTAAATATTTGTTTTAAGAATTTTTCTCAAGTATATGAGAAGAATAGACCATAGTTGTAAGTAAATCAAGTTTGTAGAGCTACAAAACACAGGTCTGAGTCTATTTATGCTGTAATATAAAACTATTTAATATCTTGCTTATACCAATCTCATTTTACATAGAAGAGTTTAAAGTTTGAATGAGTCAATCTATGGTTACTTAATTTTTTTAGTTATTAATGCTACTCCAACTCCAGTTCTCTCAGATTAGATTAGAATACAGTAATTACCACACTTTGTAGAAAACATTTTTCTTTGATAGTGTCAAACCCCATTTTTTGCACATATGGAGCTGCTTCTATTTAAAATGCAAGTAATGCAAGAAAAATTCAGGATTTTTGTTGAGTTAGAAACCATAGCTTTACAGTTTTATCAGTTTGCAACTTATTTTCTTCATCTTTCTGTTAGGAGTTGGCCAAATTTCATAAGAATAATTGATACACAGAGAAAAAAAAATCAGTTTGGTATTTGTATATGGTTTTCATTTATCAGCAGATCCCATAGGACTTTGCATGTAATCGCAATTGGGTGTATCTCATTTGAGACATTGGACTCAGTAACTGTTTACAATTAACAGACTAAGCCTTTTTCTTTTAGCAAATCTCTCCATTACACTGACAGTTGTGGTTTTAAGTTTTTCCTCAAATTCTGGGAAAATGCAGCCAATTTTTAAAATGTTTCCAAGTGAGTTATTTGGACCTTCCACTGTGTCACTAGAGATTTGAGATTTTACATGTGTTTGATGTTTTTTTCACCAGTCTTCAGTCTGCTGGTGATTAAAAAAATGTCTCTGCAAACCTATGGCACTTTGTGAAAGTACGTGGCATAAAGCCGTGTCCAAATTGAATTAGCCAAGATACTGGTTATCCAAGTGTCAATAAAATAACAACTTCTCGGTCCAAATTACTTCATGTATCTTGTTGTCTGTCAGATAACCGTAATATAGTCATACAATTTGTTGGTTAATCCCTTGGCTTCCTCTGACAGTGTAGGTATTTGCTAACCATATTGCTTCCAAAATGTCAGCTGCTGATCTTAAAACAAACCAAACCTTCCCCTATAGTGTTTTTATCTGCATATGATTAGCTGTTGGAGGATGGTTGTGCTCCTTATGCCAGCCTGCTTTCTTTGAGGTGCTTTTTCATGGAATTGGTTGCATACTTTGACCATTACGTCACCAGTATCTGTACCTAGCAGTTCATCTGCAGCATGCATTCCAATGCTATATAACCCAGGCTAACATTGCTTTAAAAAAATTGGATACTGAATAACATAAAATGATGTTATAGGCATAAAATTTCTATTTTTCAAATGTACTGTTGTTGCATCTATATATATATTTTTTTTTTAATGCAAACAATATTTGCATTTGCTACATATGCAGACTCATTTACTACCAAAAACTGTGATGGCTTTTACATACGGTCATAAGCTAAAGCAGAACGAAACTTTGTTTGTTGTGTCATTACTCGGCTATTAAAATGCAGTTTTACCAATATCTTTAGTCATACTCTAATGTCCATATGTACTTAAATGCTGGTAGATTTTTATTCTTTCTGCTGCATTTTGTGGAATGCTGTTATCATTGTCTCTTTTCCACTCAGTTTGGTTGCTGTTTCTGCATCTAAGACTTTGTGTATTTCCTGTTTTCATTCAGCTTCCCCCAAAAAACTTGGAGTTAGGTATTTTTCTTCCTGAATCAACTTAAAGTATTTTAGTCATGATTTTTCTCCGAGCATACTTTATTGCAGCAGGTGGAAACTAGCAAGCCACATACAAAATTTAGTTTAAATTCTTCTTTATTTCTTTGTTTCCAAGCAGAAACCATGTTAAATAATTTAAATTCTGTTTCAACTAGCTATAGGTTGAGGTTCTTGTTCTCTTTTCTTTGTAATTAATGGTTTCACATTTCATTCTACATCAAAAGTCGATCAACTCCCAAAAAAGCAAGCACTGTCATTTGCTGGTTTCCCGTGCTATGCTTTCTTTTCTAGGAAATGGCAATCTCTCTTTAGACCAGAAATAGGCCCAATTTTATATTTAAAAGAGAGACTATTATTGTATTAAATGGCATCTAAGTATTAGAACTTGTTGAAAAAATACCAATGAAAATTTTCTGTTGGAGGAGACTGAACTGAAATACAAGGGGGATGTTCCTATTTCGTTAAAAGGTACATGAGAAACTACCAATTTATAATAAACTTAAGAGGTCAACAAAGCCAGATTTGTACTAAACCATAAGAAAATTATTTGAAATCTTGGAGTATATAAGGTCTTGTGTTATGCAATATGAAAAATCTAATTTTGACTAACTTAACTGGGGTACATGCTTACAGTACTCTTAGTCCAAAGCTTTACTGATATAAATTCAGTTTCACTTTATGGCACTGAACTAGGGAACGTTCACATATGTGGAAACCAAGTTAGATTTTGCTCACTCAAAATCATGCAGACAGTATATTAGAGCAGGAATTGCTATATAATTCTGATTTACTGACGTATTTCTTAAGCCATTGTTGCATGCACAAACGTAGTGGGAATGCTGCTGTGTATTTTATTCGAATAGAAGACTGCTTACTCTCTGCCCATGATTGGTTGCTTTCATTTCAGTTAATACCAGTTGAAGTGTCACCATTGAATGTTCTTATTCCAGCTTTTAGTAGCACCAAATGTATTGTGGTTGGATAAACATACATGTATTTTAATCTGTTTTCTTACATGACATCCTTTACAACACTGCAGAAATATTACTGATGATGAATCCTCAGTGGATGAACTGAGAGGCACGCTGCGGTTTTTTGCGTCTGTATTAGTTCGGAGAATTCACAAGGTAAGGTGGCTTAAAGGTACTAACGTTGGTTTTTCCATCAGAAGTAACTGATACCATCTGTAGTGAATTCTTTTAATTTTTTTTTAAAATGGTGATTCCAGAGTCAGTCTTACAGAGAGAATTGGCAGTTTTCATCTAAGTTTCTTCTTTGCATTATCTGTTCCCTTCTTCTGGAGCTTATCCCATTCCTGGTTATAAACCATCTTTGATGATTCATCGTTGGAAGTGTTCAACGTCAGGCTGGCTATGGCCTTGAGCAACATGATCTAGTGAAAGATGTCCCTGTCCATGGCAAGGGGTTGAACTAGGTGATCTTTGAAGTTCCCTTGCAACCCAAACCATTGTGTGATTCTTGCAAATAGATATATTTTTCACACTGGTGCAAGACATTATTAAAACTTTGGGATGATCTTTTAGCTATTGTTTCATGATTTAATCCAAGTGGAAACAATTTTGAGAATTATTGAAAAAGAACTATTAGAAAATGCTTAGCACTGTACCTGTCTCATAGCTTCTGATGCTTAGCACTGTATCTGTCTCATAGTTTCTGCTTGCTTGACTTCTTTAAATGCAGGCAAGGTCCTTACAATTGTCTATAAAGAACAGACTGCCGTTAAGTGAATAGCTTACTAGAAGAACTACACCAGGTATAGTTCTTACATTAATGCGGTTCATAAGAAACATTCTGAAGACTAAAGATTCAAATTTTTTATTCGCTCCGTTTAATATTTTAGCACATATACTCTATCTTCTGGTAAAGTGCTTCAAGCCTGTTTTACAGGAACTGTTTCTAAGTTTCTGGCTGTTCTAAGCAGGAAGAGTTGCAAACTCGGTTTCCAGATATAGTCAGTGCTGGCCCCTTTGTTGGAGCAACTACCATAAATATGTGTCTCTTCCCCTCCTTAGTAACAGCAATATTTCCTAGGCTACAAGTTGTACATGTACTCTGTCGTGACTGATTAACAGCCTGATTTTGTCCTTGTTATGTATCAAATCCAGATGACTTTCTTGTTTAGTCTAACTCAAGCATGTTGCTTTGTAAACTGAACGTGGGGGAGGATTAGGAAAAGTCCGTGTAGTGCAGACATATGGAGGTGTGAAAGTAGAGTAAGTCTTTCAAAATGCAAATCTAGAGCAAGATCTTTAAATTTTAATTTGGAGTTGTAATACATGCAGGTGTTAGTTGCATTATTCGTAGATCATTGTTAATTCAGAAAATGATGATGTTTTCTCTTGAGCATTTAATAAGGTATTCATCATGTTATCTCAGATCAGCTATAGCATCTTTAAGTAGAGAGTTAATTTACCATATCTGTCTTTGACAGTAATGAAGTAAGCGTAGTATCTTCAATTCTATGTATCTGGGTAGACAATATGTGCAACAAAAACTCAAGATGTATACAAGTATTAAGCACTGTTGGGGAAACTACAAAATTAAGGTCATCACAGAAATGTATTTCTCTTTAAAAATGTTTAGATTTATTCGTATCCATCCTACAGAATAATGTGATTTCTTTTGTCTCTGCGTGAACAGGTATCTCAAGCAAAAAGATAGTCATAGAACCATTGTGTTTTGGAACAGAATTGGAACTTGGCATGCTCGGCCATGCAGGGGAGCACAGTGTCTCATGCGGTGCTATATTTTTCAGCTCATAAGTTGTTTTTTCTTCTGCTGAATAAGTGTTTCTGTGTGTGCACACACCTCCATACAGATTCAGGTAGCCTCAACTCATAGCTGTGATGCATATACTACTGAAAATGTTGTGCTCAGAAATCAGAGTTGATACTCAAGTTGTAAATAAAATACCAACTTTTTGTCATTTTAGGAATCTTGGTTAAAACTTCAGTAGTTATCTGAGAAGGGTTATGACAGAATGTTTTATAGCTTTTAGCTCTGATACAGTGTTCTTTATAACCTCATTTGAGGAGAAATTAATCACCGATTGCAAAATAAAATAGTCTTATACTTTTGCCAAACAGCTCTACTTCAATTTGGATTTATTATTAAATGCTTGGAAGCAGTAGTTCTAGCTAATAGAGATAAATTTTTTAAATTCAGGAGCTACTATGTGTAAGAAAACACAGACTGTTTTTTCCTTTTTTTTTTTTTTTTTTAATGATATCTTTATACTGCTTTGCCAAAGAATCTTCTACTTTTAAATTAAGACTTAAAATTACAGATTGCTTCAGTGAAAAGAATTAATTTGTCTTCTGTTTAAGGCTGCCTAGGTGGATTTTTTGAGGCATGGCTTTTGAACAAAGTAGCAAGCACTTTGGGAGAGTTAGCTCTTAAGTATATGCTGAAATACTTCTCTCTCTTTTTTAAAGTCTGGGTTTTCCTTATTGTGGCCATTTCTGGGTTAGTTATAGGTTTTGAAGGGAAAATGAAGAGTTTTCATTTGTATGGTGTAGTGTAGCTAGCCCTGCACCTGGTTGAAATTTTTGTCAAAAGTTGATGGTGTCTACTACACTGCCGATAACAATTTGCTTGCTGTGCTCTTTGACTTAACCTCGGCAAGAATAAACACTCCCCATCCCTCTGTTCCATAGGAAACTCCTGATTTGTTGAAATTACTGTTGAAATGAGAGTTCCAAAGGACAGAGTTTTCCATTGATGAGCAGAAGCTCCGAGTTTCTTGCTTGTAAATGGGAGGTGACCATAATTTAGTTACTTTTAAAAAGTTCTAGTCAATTGTACTAGCTTGTCTGGGCTGGCCAAGCCAGATCACAGCTGTGCACCTCAAATATTACAGGGGAGTGTGCAGGAATACACGCTATTCTCCTAGTACAAATGAATAAAGAAATCAATTTTTCTCACAGCTGTGGTCTTTTCAATTACACTGTCTCTTTCTTCGTATGACAAGAAGCACTTTTATGCTTCTGTTTCATTATTTAAGGTCTTTATATGATTAGTACTGAGCATGGACAAACTCTGTTAGGAAAGAAACTTGTTCTTTCCTAATGGGGAAAAAAAAATCCTAAGAAAGAAAAATGTTAAATTTTGAACACCTGCAACTGTATGCTGCTTCTTCTCGGATACATCTTATGCTCCTGCTTAAAATAAAGGGCATGCAAAGTGTAAATCTGTTTCTAGGTAAGTTTCTGTGGAAACTACTGCAGGTGATAAAGAAGAATCGCTTGAAACTTTACAGGCTGGGGACTGACTGGCTGTGGAGAGAAGCTCTACTGTGAAGGACCTGGCCCCATGGTAGACAATGTGCTGAATATGAGCCAGCAGTGTGTACTGGCAGAAAGGCAGCCAACAGCATCCTGGGCTGTATTTAACAGGAGCATAGCCAATTGATTGAGGAAGGTGATTATCTGCATTTACTTGGTGCTCTTTAGATGGCATCTAGGGCACGGCATCCAGTTTTGGGCTTTGCATTAGAAAAGAGGCATTCATAGAGTGGAGCAAGTTCAACCAAGGGTCCACCAAGATGACTGTGACAGGTGCATTTGACCTGTGAGGCCATGACTGTCTTCATCTCGGGAAGTATTCAACACCGGGGTGGGTACAGCCCTGAGCACCCTAATCTGAGCCTGTTCTGAGCAGAAGTTTGGGCTAAGGCATCCTGAGGTCCATTTGTGCCTGAATTGTTCTGTAATTCTCCTAATTCTCCTTTAATTTTTATAACCATCAAGGAAAGTATAAATGCAGGACTCTAATACAGTCTTTGATTAAATCGTAAGTGCTTTTTGTTTGCCTTATGTGCAGGATCACGTGATTTGACACTAACGGTCATCTTGATTCAGTAACTCAAATTTTCTTTTGGTTCTGCCATCACCTGAGCTGTGCCTTTTTTTTCTGCATAGATATAGAGGAGGGTTTCGTTTTGCTTTAACTCCTTGTGGACATGATTGCTGAGGGCTAAGGTATGCAAGTACTAGAAGCAGAGCGTAGTTGACTTGCTTTTGTTGGTGGTCAAATCTTTATGTAGAACTAGGCTTCATATGCTGTGACTTGGAAATGAAGCTGCATTACTATAATTATTGCAAAGGAATAATCATAATGGGAACAAGTTGACAATGTGTTAACACTGTTGTTTATGGCATTGTTCTACATGATGTTATGTGCTTTGCTCAGAAGAATGAGCATACTGTCAGTTCATCTGGAGGAGTCATGGGTTGTTTCTTAAGGGCTCATTTTATGGTTAGAGTGGGGACATATGAACAAATTAATATGTTTCATAGTTGTAATAAATTTGGGGAAAAAATAGAACGATTCTGGTTTTATTTTAAAACTATTCTTTAGGTGGATATTCCAACGGTTGTAACAAAGAAAATGCTCAAGGCAGCAATGAAACACATTGAAGTGATAGCCAAGGCCAGGCAGAAAGGTAATGTAAAGACTTAATATGTTGTCGGCTTCAAAGGGCAAGTATAAATGTTTCTTTATGCATGTTTGTTATTATTATATTTGCTAAATCTTTCAATTCTCACTGCCTTCTCTTCAAAAATAAAAAAGTTTATCTTTTTGCATTTTTCTTCTTGGAGGTTGCAAGGACAAACAGGGAATAAGTTACACTACAAGTAACCTCTCAGTTTTGATTTTCATTTCCCCATGTTGAAAATACTAAATTTCTTTTTCTGTATGGTAAACAGGAATGTGTTTTGTCTGTTCAGAGCAATCAAGGTAACTTAGCAATGCTTCTTGAAGTTTTTCCTCTGTATTCCAGATGAGCAGTTCTAAATGAAAGGATTTGCATGTCCATGCACTGTACTGGAACTGTAACTCTTACAGCTAGAATGATTTCACATCTGCATGCTAACATGAGCAGTTAGTGGAGTTCTCCAGTATGTCGAAAAGTGAGGTTTATGTTTATAAGCCATGGAGAAACTTTGAGCAGCAGCATACTTGCATGTTTAATTGTTATCCAAATAAAAATATCTCAACAAGGTAATGTAAAAGTGATTTTAAAACTGCACATTGAAGAAATACTTGGTAAATAGAAGACATGCTGTTGGAAAATAGTTATCTTTATTTTTTTCGCTGGCTGTGTTCCACATTGCTGTATCTACTAAATGTGGTTTCATTCAGATTGTAAGCATAGACGTTTACTTTCACTGGAGTCATGAACTTTCCTCCTGTCCCTCAAAACATCTGCTTGGTATCTATAAATACATGCCATTGGTCCTGTGAGTAATGGGTGTGAGTAATGAGACACAGTATGATCACAGTGGATGTTTTTCATGGCACAACAATTTCAAGATACTAGATTATCTTGCAGTGCTCTTTATGCCAAATTTTGCATTTCCTTTGATTTTTACTAAGGAGTTGGAAACGCTTTTCTTCAGCAGCAATAAACTGGATTTTAAATATATGGCATTGAAAATATAGCCGTTTTCTTCAGGGTTTTAAAGGAAAAAACTTGTTTCCTGAGGGCAGATATGTGAAGTAGGAGTTGAAAATTACTTTTAGTAGCATTTTCTAGTAAATGTTGCTGACTCAGTCACCTGTAATGCATGGTTCAGAGGCAGCTTTCAGGCCTTGCTTTGGTTGCTAGTTGAGCCTAGCCTTTTCTGTGTGTTTTTCTATATCCTTTTTCAAAGTGTTGCTTAAGGGGGGGCATTTCTTCTTTCTCTACTCTTCTTACCCTTACATCTCTTAGTAATTCCTCACTGTTTGCAGAGACAGCTCCATAATTCATTACCTGGCCTTGCCAGAGAGCGCGTTCCTCCTCTCTGCTGTTAGTGACACCCTCTAGGCAGGTTTGTGTGGCTGTATACGTTCCTGCATCCCCCATATCAGCTAATACCACTCCTGGTTCTTGGTTGTGAAGGACAAGCTAGCACACTTCTGTACTAAGTTCAGTACGCTGTAAACAAGCTTTAACCTTCTAGGTAACAGGTGTGTATTAAGTACCTGATCTGTGCCTGGTGTGTTTCTTGGCAGGAGGCCGTGCTGGATTGCTGGTGCAGCTAGGTGGGATTTATTACAGCTCAGTTCTTGCCTTTGAAGTGATTTGAATGAATATAACGTTTCTTCTAATTAATATGTATAGTTTTAAAACTGATAAAGCAGGTGTTCTTTCAACTCCATACAGCTGCTTAGAAGAGGCAGCACTCTTAGAGATCCCCATGCTGGTTTTAGTTTGATTTACTCTGTGTTTAAAATAGATATTCCTTCATGAGCGTTTCTAAATGTTCTGAGTCTGAAACAGGTATAACAGGATTGGATAAAAATTTGAGTTGATTTCAAATTGTGTTGTAGGCAAGTCAATCGGTAGAAGCCTGATAAATGGGAGACAAGGAAAAAAAGCAAGTGGAGGCAGACTTTGAGCAATATAGTTTCTTTAGATGAATCAAGATGCAGAGTTCTTCAATAATGATAAAAGAGAAAGCATTCTGGAAACCATGCAAACTGCAGTTGTTTTGTGAAGGAATTCTTATTTCAATGTGAGGTTTTATTTTTACATAGCCAGGCTTCAAAGTCTAAGTCAAGGTTCTTCTGTAAAGTTTCAACATTGTATCCCTTTGGCAGTTGTGTATGTACTAAAATTATTAACTTTGTAGCTCAAGTGAAAACCAATTGCCTGTTACTTTACAATGAGAAAAACTGAAAGAACTCATAATACTGTTTGTTTTACTTGCAGTAAAAAATGCAGAATTTTTACAGCAAGCTGCTTTAGAGGAATACGGACCAGAACTCCATGTTGCTTTGAGAAGCCGAAGAGATGAACTTCACTACTTAAGAAAACTTACTGAACTTCTCTTTCCTTATATTTTGCCCCCAAAGTCAACAGAGTGCAGGTATAGAAATTATTTAGAATTGTATTCATTAAAGCATCTGTATACTATGTAGTACAGTAATTTAGGTGAGTGAAAGAATGAACTCCAGAAGTCATCCTCCTCGTCCCTCCTCCCTTATCCCTTCACTTATGAGTTTTTTGATTGGTCTTAAAAATATTCTAGCATGCTTAAATATTACTAAATAATAAAATATTTCCCAGTAAGATATAATGGCATTGGAAACTTGACTTAGAAAATTATGTAGTCTAGTACTGGTTCCAATTTTTTTTTTTTTTTTTTCCCCCCAGATCCCTGGCTCTTCTGATAAGAGAGATTCTGCCTGGTTCTGTTTTCCTTCCCTCAATGGATTTCTTAGCTGATCCTGTAAGACTCTGGAGCACAGGAATAATCTTAATTTATCCAGTATTACTGTTTTGCTACTAAGCATGTTTGTGGTACAGCAAACGGTGCACAACGACTTACTTGCTGTGCGTTTTGACTGAGTAAAAGAAAAAGAAATGTTGTGACCAATGTTTTTGTTCATTATAACTGGTTTGAATGCTTAACTGACTGAACTGACTAAAATACAGTATTGGCATGATCTCTTACGAATGTATTTTTAATAAAGGACTACAATTCCTGTCGGATGGGAGAATGCTGTGCTAGTGTAAGCACCTTCAAGTTGCTGTAATTAGATTTAAACAAGGGCTTCATTGCTTGAACTCTAGCTGTGTGTACCTTTATAGCAGTGTAAGTAAACCAGCCTTTTTTGCAGCTGGATTGAAATTAATTCTTTTGTGCCTAATTCTGCGAATAACAGGGTATTTATTTATTTCTAAAGATGGAACACTGAGATATTTGAATTTAATTATGCATTTATTTTAATAGGCAAAATTGCAATACTTATGAAGGTATTACCTGGCTGCAAGGAGAAAGTACCATAGTTGTGGAAGTATTAGTAGTTCATTAAATCTGCACTAGTAGCAAAAACACTTTGTAGAGCTTTCCTCTCCTGGATAAAGAATGTTTCTGTGCAGGTCTCTTGAGAAATTCCCTGACTTGTAAATACTTGAGACTGTTGAAGATTAATTCTCAAACATGTGTTGCCAGGCTTTGAGTTTTTGTTTGTTTGTTGTTTTTTTTAATATATTTACAGGTTTAAACTTGAGCATAACATAGTAGTGAAATGATTTTCATCTAATTTGTTGAGTTTCTTTAGTGGTACTTTTGTATTGTGTTTTCTGCAGGACACTGTCAACCATTTGCTGCTGATCTTCATTGATGATAGTCCAGTGAGTACGGACAAAGTTAAAACAGTAAACTTGTTCACTCATTAAGGAAGCTTTCTTACCTGACTGTCTCTTGTTATTTTTTTTTTTTCTACAGCCTGAGAAAGCCACTGAGCCTACTTCTTCATTGGTTCCATTCCTTCAGAAATTTGCAGAACCAAGAAATAAAAAGCTGTCTGTAAGCAAAGGCAACGTTTATTTCATTTCCTGTTTTGAACAAGTGTTTTACTTTACCTGCTGTTTTTGTTCTACAACTTTGTGTTATTTATGTACTCACTAAAAGTCTGAAAATTGGCTGACTGCATTTTTAACCTACTAAGGTCCTGAAACTGGAGCTGAAGGAGATCAGAGATCAGCAAGACCTTTTATTTCGGTTTATGAACTTCCTGAAACAGGAAGGGGCAGTCCATGTGCTGCAGTTCTGCCTGACTGTAGGTAAGACTGCATGTATGTGCTGAGGCTTATTTGATGATCTCTAAAAGCTTTAAGCATTTGCGCATTGAAGTGAATATTCAGTCTCAGAACTAGGCAGCATTGTTAAGCAAGAGATTACCTTTCAGGATCTGTGTTCACTTACTTCAATGTGTCCTGATTCTTGAATGCTAATCTTGGCAATGTTGGTGTGGACCGTAGGTCTTATTTGTATTTTTGTTTCTTGATAAAGGTTGGACATTTAAAAATAGAATATTCTTGTAAGAAAAAAGTTCTGGCCACTGATACAACGTACAGCTGCCTTTTTTAATATGTAGTTACTAAAGTACATCATGAAAAGCTTCTCATGTTCTTTTAGCTTTAAAATTTTGATTTCTGTAAAGAACAGAAATATAACAGGGACATTAAAGGTGTTGAAACCTTCTATTCAGGAACCTGTACCTTGGTTATGAAGTGTGCCTTTGGGTTTACCATTATACAGGTGTTGTTTGAAAAGCCTTGTACTTTCTGGTGATAAGGTTTTATGTGAAGTTTCTTGTAAGTTAGAGTGTTTTATTTCAAGTTTTCTGGTCAACTAGTTGTTAGTTACTGGCTTACCAGAATAATGCTTTTTTCTGTTGTTTTTTTGTCTCTAGTAAACAAGTATTTCCATGTGGCATAGGAAATAATGGGTGTGTGTTCATATCCCAAGCCCATGTGTACATCAGGAAGGTGTGAAATTACATTAGACAGACTTAATTTCAAAATACTGCAGGAATAATTGATCACTACACAAGAGAAATGTAAATAATCTCCACGCATGCAGCTTCTTATGTGCTTATAATCCTTCCAAACGTTGGCTTTTTGTCAGAAAAACTCTTCTCCTCACCAAAAAAAACAGCAAAGCAATTACCTTTGCAGTGCTGGTGGTACCTGCAGGCGGGTTCTAAGCTGACCTTCCTAGAGCTCTCTAGAGCTGTTTCTTCTAGCAGTGGCTATTGCCCATGATCAATCTTTTTTTTGGAGAAGGGGGGGGCCATCATTTTTTTTTCTTCTAAACTTCTCTTGCATTCTTATAGGTGGCAAATTTATGTTAGCTTATAAAAAAATGAGATGTAGGTCTTTCATGTTATGCTGTCCCAAACTGTCTTCTGTAAGTGGTTCTTCACTTGATAGAAATATTTTGGATAAGAAGCTCTTACTGAGGAAAATAAACCAAAAAAAACCCCATAAGGGTGTTGGCAGACTTTCTCTGAAGAAGTTTGGTTTTGTCTGTTAATTGAAAAATGAAGCAAATGCTACCTTATTTCCCCTTCTTTCTGGCCAGTAGTCATGCTGTTAACAGGATGGGCCTATAATTCAAGTAGGATTGCACAATAATTGTGCTGAATAGAATTGTTATTTTGTCAGTGGAAGTTCTTTCTGAAGTTAGTCTGATATTAAAAATATTATTGAAAATACTATGGTTGGGTTTTAGGAATGAAAAAGCAGCAGATTAGACAGATGACTGGTATAAAGGGCTGTTTGGGCTCTGTGTGTGTTTAGTATGAACTGGAAGTCATGCTAAAAGAAAACTACAATTTACAGTGTGGTAATTTAGGAAGAAATAAAAATCGTTCTTCTGATTCATTCATCTGCCAGGAGCAACTTCATGGATTTATCCTTACTGTGATAAGGAATAATTAGTTTTAATAGCAATATATTTTTAGTAATAATTTTATGAACAAGTCTGAATTATAGTTAATAAGGCGGCAGCTGCCTTATTACCTGAGATTTCGAGATGTCTTCCATTTCTATTAATTTTAAAGTTTTAAAAATTACTGTATCTTCTGGAAAATGAGTTGATGTTATAGATTGCTTTAAGATGCTGTTTGTTTTCAGAGTTGATCAACAAATACATTTTCTTTCCTTCACTTCTCAGAAGAATTTAATGACCGAATTTTGCGACCAGAACTAACAGATACGGAAAAGATGTCTCTTCATGAGGAAGTACAGAAAATTTACAAAACTTATTGCTTGGATGAAAGCATTGACAAAATTAGATTTGACCCTTTTATTGTGGAAGAGATTCAAAGAAGTAAGTTTGAATTTGAAAGGAATAATTTACACTGGAATTTAAACAGTATTGAAGACTAATCTAAATATGATCAATCTTTACTTTTGTTATAGTTTTAAAAATTGCTACATCCTTGCTATATTGTGTGTAAGCCTTGGTTTGTCAGTTTATTTCTATTTTCTATTTGTCAGACTTACAGTAGCTTGCAAAGCAATGACAAACTCGGACCAGAAAAAAAAACAACAAACTTTTATATGCCCATATATATATTTATAATTTTTTTTTATAGTTGCTGAAGGTCCTTATATGGATGTTGTGAAACTTCAAACTATGAGGTGTCTTTTTGAAGCTTATGAGCATGTACTCTCTCTCCTTGAGAACGTTTTTACTCCGATGTTCTGTCACAGTGATGAGGTAAGCGTGAAAGGTGAAGAATAGTCTTAAAGCAAGATTGTATTTTTTTAGGATGCACATGACTGTTGTAAATTGGGTATGTGTAACTGAAAAATATGTCTTTGTTTCCCACTTTAGTTAGCATGCCAGAGCTGGGACCAATCTCAATAAGAAAATTTGAATTTATTCTAGTTCAGCATAACATCAGCAGAATAAAAAAAAAAAAAAATCCCTCTTCATTTTTTGGTGTTTCAATTTGTATATCACTGCTATTGCAAATCATCTCCAACCCTTCTTTTATGATTGCAAATTTGGTGTAAAAGTAATCTGCATGACAGATGAAGAACGCTACTAAGAATCTCTTTATTTACTTTTTAAACTATGACAGTACTTACAGAAAGATACAAAGGTTGTATTTAGGTACCTTCAACATTACACATTCCAGCAGCTAAGAGTCAGGTGTCTGTTTTCAGGAAGTTCATTCAAAGCAATTTACTAGGCATTTAAGATTGTTCTATGATTGGGTTCTGAATGCAAGTTTAAAAAAAAAAAAAAAAAAAAAATCCCCACACTGGGCTGACAGTTGCGTGAAGCTTTCTAAAAGGAAACACTTGAAATGCAGGGGTGAGTCTGAATTCTTCTAAAGTTTGTGTGTGTAAATCAGGTTGCATGTTAAGCTTCTCATGTTTATTTGAAGCAGAATATATATTGACTTGTCCTGGGAATTGGTATTTGCCTTACTTGGTGTTAATCTTAAAAAAACATGCTTCTAAAAATGGTATTGAAGGTCATCTTCCCTGTAATAGCTATAATGCTTCAAATAGTTAAAGTTTTAACAAGGAAGAGACATGGATTTTTGTGCTTTATTTTAGTTTTATTTTCAGTTTGGTTTTCTAATTCCAAGACTATGTAAAGTAAAATAAACAGTCCTGGGAGCTTGTATTTCAAACTGGTTCTGTCCTTTTCCAGATGAATATTCTAACTCCAAGGTTATGGTCAGCTTGCCTTTTATTTCTGTTCTTGTTTCCTGAATTCTGCAATGTTGTTGCATAGTAGCCTTTACCTTGGTTAGCCCAGTGTCTTCTTTGATACCTTATTTATCTGTTGTAGTACTTCAGACACCTTTTAAGAGGAGCAGAGTCACCAACACGCAATTCAAAGTTTAACAGGTAGGTATGGTAGAATATTGAAATGGTTTTCTTTGTTTTTTAGCTAAAAGCGTCAAAATAGTAAGCCATAGGAATTTTGCTACTGCCTGTTGATAATTTGACTAAATTTTTAGCTCTACTATTTTTTTTTAAATGGAGAAATTACATACTAAAGGAGCAAGCAATGTTATACAAGACATATCTTTGTTTTGAAGTCTTTTACATTAAAGAATTTAAAATGTGACTTAGAACTCAACATTTGACAAGGGGGAAGGGGAAAATAAATGTACACTGAGAATAAGATAACATGGGAATAAAGTGGTGATTTAATTGACTATGTATATAAAATACCATTTTGTTGGTGCAAAGCTGGGGTGGTCTTAGATTTCAGGTCTTAAAGGGATAGGTACAGTGTCCCCTGTGTCTAACCAACCTGGTAATTCAGTGGGAATCTCCTCATGCATCCAGGAGGATTTGCCATTTCTCCTAGGTCAAATGTGTTTTCTGTCCCCCAACTCTCCCCATTCATTGCAGAAATGTATCCCAGAAACAAGGCTTCTGATGCTATATATTTACAGATCACCTTCACGCTGCTTAGGGCCTATGGAGAAGGATAAGAGCATCTCCTGTGTTATGGGTGGGTGATCTTCCAGTGTGGAGCTGGGTTGAGGAAACTTGAGGTCTCATCATTTCTTGTCTGCCATTTTATGCTCAATGTCTCAGTCATAGGCTAGCCCAACCGAATTGCTCATGTGGTCTAGACCAATTAAGGAAATCTTCAGTGAGACAGTCTTAAATTCGGATAGACTTTCTTTCTTGGTATGAAATAAGATCTACTATATTGTAGAAAATGCTAGTGTTTGTCATCTTCGATTACTCTTCTAGAGGAGTAACAGCAATTTTTTATATTTTTTTCCCCGCTTTCATCAGAGATACACCTAGCAGCAGCCCTCTTGCTTTGCAGCCTACTATGAGGTGTATTATTATCATGAGATCCCTTTCTCCCCTGCTAATGTTCTTCAAACACTGCATGATTGTTCTCTTTAACGTATCTCCACTGGTGACGCCTATTATGCAGTCTTTACAGTTCTGGTAGATCCAGGACTCAAGCTTTGATGCAGTGCTTTCTCAGATTGGTGCTGACAAGCTTCTGTTTCTTAGCAAAGAAGCATGGAAGGCAGCTTGACCAAACTGCACTTCTTTCTTCCCTACGTGATACTCCACCAGGAATGGTGACATTAGAACCGCCTTCAGCTTCTGTTGAACGTGGCTACAGGGTTTTATCCAGACCTTTAAATCTGCTGCCTGTTATCTTTTCCAAAATTATTAATGCCAAGGGTTGAAAGTATCCTGTCATATACTCCTTAAAGTATGAAAACATTTAGGTCACCTCCTTGGTGCTTTGCTTTCCCAAACAGAAATGTTGAAAATACAGCAGTCTCTACCTGGAGTTTTTGAAATATATCTCTGCCTACAAAACAGGCCAATTTTGTTTGGGGACTGTTACAACATGTGCCCCTGGAGTTCAAACAGCATCCATAGCATTACTGAAAATGCATCTGGTTTACATTTTAGAACAATTTGAATGCACTGAGTATGTATGCTGGTTTATGATACGAGAAACTGTACGTTCCTGAAGTGGTGCCTCAGTGATTGCTTCTATGAAACAAAGGTCCTATCTGCAAGTAGTTTGCCTGTTGCTTTGGAGTTTCCCTCTTCAGAATCTGGTACAGACAGTTGCTGCCAAGGAAAAAGATTAAAAAAAGTTACTTATGAAATTATTCCAGATGTTATCTGTGTGCACATACCTTGTCCTGCCTTCTCTCCCTTATTCTAGCATTAGTTTCAGTTGAGAAATTATATGCAAATATATATTGAGAGAAATTATATGCAAATAGATGAATTTTCTTTGCCATATCTTTGATGCTTTGCTAGGAGTACTGTGTGTGTATTCCATAGGTACTGTTGGTTAAAAGGTCAGATCAAGTAGTAGATATGAAATCCCAGTGGAATGTACATGTGGGTAATGTGTTGAAAGATTTCACTTATTGTAAGACAAGAAAATTATAGAGTGGTTTCTAGAAAATATAAATGGGAGAGTAGGAAGAAGTGCCTATCAGTGTGTAATTCCTGGTTTGAATCACTTCTTTGAACTGTACAAAATAATCATAGCTTTTTGTGTACAGATAGGACAAATAATGTGCTATGAAAACTGTTAAGGTAATAGATGAGAAGTCCCAAGTATTTCTGGAGTGTCAAGAAGTTACATTGAGGATATTATGATAACTTAATACAACCAGCTATCCTTGTCAACAGTTTAACTCCATTACTGATGTTTTACATCTGACATTTAATGTGTGGCCAATGAGAAATGATGTTTTAAGTTTCAATTCTGGCAATTTAATTTTGGGTGTGTGGAGGAGAGGATGTTCCAAGAGAGAATTCCCTCTCACTCTCTTATTTATGCGTTTATAATACATTATTACATTACTTAAGGGTATTCTGTGTTGAAAGTCTGACAAGAAAAGAAAAGCCACTATGTGGTAAAAAATCCCAGATTTCTGGATACCTGTTACATCTGCCTTGATTTTCTAAACACTGTGACCACATATAGAAATAGACACATCCCGATTTCTCATTGGGATAGCAATAAAATGAAAACATTTTTCAAGTAAAGGATGAAATAGAAAATATAGTAACAGTTTTGGGGAGTGGTTAGAAATAAAACCCACGGAATTAGGTCTATAAATGTTTGTGTGCAATGTGGTTGTTTGGTATCATCAGTTCCAACTTAGTAAGATAAATTTCTAGTTTCACAGTTAACATGAATAAAGATGGTGTAAAATGCCTTAGAATCAGTTCCTCTCGTGAAACAGAATCTAAAATTTGAATATTTTAATCCCATATCAGTTCAGAATTCAGTGGCTCCAGTGAATTAAAATAATGTGTGTGCTTACTGTGTTTATGGTTAATACATTTAAGCATCTGGGTTGGAATTACTGAGTTGATGGCAGAGGCATTGGTTCCATGTGCCAGGTTATGTAGAATATCAAAAATACATGCTAGTTCTTAAAATCGGTCAAATAATAATAAAAGAAATATATTTGAATAGTGGTTTTTAGTATATCAGAGGGACGGCGGGAAGAGGATGTGGTGTTATTGCATAAAATAGGTCCACAGCCTTTTCTTTGTATTGGCCAAATGAACCAGATTACTACATGATCTCTGAACACAGGTTATAGAAAGAGTTAGCTGCCTGTTTGGCACTACAGGTAACTTGAAGAATGAAAGTTGTTCCCTAAATCGGTAGCCGCTTGTGCCAAATGTCAGTGAATACCTGAAAGTTTCAATAACTGAAGCTTTACATTCAAAGGCCAAGGCTGTGGTGGTGGAATGTGCAGGTACTGTTCACATTTCACTTTCTCAGGATTTTAGATCAGGAACTCCTAATTGTACCACCACATTTTTTATTAATCTGTAGTGATGGTCGAAGCCTATTCAGTTTTGTTGGGATAGGTCTGTCAAATTTTTTTTTTTTTTTTTTTGTTGTTTGTTTGTTTGGTGGGTTTTTTTTTGTTGGTGTTTTGTTTTTCTTTTAACGTTATTTTCTCCTGGGCTCTGAGGTAATTTGTGTGCCTGTTGTTGCAGAAGTAGCCTGAGTTTGGATGACTTCCGGTAAGTGTCTAACACTCGATAAATGTTGTGTGTTAGTTACACTGCATCTGTCATGACTGCATCACACATCCTTTACAACAGCGATTAACTGTCCATTTTATTTGTAAAAATGTGAATATCTTCTCTGGACTAAACTGCATTTCTCTTCACAATAAGCTTTACTCCCTATGTCCGCTTCAGAAGTGTTTAGAAATTGCTTAATTACTAATTTCACAGGTTTGAAATATATTTTGTTTGTTGTTATCGATTTGTCTGTTGTTATTAGTTTTTAAATATATTTGCATAACTTGAAGCTTGGTTTGTTTGTTGTTGTTTTTTGTTTTTTTTTTTTTTTTTTTTTGGCCTGTGACTGCTAGCAGCTCCAACATTTCCTTTACTCCATGTCACATCTCCAGATTCTGTTTGAGGTTTTATCCACTTAACTGCTTGTTTATCTTGCACAGCTGTGTCCAGGATGATCGTTGCCTAACATTGCATGCAAATACAACCATTTTATGGAATATTCTCAAAACCAGCAATTCCCTAAATTAGTTCTCTTTGCAGCTTTTCTTGTGACTGTTACAGGTTTGGTTACAACAAATGTTAGTTTTTATAATTTGCTCTACGTAGCCTGTGATCACTCATTAATGCCTTAACAGCTATCCAGTGTTGTTTTCTCATTATTCGTGCCTATTTAAATACATGCTATCCAAACTCAGAAAACAGTTTTTTCTGTTATGAGCTTTTCCTTAGAATTTGTCAGAGCATCAGTATTTCATATATTATTCATACCATTCTTGAGGGAACGTTATCAACTTAATTTTACAGGTTAGAAATCAAGGTGTATATATAGACACTTTTTTATGTGCCAGTTCAGTGTATTGAGCTATAACTTGCTGGTGTTGAGCAATAAGAAGTGCTTGAGATATAAGTGGAGTTCATTGATTTTTAGGTGCAGCTCTATGCACTCAGCATTTCTCCTAATTGGGTGTCGGGGTTTTAGTCAGACAAAAGAAGATGGTACTCTGACTTCACATGCATGTAAATATCTAGCTTGTCTGGTACTTCTTGACCCACGGAGATTCACAGCAGCATTCTTCAGCAGCATAGCCCTGGCTGGTAACTTTTGAAGATCTGCTCAGTGCACTGAATGAGGCAGGGATCCTGTGGGAAAATTACTTTGCAACCATCCACGATTAAAGAATGCCACAGTGCATAGCAGCACTGATACAGTCTTTGGTCTGCAATTCCCAGCTATAGAGTGAACAACAGTTGTAATTTTTTGTTATGTATGTGTGACTTCTGGAGCTTTTTTTTTTTTTTTTTTTTTAAAAAAAAAAAAGTCTTCCAACTTCTTGTCATCACATCATTCATCAGGCATGTTGGAACCTGCAGACTCTCCCCTCAGGTCCCTGCCAAGAAACTATAGAATGACGGTCTAATAATGCTGTTACATGGATCAGCACTAGAGGGAGTGGGATACTTTTCCCAGTGAGTTTCATATATGTGTTTGTTGACCATAACAGAGTTGAGTCTTTAAAGACAGTTTCTGTTCTAAACTGGCCACCTCCTCTCCTCTTTCTTCCTTCATGCCTTGATCTTGACCATATCCTAGTCCCATCTCTTTGCTTCTACCTAGCCTCAGGTTCTTTCTCCTATTTTTACTTAGCAGTGAATCTATCAGATTTTCATCCCGATACCTGGGGTTTTTGTATATTTTTATTTTATTCTTGCTCAGCTTCTTCAAAATTTTGACCATCCTGTTGTCCGTCCATCTCAGTTAATGTACACAGATTTCTTTTTCCATACTCATCTAATCGGGTGTGTACTCCGCATGCTTGCTCAAGGATTCTTGCCAAACCAGTCCATTGTTCCCTCCATGCGTTGTCCACCATGTGTCTGTGTACCCCCTTATTCACCAGTTTGTGTTCTGAATTTGTGTCTCTTCCTGTGAAGAGGATCCCATCCTAGTTTGTTACTTTAGCCCTGTTCCAGTTCTGTGATTGCTCTGTACTCGTCAGGTGTCATCTCTGGGCTCAGTGTGAGGGCAGGAAGGGGTGGTTCCACTCTATCAGGTCGAGTCCTGGCCCCACACAGCTCAGTACTGCTGTTACAGGCAGGGCTGCATTCTGCCTTCAGCTGGAGCATGATCAGTGCAGGAAAACTTATCTGAGCCTGGAGTGATCTTATCAAATCTTTGAGTTTGTGCAAAGTAATTTTTTTGCTCAAAATCTTGAGAACTGTACAAGTTTTCACAGGAATGATGAAACTTCGAGACAAGCCAGAGGTCTGAAGTATTAATGTCCTGGAAAAGCTCTTTAGTCTTGTTTGAATAAGGTTTGTCTTGCTAGCCCAGATTTAAGCTCTTGAACAACATTCAGGTAGGTCCCCAATGTGAGAAAGTTCAGTTCAGCACAATCACATGTAGAAGCAGTTTAAAAATTGAATAAAATTGTTCAAACATGGATTTAGACTACAAACAGCCAAGCAACCTTACCTTTGGTTGGTAGAGATAAATAAATGCTGCCTGTCTGCTTTGCAGCTGATAATAATATGAGATAGAAAAAGCAAAAGATTGGGAAAAACAGATTATTTACGCAGTTTTAGTCATGTATACAATCTGGGTAAAATAAACAGGAAGATCACTAGTAACACACACATGCATGTTTTGAGTCAGCAGTGGTAAATGGTGGTAAAGATGCTTTTACCTGCTGGTCTCTGCTGTTCTGTTGGTACTGCTGTTCAGTAGTTAATAATTTCTTGTTTTAAAGGAAAAAGAACACATAGGATATTTTTTTTTTTTGTCCTCTGAAGTACTAATTGTGCTTTTAATCTCAGTAATCTGTGAAGTTCTTTTGAGTCTTTGATGCTGTAGTTCACTGTATTGATTTTTAACTCACCTGTCAACTGTATTTGAGTCAACATAAGTAACCTCAGGCTGATTCCATATTCAACAGAAATATTTTTCTTTCCAGAATTGTGGGTGTTTCTATGTAAGAAATAATCTTTGGTGTCAGGTCTTGTGTAAGGGCATATGAATGCTATACAATCTGTTCTGTCAGTAAGGAGTGTACTTTCTGCCCAATTATTTTTTTCCATACCTTGTTGCTTTTTGGATGCATTGTCATAAGTGGCAAGACTTTAAAAATTCTCCATCTTTCAGTCAGACTGGCTCTTCAAGCCAAGATTCTTCAGTTGCATCTGTTTTCTCTCATGCTCAGTCTTGCTCCTTGTACATTCCTTTTGTCTGTCCCTAATGCTTAAAAGCCGAGATCAATCTTGAATCATACATGCTTGTAAAATTCTGGGATGTTTATGTAAGAAAATGCATCTGATTTGCCAAGTACTGTAAATGGTGTAGAGTGGATAAATATTTAAATATGAGTACATGGAAAAGGACAGCAATAGTGTAGTGGCCTTCTTGGCGTGCATGTCTGTAGCAATACCACAGTTTCTGCTGTTAAAACAAAATTGTTTTGCATAGTTAATGTTTTTTTCTATGTCCTGCATTACTGGGATACTGTTATACAAGTATTAATGTTTGCTCCTCATTAAGCATATGGGAATCCCATATCTCTTAAAAGTGTAATCAAGAAATTTTGCTGATCAATCAGAGAACGTCTTTGCCGTAAATGAATTTCAGTGTAAGTGGAATTGTAAATATATTGGCGACTTGTTCATAGAGTGGTTTCCCTTATCTGCAAATGATATGCAACAGCCCACTGACCTGCTGAGTAACAATATGCCTTGTGTTGTGAACTCTGGCTTCTGTAATCCTAGGACCACACAGAAGAGAGGAGAATCATTTGGAATCAGCAGAATAGGCAACAAAATAAAAGGTGTATTCAAAAGTTCTGCAATGGAAGGAGCTATGTTGCCTAACTATAACTTAAATGAAGGAGAAGATGACTTTGTGAGTAAAAGCCTTAAATTTGTCTTTAAGTCCTCGTTGAGTTTTTCTCTTTCCTTATTTGAAGATGTTAAGTTTCTGCCTTTTCTGCTGTTTGTCTTCACTGCAGGGTTTCCATGTGCTGGCTTCTGATTAAGTTGCCTTGTCTTCCCTGTATTCATTCACTAGCTGAGGCCACATCCCCAGCTAGTGCGCCTCTGAGCTTATTACTTTAGTACAGAGAAGTACTAAAAGTTAACAGTGTCAGACATTTTTGTAAGCAATTACTTTGTTTCTCTAAAAACTTGCTCCCATTTTATAATTCTGGATAAGGTATGCATAGGACTGCGCACATGGCTTTTCATCAGAAGCTTGCCACAAGACCTTAAAACTACAGGTGAAGTAGTGGAGAAATTGCTGTAAGGTTGGTCTGTGATGCAATATTTTCTCTAAAGATCACAAGCCAATAGTCCTTTCTTATTTGCCTTGGGTGTCTCCCTAAGCTAATGGGTTTTTTTCATGATAATCAGCAATGAATACAGCCAATGGTGGGATTATTGCATGGGACATTGGTATCTGAAGCACAGTTGTGGGACAAATGGAAAATTTTCGAAAGGGAAGAGGAGGGAATTGGTCAGAAGCTATTGGTAGTCATGTATTTTTTTACAGTGTGTCTGCCAATTCAACCTTTTATACCTGTTCCTAATAAATAAAACATTTGAGTATTTATCACCTTGATAAACTGCTAACTCATTTTCCACACACTAAAGATAAAATCGTAACTATGAGTTTATATTATCCACTTTGTTCAGAATGGCTTTCAGAAGAGTGTGGGAGGGACTCGGCAATTTAGAACTCTAGATAGGTTGGGTTTTTTTCTTTGAGGAGAAAAAAAAGGCAATTTTCTGTACAGACAAAATCTTCATATATGTCATGCCTTTAAGGGGGCAGAACTATTCCAGTTAATTTCTTGGACAGTTAAGTTACTATTGTTGTAAATTCTCTCTTTTTGAGGTGAGATTCTAATGAAAAAGGGGTTAATTTTGCAGCATTGCTGTTGTAGATTGTGCCTGGCTAAAGGGCGTGCAAGTATAATTCCCCTATAGTAGAGGAATTAGTAGAAGTACAATTGAAGCAGTGGAGCTCAGAGAAGGAACATGGTTTTGTGCCAGAGCACATGAAGTTACTTGTGGGAAGTTGCTGAATTTAACGAGAGAGACAATATAGTGTCTAGTCATTACTGAGGAAGGTTTTCAAATGGACAGAATGATTTTAGTGTAGGCACGGATGGAAAGTTTTAAGTGCAGCATTGTCTCAAGTATCTTCATTAAATAAAGGGGGAGGATACTACATTTTTACTAAAACCACCTTAGACAAAGTTTGGAAATACCTAAGTCCTTTCACTTGGTAAGTGTGGGTGGGAAGGAGAAATAGGAAAAGAAAGCACTAAGCTATTGTAAGGTTACTGTGCATCCAAACAGCTGGACAGAGCCAGGATTTCACTTCATGAGTGAATACTGAATATACAGAATTCAACATTAATAATGTCACAGTAAGTGCTGAGGTGTAATTTCCTAGCAGGCATCACAAACCAGAGGAAGAGCTCTCTGGGTCAAGAAAAACATAATGTGGGAAACGACAGTATAATTGTAAGATGGTGGCAGTGCAGTATACAGACATGGCAACTTTTTGGTTAGCTTAATGTACTGAAGATAGGGGAATTATTTCTACCTACATAGATCCTGATTAGGTATTTAAGTAATTGCTGTTAATATAAGCTTGGTGGTTTCAAGGTAAATAGAAGGTAAGGAATGGCAGTGAAATGGGGTTCTGTGCATTGTGACAAAAACTGAAGGTCTTTGCCTTTTTTTTTTTTTTTAATTTGATAAAGTCATGTTGGTTGCAGTTAAAGCCTATAGGAAATATCCATTTAGTCTAAAGAAATCACGTAGGGATAAAAATGTGTTAGCAGCTTTCTGTGGCTCTGGGCAGCAGCTTTGTAAGCTGTGAGCATGATAATAGTAATTCCATGAAACCACACTCAGTCTTTGTCAGCTTAATTTTAAATATATCAAAAGATACCCTACGTATTAAAGCACAGGTGGTGTTCCCAAGGCAGTCAGATGACCTGTAGACTTGATTTTGTGGCTTTGTTGGATAAAACAAATGGAAAGAGACTGAGACAACCTGTAACTAATACAGGCTGGTGATCTGTTTAGAAAGAGCACTAAAAAACCCAGAAATTCATGCTTTTTGGCTTACAGTTAGTATAGATGCTGTGGTTGTCAAAGTGGCAAAGCCTGCAAATTTACCTAGGGTTATTGTCAAAACCAGGCTAGAAGTCAGGTGAGGGATCCGGTAAAAAGAGGTTATGAGCATGTGAAACTTTGCTGATGATCCAGTACAACCTCAGAAAAGCCGAATGAAGAGGTTATGGCCCCTTCATGAGCATTTCAGGAAACGACCGACACGTACCTTCTCTAAGCCTTGTGCTAACTCTGCAGTGTATGAAACTCCATAAACGGTAGGAGACAAGAACTGCAAGCAGTGGTAAATTAAAAAAAGAAGTCATCAGAAAATGTACGGCAGGAGTTGAGTTTTGATCACGCTTATGGCTGTGCATTTAATTTAGTCAAAAACTACAGAATCAAGTAAGTCTGTTTCTAGAGCGATCGTGCATTTTTGCAAGGAGGTCCTAGTGGAGATTGTATATTTAGTGCTAATGCAAATAGAGATGATTAATCGGGATAGATTTTATAGTGTTAATTTTGTCAGGTGATGGTTCAGCCCTCACAGGGGGCGGGTGTGGGGCCGTTCATGCTGCCCCCTCTGCAGAAACTCGGCTGTTGTTGATTTGAGTGGCTATCCTGAAACATGGTTCTTGCTGTTTCTATTCAGTGGTGACAACCGTGTAAAGCCTGGGGAAGGGGGAAAATGAGGGTAAGACCTCATACAGAAGACTTTGTGTACATAAAGCTACCTGACAACCCTGTTGTGGTTCAGAGAGCATCTGTCCTATTTATTCCATTCTTTACTGAAAATTTGTCCTGTAGTTTGTGAGCCCTAATTGTTCATTCCAGGCTGGGGTTATTTTTGTTTGCTTTGTGAAGGAGCACAGCCTGTGGTTTAGCTCTCGATTTATGAACCTCCTTAGCTGAGTGTGGTCTCCCTGCAGTGGCAACTGAGAGTGCTCTTTTGCCTGTCACAGTTTCTCTTTTCATTGAATAAACCAGGTAAGTGTAAGCAAAAAGGTGTTTTGAAGAAATTCAGTCAGTGGATCTACAGAGATCTGTTTTGGAAGATAGTGGTCCATACTCCAAACAGTTTGAGGATCATTTCAATATTATGCAAGGGCAAAACAAAAGTGGACAGAAATTGCTCATGTGTGTTTCAGCTGCAGTTGAGTCATGAGCATGTAAATATTGCAGGCACAGACACAGCCAAAATTATTTGAGGGATGCTGTATTGCTTTAATCTTTTAGATTATTCCAATACAGGCAAAACTTGTTAAACTACATAGGTTTAGGCTTTGAGGGGAATTTCCCTTTAAATTGTGAAGCTAAGGGAAAAGATCTTGGAAGTGGGATTCGTGCTTTCCAGTTTACTGTAGTTTCACATGTTGTAAATTCATATGTTAAAGTCTCCTATTTTAACCTTTACAAGTGGCAGTACTCCCAAGTCTCTATGAGACTTACTAAAATAAGGTACTTTTGAGTTGTCGCTTGACTCTAACCTATATTGACGTAATTAATAGTTCTGTAAATTGTGGTGGGAAGAGCAAGGTGCTGGCCACTGCTGGGGTGGGCGCAGGCTGGAAGCAGGACGATGGGCTGGGGCATTGCTCCTCGGGGCTACTCTTTTTCACCTGGTTGCCTATGCTTGTGAAAATACAAGAATTTTTTTCTTTAGCACATGTTTAGTGAAGGCTAATCTCCCCATAAATTCTCAATTCTGCTTTATTTTTCAGTCCTATTTGAATTTAAGGTCACCCCTACCCTTCCTTCTCACAGACACCGTCTCCTCATTTGCAAAAATCATTTTCATTCCTTTGGGCCATTTCTTCATTATTCTTTTTTCTGTGTGGCAAATATGAGAATCAAGTTAAGTATTACTTGGAGAAAAATAAACAGCTTTCCACGGGTGGCTGTTGAAGCTTGGATTTTTAGTTTAGATGTTTAAGATAATCTTTCTGTTGTTCGTGGTTCTGAAAGATTTGTAGCACTTCCCTTCTCATTGCCGGGGCCCTGAGAACTGGCTGTGCTGGGTGGTACTTGGGTGGCTGATGCCCTGTGGGCAGCTCAGCTGGTCTGTGATGAGCAGTGTCAGGAGCGGGAGGTGAATGTCAGTGTGGTGCTGGGACTGACTTTCAAGCTTGAAAGGATTTCCTCGGCATTCAGGTGGCACCGCTTCCGAGGTCTGCTTGCGTATGGAAAAATGAGCATTACGTTTTAGGGTATAGATTCTGAGTTTACGAACTCCAGGCACTCGAGCTGCCCTGTGCACAGCCAGCAAGGATGAGGTCCGTGCTGTGCCCTGGTGCAGATGTTTCTGGGAGCACGATGCTCAAACTGGAGCTGATGGGGAAGGCAGTAACGCTTACAACGGCTTTGCTTAAAATAGCTACGGGCTGTGGAAATGCTTCGGTCCCAGTCATGGTTGCGTTGCAGCTTGCAGAGCAAGTCAGATACAACATACTCTTGCACTTGGCTGGGGGTGGGGGGTGGGAGACCTGCTGGCTTGGTGCGCTTGTTGGCTGTTTTGTGTTTAGATAGCTTCTTGGCCTGACCTAGTGAGCTCAAGTCTCCAGTTTGGGCCCTAGTGTGCTGGAAAATGCAGTGCAGATAAATCTGTTGGACCCAAGCTGCTTCCTGTAACATTCAGTCTGTGTCTAAGCCATTCTTCCAGCTGTCTCCTTTAGTATTTCTATTTCCCTCCCCCCCCCCCCCCCCCTTTTTTTTTCCCTGAAGTATCAGATATGGAACTTGATAGTGCTGTAAATACTTCCAGATACCACTAAAAGTTGCTAATTTTCAAATTAATTTGCAGTGGATCTAAAAATATAAATTAATCTACATGAAAACTCCATTGATAAAATGTTTTTTTTTGTTCTTCAGTTACTTAGTGACACATACTTAAAGACTTGATTTATGTTTCATTATTGTATATAAGTTTTTTGCAAATGTAGACTGAACCAGTTAAAATAAAACTGTAGATCTTGATGTTTGAATCGTTACAGATTGAAGAAGGCGTTATGGTGATGGAAGATGATTCTCCTGAGGAGGCTGTTAGTACCCCAAATACACCCCGCAACCTTGCCGCATGGAAAATTAGCATCCCATATGTAGATTTTTTTGATGATCCATCCCTGGAAAGAAAAGACAGAAAGGAGAGAATTCCGGTGTTCTGCATTGATGTAGAGAGAAATGATAGAAGGGCAGGTATGCAATGTTGTGGATAAGTAGTAATTTAAAAATGAGCTCAAAATATTCGAGTGTGTTGTATTCTGAAGGCTGTTGCAGTTTATTTTGCATACAGGTTCTTCTGATTTTGAAACAATGGCTTGAAATTCTGAGAAAATGTGTTTGAGATCACATTTAGTATTTTCAAGTTGAGGACTCCTCAGCATGAATTAGTTCCATCTAGACTTCATGCCAAAGTTTGAGATTTCGTCTCTCCAAAAATATTGATCCTGTGATTCATATCAATATACACTTGTCATATTTTTCTTTCACCCACTCTGAACTTTTTAAATAATGAACAATAACTAACTTATCTTAAATGAAAATGTAGTTCCTAGGAAACGAAAATATTTTGCTTATTAGGAACCATCCTGGCTTGCAGATAGTTTATCAGTATCTAGATAGCAGTACATCGTCCCAGAGCTGCATAGATTTGTGTCAGTCAAACTAATACTTCCACGATAAACAGGAAGTGTTTAGGAGTGTTATTTAATGATATCTTCCAGGAGGAATAGTGATTGGATTCAAACTGATGGTTCAGAGCACTGTACTTCAAGTAATCTTTCTGTGAGTCATTTGGTTAAAAGCTTGAAAATAGTTCTAATATGGTCAGCCTCAGTTTTGAAATTATGCAGCACACCATTGTTTACATTTTAGGAATCCCCTAAATGAGATGATAGTTTCCTTGCTAGTACCATACCTGTCTGCCAGGTATGCATTTTAATTTAACACTTTAATTACCTGGCTGGGATATTTTTTATGTTACTGCAGTATGGGGGGACTAATATCATTGAGGTTTTTCCTATAATAATCCAGCATATATTTGCTGTTGCTTAATTTGTCACTCAAGTGGCATAAAACAAGGTTTATTTTTAACTTTTTTTTTTTTTTCCCCCCCAAGTCGGACATGAACCTGAGCACTGGTCTGTCTACAGGAGGTATCTTGAATTTTATGTGCTTGAGTCGAAGCTAACGGAATTTCATGGTATGTTCTCCATCATCTGGAAAGCCGCTTTCCCACTGCTGTGATTATCATTCAGTACTGAGCTGAAATTTAGAATGATGAAACCAATGTTTGATGCATTATAAGAATAATTTAATCCCCTTGATATCTTTATTAGGTACATTTCCTGATGCTCAGCTTCCCTCAAAGAGGATCATTGGCCCCAAGAACTACGAGTTCTTAAAATCCAAGAGAGAGGAGTTTCAGGAATATCTGCAGGTATCAAACAAACTTTTGGAGCAAAGAATATTCTAAAAGTAATGATATAAAACTAATAAAATATCTGCTTTTTTTTTCTTTGTTTCCAAGTAATTTGAGTTATAGAAAGGATTCAAGTGGGCAAATAAAACTTGTTACAGTTTCATGTTACTGAAAACATAAATCTTTGCACATTACAAGATCTATGGTAATATAATGCTCTTTGAGTATCTTTTTGCTATAGAGAAACTGATTTTTTCTTGTCTTCTGTCTCAAAGAAACTTCTGCAACATCCAGAACTAAGTAACAGCCAGCTTTTAGCTGACTTCCTGTCCCCTAATGGAGGAGAGACTCAGTTTCTTGATAAAATGTTGCCTGATGTGAATCTTGGTATGTAATATGCTAGTTGTTTATCTGACAAACAGTAATACTGTAGATACTGTGATTGAATTATAGTAGTAATGAATAGATAACTCTTGGGTGAGGATATGGATGTGGGGAATAAGAACTCCTTTGCAGCCTGTAAAATTATAGCTCAGCAAGAAAGGTATGCTAATACTTTATCATTGAAGAAAAAAAAGACATTTTGAGATTATGGGAAAAAGTATTTAAATGGTTGTTTTTGATATTTTAAATCGGAAAGCAAGGAGATAAGATTTCTCTAACAAGTTTCATAGTTCAAGAAGACATACAGTATTGTCACAAATCAGATCTATACAAGTCAGTTGTTTACAGGTGTGATGGTATAAACGATTTCTTAATATAAACTACCTTTGGGTGTTGATTAAAATCTGTTTATTTTAATCTGAAAATTGCAATATTTAATATTTCTAGTATTACCTAGTGTTAAGATCTCTTTTAATGTGAACTACTTAATAGGATTTGAGGTAGTGGTGTGTGTGATATGGGCAGGCCAAATGGAAGTTGAAAAGTAGAGAAATTCTTGATGTCTAATGTAACAGTTGATAATAAATCCTAAAGGTAAGCTGCAGTGTGACTGTACAGCTTGGCTGCAATGTAGCTGTCTCAGGATGGTGGGCCTGAGCTGGTCAGGTCAACCTCATGGCCGTATTGTCTTCGTGTATTGTAGCACTTGTTGTTCTGGCACCAGTGTGGTCCAGGAGAGCCATCTCTGAACTGGGCCACTGCATTCCTGCTTCTCCCAGTCAGGGTGTGGGCATGCGGGGGCGGCCGTTCTCTTAGTGTGCTTACTAAGCCATTGAATGAGATTTTGGTGGTCGTCCTCCGGTTAAAAGGTTTTGTTTTGTTTCAGATCTCCCCTCTAGATCCAACTGTACATTGTTAAAAGGAAGCTTATAATTATGGTGCTTACTGTAATGCATCTCATGTCTCAGACTATGCTTCACTTCCACAAACATAATTTTGAAAAGTCTTGACATTTCAGTAGGGCTTTTTGTGGGGGTGAGCGATTTTGTTATCATTGGATCATTATACATACTTTCCAATGCAAGTTCCAATTTTAATGACATGTAGATAAGACAAATATTGCTTTAAATGCAGTGCTTAAAATAAAACTAACCCTAGACACTTTCATTTTTCAGCATTCAAAGTTACCGTGCTGTATCCTGATAGCCTTAACAGGTCAGAAGAGCTGACTCATAAGACCAAAACTGTAGCCTGTCCAGTTTTTAAAACTTTACTCGCCAGTATTTTCAAGACTGGATGCTTCCAGAATCTCTCTAGATTAGCTGATTTTTTCAGGGAAAGAGGAGAATCTCAGTTTTTGTGATTTCTTTTGTGATAAATGTTTATGAAGGATGACGAACTTAGAGAAAATTTTGCACATACTGGTGTCATATAATATTGCTGTTATGGTGCTGTAGCTATTTATGTTTGAACCTCTAGAAAAATTTAAAAGGCAGATCTAGAGTACTTTTTTTTTTTTAAATGCATTCAGATAATCATCTGTATATTTTTTTTATATTCTAAGTACCTTTTGAAGAGTACTAAGCACTATATTATAAGCTGGGTATGTGAAAGACTAATTTTGTAGCTTTTTGTGCCACATTAAAAAAAAATATAGATTTTAAAAACTATTGTATTTTTAAATTAAGTACACAATGAGTTCATAAAATGTGGCAGAGCAAAATGTCTTTAAGATCAAACAATGATAACAGAAAATTTTTGTTTGTTTCTAATTATAGGTAAAATTATAAAATCTGTTCCAGGAAAGCTGATGAAGGAGGTAAGTCTTCCAAGTTGCCAGCATTTTACCTTCAATAACTAATTTTACATGATTCCTAACTTACAGCCTAGTCAAAAATTTGGAAACTCAGTTTTTGGGGTTTTTTTTCCTATAATTATGCAAGTGACAGGTCACTCATATCTTATTTCAGAAAGGTCAGCATTTGGAGCCATTCATCATGAATTTTATCAACTCCTGTGAATCTCCCAAGCCTAAACCAAGTAGGCCTGAACTTACCATCTTGAGTCCCACTTCTGAAAACAACAAGAAGGTACTGTAAGTCATCTGTCTTCCTGACTTTACAGGAGTGGGGAAAATTGACTACTCTCTGAAAACACAAAGAATAAACAGAAGAAACCATAAGTATAACAACTGACCTATTTTGTGTTGCCTTTTCACACATGAGAGGGAATAGTAGCGCAAAGAGCTTTGTCATCTTTGGCAGCCAAACACCCCACAGCCGCTCGCCCACCCTCCCCTGCCTGGGAATGGGGGAGGGAATCAGAGGGGCAAATGGAGACTCGCAGGTTGAGATAGAAACAGTTTCATAATGGTAATAAAATAAAACGGTGACAGTAATAGAAGGTATAAACAGGCAATGTACAGCGTAATTGCTCCCCACCCGCTGACCAATCCCCAGCCCGTTCCCGGCCAGCGACCCCGAGGTACCAAGATCCCACAATCGCAATTCCAGAAGCCAGAGAGCTCCTTCCCAACCACCCCTCCTCTATACAGTGAGCATGACGTGCCATGATATGGAATATTTCACTGGCCAGTTAGGGCCAGGTGCTGTGGCCGTGCTCCCTCCCTGCTCCCTGTGCCCTGGCACACGGGCAGGACGTGGGGAGTCGGAGAGTCCTTGAAATCTGTGTGCTGTCAGCTTTCTTCTCATGCCAAACCTCATACTGAAGCCAAAACACAGCATTATTCTAGCTACCAAAAAGAAATATTAACTCTATTCCAGCCCAAACCGGGACACAGCGTTAGGTTAATGGTTGGACTCGATAATCTTAAAGGTCTTTTCCAACCTAAATGATTCTCTGTTAGCCGGGACATTTCATTTTGCGAAGTGATAAATTGGAGATGTGAGATAGTCTAAAGAATAATGCATAGCATGAGAGGACAGCAAGCAAAGATTGGGGTGGTTTTTCCTCTCTTTTCTAGCACAAAAACTGAGAGGCATTAAATGAAGGTGGTAGGAGCCAGATTCAAAACAAAGAGTGGTAGCTCTTGCAATGGTTAGTAGGTTTATGGAACTCCTTGCCAAAATATGGTGTGAATACTGAAGTTTAAACAACTAGATAGGGAGACTGGACAAATTCAGGGTGAATACCTGTAGAGAAACTGCATCCAGCTCTTGAACTTTTTTTTAGTTGAAAACAATTGGAGGCTGGAAGATTATTGGTGGAAAGTACTGTCTATGCTCATTCTCGTCTTGTGAGAGCTGGAAGCCCAGGATCCCTTTATGATTCGTGTTGGTGATGGGCTGTTGAAAAAATGGACCTTTTGACTTCCTTCACTATTGGATGTTTTTGTAGTGTTATGACATTTACAGAATTTGCAGCTACAGAACTTCCATACTGACTAAGTACAATGGCAGTTAAATATATTAATTTGTTTAGAATTCATCCTCTAAACTTGAAGTCTGAATTACTACAGCCAACATTGTATTAGCTTACCTGTGTACACACACAAAATCGGTATTCTTCATTTCAAGTCCTTTCTTACCTTGGACACTTATTCTGCTATTACTGTCTCTTCAGAGGGGTATAAATGTATCAGCAAGTTTAAAAATCAGATGTAGAGTTTCTTGGGCTAGAAACAGTACATGCATAAATACTTCAAATGTTTTTTATAAGACAGCTGGCAGCATACTACAGCACAATATGAACAATCAGCTAATTTTTTTACTGTGCTCTGTCAAGAACTACTGAAGTTAGCAGTTTTAATACATTTAACATAATTAAAAAAAATACTTGAGCAACAAGCTTTGTGTTCTGAAGCATTCCTATGAAGACAGGGTTCCTTCTGTAGTTTGCTTGAAAAACTATTAAAGGACCAAAGTTAATTCTTTAAAGTGGTGTTCAAATCCATTTTGGCTTGTAAAGGATTAAAAATAAATTATATATCATTGCTCAATTATAATGCAAACTCTTTCTATGAAATGTCAGTGTATTATTCTTGTGAAAGAAGATGTGTACAGGAAATCAGGATCAGAAATGAGCTTTTTCCAATTCTTTTTAGCTATGGTGATCCCAGGAAAGCAAAATAGCCAGCTGCACTTTGGCTTTCATTTTGGATTACTGAAGTTTCCTCAAATAAAGTGTAGATCTTTACTGCCTTCTGTTTTCGAATGTCATTTTCAGAAATAGTACTGTGGGGGAAACCTTATCACTGCTGACTAACTGTCCACGTACTCTCTCCATTGGAGACACGAGTTTGTAGAGTCCGAGTCAGAGCTGTTGCTAATACTGCTCATTGCCCTGTAGGAGGTGCTGCTGTTGTCATGAGATCGGAGTTTCTTTGCAGAGAACAAAAAAGATGAGGCTAGCCCCAGCTCTGCATTCCTTCTCGCTGTCTGTTGTGCGAGTTCACTGTTTTCCTAAGCAACTTTATTCTAGTTAGCTGTTTTATGAATAAGGAATTGGTTCTACATATATTTTAGATTTTCTTTTTTCTTTCCCAAAAGAAATCTGGTTTGTTTTGGGAGCCGTTTGCTATGAATGGATGGCAAGTTTCAGACTAAAGTGTATCTCCTGCAGAGCTATGATTATTATTTAACTGTGGGCACTCAAGATACTTTGTCTTGGGGGATGCTGCAAGACAGTTCCATGATCAGATACTCAGTATCTGGTTATGCTCAAATTATATTACCAGAGGCATGTATGCATTAGGAATTCATGTGCTGGCTGCTTTCTCACTAATTTCCCGTCTCTCAGTTTGGCCAGAGCGTGCACACTTACTCACACAGTAACTGTAATTATTAGAGAGCTGATATCCCAGGTTGTGCTGCGTTATGGTCTCTGCTGAGTCTTCCCGTGCACATTGTGAAATTCATCCCTCTTGCTGATTTGTCGTGGCGCTAGTGCCTTCTTTGGAAAACATTTTTCTCAAGTCAGCCCACTCTTGGGAAAAGCTTTGTGCCAAGTGCCAGGACACTGTGCCATTCACATCTTGTTGCTTCTTGGATTTGATTTATAAGCCACGCTAGCTTCATCTGCCAGACTGTTTTAGTTCAGATCAGTGATGAGTTTTAGAAGCAAATCTCCTGATCATCTCTGTTTATCACATTTTATCTCGTACTAGGGAGCTGTCTTACAACTCATTAACTGATTTTAATTTCAGATGAAACTAAGCTGGAAAACGCTGTCTAGGAATGCAGGCACCAAGGGTGTTCGGTCCAAAGGCCGGGCCAAGGGTAGACTGAGGAAACACCCCTCCCTAACCCCCCAAATCCACGTGGCAAAGGCGTCAGTTGTTCAGTTCTGCAGCTTCACTTCTGTTGTGCCACGTGACGTGTCTGTGAGGATGCGAGCGGTGAGCAGGAACCTGGCACCCTTACCCCCCGGCGATGGGGATGAGTGCTAAAGGTTGGTGCCAGGACACTGCGAACTACCTGTAAGGAGTCAGAGGGGAGATCTGCTGACAGCCAAAGTGACGGAACGGTTGGCATGTTCGGAGCTGCCCAGCTGTAGAAGAGCATGTTCTCTCACAGCAAGAAAGCTCTTTTACGCAGGATTTTGTGGTAGGCACTGGAGTCGATTTCCAGCTAATGCTTCTGTTGCCACAGTGTTCCCATATACCTTGTCTGACACAGATCTTGTTTATTCTCGTATCAACATGTTGGAGTCTGCTGGGAGTACAGTACATTCCCCAGCGCTTGTGCTGCCAGCCCTTTGCCATGAATAGGGTACACCCAGGCTGCCTCTTCATCAACAGGCTGAATGAGAAATGTGTGAAAGTCTGTCAGAGCAGGTGAAAGCTTGAGTTCGACCAGAAATGTGCCTACTTCTCTGAAAGATTTTCTGCCTGCTGCTTCCTTTTGAATATTCCTGGTGCGTGCATATGCTTGTATGTTTTAAATATTGGTGGAAAGACTTCTAGTTAAAAATGCATAATGAACGTGCATAGTCAACCTCGGTACAGCCAGCAGCAATTGGATTTTGTCCTGTATCAGATCCACTAGATCAAAAAAGTTACCAACCTCCTTGGTTAAAAGAAACAAGCGAACAAAAAACCCTGCTCCCCACTCCTAGGGACACCAGCAAGATTTCTGTCTTTCCCAGCTGTATTTCTGTGCTGAAGGTCTGTAAACAGCTTGATCATCTTCTGAACATACTTTGGTTAGACTTGCTAGAATAGGTCAGGACTCCTCAGCTGATGCAAACTTTGCAAAATATGCCTACAAAGGCATTGTTCTGCTGGCTTGTGATGACCTGCCAACAGCAGTAACGACTGCTTTTGGAACAGCAACAGTATAATGCATGTTTATGCATAGTTACCTGGAGGAAGGCACGGTTGCTTCTCCATGCACTAACTGATGTGGCTCAGAGACTGCATACATTCTTTCTTCTTACTATTTTGGTATAGTCATCTGTACTTGGCAAACAAACAAGACAAACAGTGGAGAGGTTCTTGCCTCTGGCTGTAGATATTGTTCATAATCACGTTGTTGCTTTTATAAACTTCACACCTCTGCTGGAATGTATGGGTGTATATTTGTGTATGTGCTCAGTAGCCAATGAGTAGCTTGCTTTTTTCTATCAGACACCTTAAGCATTGATAGTTATTTTGCTAGCTTTTCCCATGGAGGTGCAATAGATAGCCTATTGTACAAAGGCTTACTTTTGTGGTGGTCTTAGTACAGGCCTTTTATCTTTCACTTACTTCAAGAGCTTGGCTTCCATCATTAACCAGTACCAGTTTGTGGAATTTCCTCATGGAAAGCCTCTTAAGAATATCTTGTGATTATAATCACAGTTACTGTTTAATCTTAAAGTTATGAATAACGATAGCATTGGAGTTTGTCTTGCATGTCTTTTTTTTAGTCCAATTATAACAGTGAGCATTTTATCATGTCTCAAATATTAACATGTGCAGACTCATTTAAAAGCAAAATCCCGCGATTATCCAAATTGTGACTATAATATCAATTTTTGTATTAGATATCCAGTTGCATTTTTTTCACTTGGCTCTCCTCCGAGCCAAAATCCTGGAAAGTGCAACACACCTAAGTAGAGATGTAATGCCGCTTTGTGTTACGGCTGCTGCGCCCTTCAGCCGTGCGTTGCTGATGTCCGTAGCATACAGACTTTTACTGGAATAGTGCTGAGCATGTACTTTACAAAAACTGCTCACTGGCTCAGTGTTTGTGGCACGCATTGTTCTGCTGTTGCTTTCCGAGATGTCACACGCAAGACTATTAAGCTTTCAAAGCTTACAGTGATCGAGGAACGGTAATATTTCAGGTGCAAGGCAGATTATCCCCGTGCAGCGGTACGTACAACATTCAGAAGGCACTGCTGCTGATTCGGGGTGAAAGTTGGAATAACTTCTGGAGGTCAAAAAGCTTTGCCCCAAGATGGCCTTCGTGTTTGGCCTTTTTTTCACCACCTACTGGACTGCTGTTAATGATTGAGTTTGGCCTGCACATACTCCTCTGAACCTCTATCTGCGTCGCACAGCGGGCTGCCGGGAGTTGGCTGCTATGTATGGCCTCTGTCAGGCTGTGGGCTGCATCTACAAGATAAATGAGGCTCTTGTTTAAGTTACAATAATTCAAGTAAGACTTTTCTGGTGTCCTAGTTTCAGTATTGAGGAGAAAATAGACTTCAGCTTATACAGGGCATGAATAATTGAGTGCTCTTTTGTTACTTCTCTGGATGCCAGTCGCCCAGCAGTGCATTAACCATACTTGCTCTTTCATGTAATTTATGTAATAACTTGGTGTTGTTTAGTTTGAGTGAAATTTGTGAGGATAATGCCAGCAGCTCCACACTTAACAAAAGAGAGGGCTTAAACAAGTCAAAATGCAAGTCTTACCAGATTTCCTGATGTAATTTTTCCTGCGAGTGCTGAGCGTTCTGTGTAGGTACTTGCGTGATTCAGAATTTGTTGTGATTTGGATGTTTCATGGCCTGATTGATTTCAGGTAGAATTGCTCTACAAAAAATGAACCACATATAAGCAAATTACCTCCTGTTCCTTGGAACTATTTTTAGTTTGTGAGTGGTACAGAAAAACTTGTGTTGGTAGCGATCATCTCAGCCTAGGCAACACAGTAATCGCATTGCATTTGCTTCTAGTTATAGGATTTTTTTTTTTTTTTTTTTTAGAAGCTTGACATAAACTTTTGAACTTTGTTTTCATAATACAGAGTATTTTGTATAAATTATTTTTTTATCTTTAGATCAACAGTTTGGGGGATAAGGTAATTTAAAATAAACTGCTAATGGTGACATATTGCTAAGTGTGGAGAGCCTCAGGATTCAGAAAATTTCTCCTTCCCAGCTGCTCAAGCCCACAGATTTGGAGGCGGGATGGGTAGGTGGGCAGGGAGTACTGCTTAGGATGCTATGGGACTCCTTATGGAAGAGCCTTTTGGCATTTTACAAGTATTATAATGATATCTTTTGGGGAACGAACCAAAGGCAACGAAATGGAGAGATTGTGGTGGCAGTCGTGGGAACTTGGGAAAACTGAAGGATAAAGGAATAAAATGAGAAATGGTATAAATGGAAAGAAACACCAACTTCAGTAACTTAAAAAGATTTGCGACACTTTTGCTATAAATAATCAAGCTGGCAGGGGAAAAAGGGATTTCTCTGTGCAAAAAGTTGGATGTTTTGTCGAGAAACAATTGTATTTATTTCCAACTGAAAGCTGACGGGAAATTTTAGGAACACTTGGATGTCATGGGGGTTCCTCTGTGATTTAAGGCTGACAAACTTCATATCCTTTATGCCCCTCACTGACAGAACAGGGTGTGTCAAGGGAATCAAAGCCTGTGGTAGAAGTCTAGATACATGAAGGTGTCAGGAGCAAAAGGACTCACAAATTAATGTCTCCCTGATGATTTGTTCTGAATCCAGGTATTTTGGTTGTCAGGTATCTTGGTAACATGTGACAATGTGCTCTTTATTCCCACACACACACTTTGGAAAGTGAAGAGTTTTTAAAAAGAAACTAAAAAAAAAATAAATGGGAAAACTGATTAGTTATTCAAAAGCTCTGGAAAAAAGCTACTTCTCGTGAAGGAAAAAAAAAAAAACATCACAAAAACAAAGAACTGATGGTTATCCTTTTGCCTTTGAATGCAATGTTTTCAGTCTTATGTTTCTATTTTTAGCTTTTCAATGATTTATTCAAGAATAATGCAAACCGGTCTGAGAATACAGAAAGAAGACAAAATCAGAACTACTTCATGGAAATGATGACTGTAGAAGGAGTCTATGACTACTTACTGTATGTTGGTAAGAAGTGATTTTCTTGCCAAATATGAAGTTGAGGTTCTTTGGTAAGAAATAAAATTCTATTGTAGTACTCGTATATAATTCAGCACTTGCAAGCTTAACAATACAGAATTTAAGAACACAGTCATTCTTTCAAAGACTATTGCTGGGCTAAAATATCAGAATTTGTCATTCATTATTGCTCAGTTGTTTTGTTATATCTCTTTCCACATCTCAGTGCATGAGCTTATGGGAGAAGGTCACTTCCCTTTTCTCAGTTGTGCCTAGGCTGCTTGTATGCTCTGGCAACTAATTGATAAAAACAGCTAAGGGAAGTATTTGACAAGCAATCTGGAGAATACAGTTTTGTGTTTTTTTTTTTTTTAGTGTTGCACTAACAAAACCGAAATATTACTTATTTGTAATCTTTTTTTTTTTCTTCTTTTTAAATGTTTTTTTCTTTTGAGTAAGTGTTCCCTTGTCGGTATTAGGAGAGCCCTGTAAATGTGTTTTACTGTAATTTTGCAGGTAGGGTAGTTTTCCGCATTCCTGACTGGCTGCATCATCTCTTGATGGGAGGAAGAATTCTCTTCAAAAATACATTGGAACTGTACACAGACTATTACTTGCATTATAAGTTAGAACAGCTATTTCAGGAGCACCGGCTGGTTTCTCTGATAACACTGCTGCGAGGTTAGTAAAAGTTAAATTTTTGATGTGAAAATACTGCTTTAGTTTGATATTTGAAATCCCTTCTGTTAAGTTTCCAAGTACTAAGCACTGCAATGCTTGACTAGAGCTAATGGAGTTTTGAAAATCAAGTGGGCCTATAAAAAGATTCCAAATGCTCCTTACAGAAAGATGCAAAGTCAGCCACATTGTCAGTGATTACAGAAGTATTGTGAACAGTAATTTGCTTAGATGTGCAAAGAACAATAAAACAGAATAAAGGTGGTTTCGTATATCAGAGCACAAATATTTTATGCAATCTTTAAATTACTTCTCGCTTGTGTGCTAGATCACAAAACTTTGTTGTTAATTTTTTTTGTTCCCTTTGTTGTGGTGGGCTTTTGAGAGGGCTTGACTGTCCTTGGCCTTCAGATAAAGGAATGGAAAAGAGGTTAAAGAAATAAAAAATAAATAAAAATTACCTCACAACTGTAGAGAAGTATTGCCTGACTACAGTCTGATCTAAACACATCTGGCCAAAGCTCTGGAATCAAGGCAGCTCTTGTCCTTACCAAGCCAAAAAGAAAGCTTATGAAAGACAGAAAAGGAAAGGAGTAAGTCTTTCGGAGCCTAAAACCAAAACCGAGTGCCTAATATTTCTGATGAACAGCAATTCTTGTTTCCTCATTCACAGGTAAATCTGAAATTTTTGACAGTTCCAGACAGTGTTTATACCTTCTGCTAAAACACTGTGTTTTAGCACAAGGTATAAACACTGCTTATGGTTTTGAAAGTATAAGAGAAATCGTAAGTAAGGAGATCATAGCTAACCTAAAATAGAATTGTTCCAAACCTAGAAGACAATGCTTTAAAAATTTGAAAATAATGGAAACAAATTGGCAAAATATTATTGTTCTCCACCTAAGTGGGCTATTCTGAATTCGATCAGGCTGATGTAAGCATAAGACAATTATCTGGCAAGGCTAGAATTCCCTTCTCGTCAGGATCATACAGAAAAGAAGATCAACTTCTAAGCTGTAATCCAAACCGGATTTTATGTGTCGGTGATTCATAGCTGCCTAAAGACAACTTTTTCAATGTGTCTTCGCTGCAGATGCTGTATTCTGCGAGAATACTGAACCTCGCTCTCTCCAGGATAAACAGAAGAGAGCAAAGCAGACTTTTGAAGAAATGATGAGATACATTCCAGGTTCTGCATTTCGTTACTTTCTAGATGAGTATGGTTAATTGTTCAAGCAGATATATAACCCAAATACAGCCACATTAGCTTTCCAAATCAAGTAATACGCTGCGGAGGTTTGAGTTGATTAGAATATGAGGTAAAAACCCAGGAGTTCAGTTTCATCCCTTAAGTGTTGCTGACTGAGGTTGTAGCACAGTGATTAATAAAGCCGTGATAGACATCAAGAGCTTTACAGATGTACTAAATTCCATAATTTTTTTTTTTCGAATGCTCCTGTGGTTTGTATTTTATCCAGATGAAAACTGGGTTAAAAAAGGCACACCGTGAAGCCATGAGACCAATCGGGGCTCTCCTTACACGTCTAAACTAGGGAAGAGGGGCCCATTTGCTAGGCTATTCAGAAAGTCATTTTAAAATTTCAGCTTGTGGTTTATGAAGCAATGCATGAGGACAATACGTTGATATTATCAAAAGTGTAATAATTACTTAGGTGTGCAGCCCTGAAGGAAAGGGAGACAAAAAGGAGGAACCAAAGGAGTATTCTTCCATTTACTCCTTTCGATAGATAAAACTTGAACTCTTCCTTTAATTTAACCTTTTTATTTTTTAATTACTGAAGTTCTGTAACTGCATTGTACAGCTGTTTTGCAGTACTTCCTGATGACTGGTGTATTTGTTGGTGTCTGGTCTAGATTTAATAGGCAAGTGCATTGGGGAAGAGGCTAAATATGAAGGCATCAGGCTTCTGTTTGATGGAGTGCAGCAACCCGTGCTCAACAAACAGGTAACTCGTAACACGTGGGAGAATTGCCTTTTGGCACAGCAATTCCTGAAGTGAATGTATGGCCATAGGAGAGGAGTGAGCTCTAATTCACTATTCAAAATAAAGCGCAGTATACTGTGTTGCCTTCAAGTGTTCTTAATTTTCTTTATTGTCTTTTAGTTAACTTATGTTCTGCTGGACATTGGGATTCAAGAACTCTTTCCAGAGCTGAGTAAGGTATGTGCTAACTCTGTTCAAGAGCTGCAGAATTCTTCAAGCTGCTAGTGAGTCTGATCGTGGGTGCGTTTTTGCTGTTGATCCCTTATAATACTAATTTTAAATTTTGGGGAAAATCTGTATTTGACAACTCTGAAATCATTGAAATCCGGATTATTTACATTTTTGTTAATTAGCTCTTTCTCAGTCAGTTCAGGCTCTTACCTAGCACACAATAATTCTGGAGAATTCTGTCTTTCAGGAGAATTGGACAGAGCAATAAGCAGTCAGGATCTCTGTGCCTTTCTTTTTGATTGATGGTCTCCACTCCTATTTTATGCATTTCCTGATTTAGGAAGTGAATTCTACATGCAGAGCTCAGGTTGAGCTTCAGCATTTTTTTCGAGAATACTTGGCAGGAGGGTTTCTTACCTCTAGTTTGGGGACTGCAATTTAAACTCCAACTATCCAGATAAAAGAGAAAGAATTTGCACAACACAAAATGCTATATAAACGCCTGTCAGTAGGTTTGTGATCTGTCTTCTATTTATACTTACTTGTATATAATGCCTTCACAGAGTTTGGGGTAGTAATTTCACAGTTTGGTCTTCATGGTATACAGGAGATATTAGCCAGTTAACTAGATAGAGAAAAAAAAAAAACAATAAAGCCCCTCGCTTACAATAGGTGTTTGTTGCATGGGTGCTGTGTTTGAGAACTGCAGAGTGCCAGCAGTGATTTGTTTTGCATGATAAACAGAAATAAATGTTAGACATAAGAACAAGCTAGGGCACCTTCCGTTGTTTTCACTGGAATGAGTCCAGCTTAGCAAGTCTAACCTACTCAGTGCATCAGCTCTGTAGCTGTCCTCCTCATGGCAGTGTTCAGAGAGTTAAAAACAAACAAAAGACCCAACTGACCGAGGGAATGAGGAAGTCGCCTGGAGACCTGTGTGCTGCAAAAAAGACCTCAGAGCCCTGCTGTTTTACTCTGCTGAGTAATCAGCAGATACAAGTGAGTTTATCTCAGCAGCTTATTATATATATATAGGGCCATTGATCTTTCTTCAGCTGATGCTGAAAAAAACCTAAAGGCTTAAGCATTTAAATAGTCTTTAAAGCCCCGGTCAGGCCCAGAAGGTGGTGATCAGTGGAATAAAGTCTAGTTGGAGGCCAGTAACTAGAGGGATATCCCAGAGGTCAGCTGTGGGTCCAGTCATGTTTATTATCTTCATAAATGATCTGGATGATGGGGCAGAGCGTGCAAGATTGGTGATGACACAAAACCATGAGGAGTGGCTGATACACCAGAGGGTCCTCAACAGCCTGGAGAGACGGGCTGACAGGAACCTCGTGAACTTCGACAAGGGGAAATGCAAAGTCCTGCACCTGGGGAGGAACAACCCCAGGCACCGGTACGTGCTGGGGGCCACCCAGCTGGAAAGCAGGTTGGCAGAAAAGGACCTGGGGTCCTGGTGGGCACCAAGCTGACCGTGAGCCAGCAACGTGCCCGTGCTGCAAGGAAGGCGAATGGGGTCCTGGGCTGCGTTAGGAGTGTTGCCAGCAGGTCGAGGGAGGAGGTGCTGCCCCTCTGCTCAGCGCTGGTAAGGCCACCCCTGGAGTGCTGTGTCCAGGGCTGGGCTCCTCAGTGCAAGAGAGACATGGGTATACTGGAGAGAGTCCAGTGAAGGGCCGTGAAGATGGTGAAGGGACTGGAGCGTCTCTCCTATGAGGAAAGGCTGAGAGAGCTGGGACTGTTCAGACTGGAGAAGGGAAGGCTCAGGGGGATCTCATCTATATCTACAGATACCTGCAGAGAGGGTGCAAAGAGGACGGAGCCAGGCTCTTTCCAGTGGTGCCCATTGACGAGACCAGAGGCAGTGGGCACAAACTGAAACAGGAGGTTCCCTCTGAACATCAGGAAACACTTTTTCACTGTGAGGGTGAGCAAGCACTGTTACTGGTTGCCCAGGGAGGCTGTGGAGTGTCCATCCTTGGAGTTATTCAAAAGCCATCTGGACATGGTCCTGGACAACCAGCTCTAGATGGCCCTGCTTGAGGTTTGGGCCAGCTGACCTCCAGAGGCACCTTCCAATCCCAACCATGCTGCAGTTCCATAACCATGTGTGTGTTTAATGGGGTGAAATACTTTTTCTTCAAAAACAAATCAAGAAAAGATTATGTAATTTAAATCAAGATTATAGTTTGTACAAATTCTTAATCCATCCTTTTGTTTCCTGTAACTGTGACACTGACTGCTTCACAGTGTTTCAGAAAACCACCTGCTGTGGAGGGACCTCTGATCCTCCCTTTGGTCCTAGTGAAACAGCAGTGTTGAGGGCTGGGCTCCCCCTGTCCCCTGGGACTGAAGCTGATGGGAACAGAGTGATGAAATTCGCCAGCCCAGATTTCAGTAGGGGAAAGGAAGAGAAAATACTCCAACCAGGAACTTCATCTGTTTTCCCATTTTGGATGTACCGAGAGTGATACAGAACCAACTACTACTTCTGTGATCTTTGTCAGTGGGACTTGGTCGTGAGCGTACTAGGACTGTGACGGACTGAGTGAGGCAGCTGAGGAATCACCGTGAGAAGCGCAAGGTGGAGAGGGTATGGGCAGAGGACGGTGGTTTTCATCTGGAGCCATAAAAAAATTCCCCCAAATCACTGCGAACTGGCTGTGAAGCCACTTGGGAAGAGAGTTGTTTCCTCTAAGAACTGTAATGTGGAAGTTTAAAAGTAATGACTGGTTCTTAGTTATCAGTTATATTGTCAGGGAGACTGAGTGCACCCTCAGCAGGTTTGCTGATGACACCGAGCTGTGTGATGTGGTTGACGGGCTGGAGGGAAGGGCTGGCATCCCGAGGGACCTGGACAGGACGGAGAGGGGGGTCCGTGCAAACCTCCTGAAGTTCAACAAGGCCAACTGCAAGGGCCTGCTCATGGGTCGGGGCAATCCCAAGCACAAATACAGGCTGGGTAATGAGTGGATTGAGAGCAGCCCTGTGGAGAAGAGCTTGGGGGTGTTGGTGGATGGAAAACTGACTGTGAGCCAGCAATGTGTGCTCACAGCCCAGAAAGCCAACCGTGTCCTGGGCTGCATCAAGAGAAGTGTGGCCAACAGGTCAAGGGAGGGGATTCTCCCCCTCTACTCCACTTTTGTGAGGCCTCACCTGCAGTGCTGGGTCCAGCTCTGGGACCTCCAATGTAAGAAGGACATGGGCTGCTCGAGCAGGTCCAGATGAGCCCATGAAGATGATCAGGGGGCTGGAGCCCCTCCCCTGTGAGGCCAGGTCTCCGGGGAGACCTTAGAGTGGCCTGACAGTACCTAAAGGGGGCTACAGGAAAGATGGGGAGGGACTTTTTATCAGGGAGGGTGGTGATGGGATGAGGGGTAATGGTTTTAAACTGAGAGAGGGTAGGTCTAGATTAGATGTAAGGAAGAAATTCTTTCCTGTGAGGGTGGTGAGGCACTGGCACAGGGTACCCAGAGCAGCTGTGGCTGCCCCCTCCCTGGAAGGGTTCAAGGCCAGGTTGGATGGGGCTGGGAGCAGCCTGGGCTGGGGGAAGGGGGCCCTGCCCGGGGCAGGGGGGCTGGAACCAGATGGTCTTTAAGGTCCCTTCCAACCCAAACCGTTCTATGATTCTATGTCGCAGGGAGAGGGAAATCACTCCAATGACTCTTTTCTCTGTTCAGCAGAGACTGGTCCTTTTTTGAGTTGCTTTATGCCAAAATGCATTTGTAGTTCCAGTGGAGAACAGAAAAATATTTCAGATCAGTCAGCATTTAAAGGGAAAACCGAGTATCCTGGTTGTTTTGTTTTGAGCACTCCTCCTTCAGCAGGGGAAACAGCAGTGGGAGAAATGGGAAAATTTTTGTTGGCAGGGATGTCAGTCTGCTTCCCATTCTTTAGATTGGATATCTTGAAGGTATATCCTGCTACACGTGCCAGTGCAGGTATATTCCGTATCACTTGTTAGATCCCGTGTTTAACGGCAGCGTGCGCAAGTGAACGAGCTCTAAGGAGAAGAGCTGAAAAACGCCTGTTAGGAGTTTTGCCTTTTACACAATGTACAGCCAGTGCCTTGGAAGTCTGTCAGAATACAAGGAAAAAGGACAGCTGAGAGAGGAGAAGCATTCCTAGTAGAGGAAGGAAAAAAAATCCAGTTGAAAAAATACCATAGCAGTGCCATTTCCAGAGCAGGAAATTGCTGCGTTAAGAAAATTGTATTTAGCAGTCAGGAATGGGGAAGGTGAGAACTTCCAGAGAAAGCAGAAAACACCTTTTTTGAGAAGTAGCATTAAAAGCCTGAAAGCTGTAGCCTTCCTTTCTCTTAACTCTGGTTTCAAGTGGATGTTTTCAAATACCATTAATTGTTGCAGCTCAGTTCAGTCATTTATATGTAAATATGCATTTTCAAATTTAATGCGTAACTTTTTTTCTTTTTCTTCCATTATTGTTTAACAGGGTCCGAAGGAAGCTAGCTCTGTATCGTGTTGGATGTGAATGCAGGGACCTTGCTGGACATCCTGGAGAAACATCTGGTGTGCATTACTGTAATGGACATGTGACATTTTAACTTCGCATTGTATATTTTCTTGTAAATAACATAAAATTTAAGTTCTAAAAAAATCTCTTCATGCAATAAAGACATTAAAATTTAATACCAACTACAAGTAAATAATATATCTACGCTTTTTATTTGAAATTTATTTTAGCTGTTATCAGTAAAAGTCAAATTAATTTCCCCAAAATTGCTGCGTGTGAAATTACAGGGTGACATAAGACGGCTGGGAGATCAGCCATTGCAAGCTTTGCTAAAAGAGCAATTACTCTTGTCTTCTTCAAAGGTTATGTAGAAAAATTGTTTGGAAGAAGTTGTCGAATGCTCCTATGAAGTTATTTTGAACTGTCTTAACAAATCTCACTAATTTTTTAAAAACAAAATTACATGATTGAATCTACTGCATACAAATCATCTCAGACCTGTCTTTGGCCTTCGTGCTTTCCATGAGCATGGAAAATCATGTGTATAATTTAGTTTATTTAATATCTGACCTTCAAATCTAAAGCGGTCTTAAAATGAGCGTGAAAAGTGGTTTTGACTTTTACCGTAGCCTTTCTTTTTCTGCAGTTTATCTGGGTTTGTTGGGTTTTTTCTGACATCCTCTTAACAGGCTCAGACAAGAGGATGTGAGTCTGTTCATGGCATTTCCTAAAATCATTGGTGTATAAAAATGTGTGGAAGATTTTTCCTGTACATCTTAATTTGCTGGCCCAGCCTTTATAAAAGACTTTGAAAAGGACTTTCATGTGTGGATTTTTAAGAAGCTTTACTCACAGAACAATACAGCGCTGTTTTAATAGGCATTCCTCAATTCTCCTTTTCAGACAACATCCATTCTCTCAAAACCAATCTATCTGCAGTATCAGTGTTCTTTTTCAATACAATTATCTGTCTGTAACACTTTTCAATACCTTTTCCTTCTGTTTGTCAAAAGGAAGGTCAAAGTGTTACTCCTCTCTGGCTATGCCCAAGGAGTTGTTAAACCTTCAAAAATTGGCGTGCAGGTACAGCTCTGTCCATACGTGCATTCTGTTACTGGTTTTATCTTGATTTGGGGAAGACCGTTCTCTAAATTAATAAGTTTAGGGACTGGTAGTGACAAATCAGTAATACCACGTTATAACTAAGAGTGTGTCATGGTCAGTTGTTTGTCTCCCTCTTCTAGCACAACTTACCTGATGCAGCTGTGTAGTCCAGATCTCTTCATGCACAAGGCTTGGATTTATGCAAAAACTGATGAGGTCTTGCAATTTGAGTGTGCCAAGTATTTATCTTAGTGAACCTTCTCTTTGAAATGTGTGGGTCCAGTGAATTTAAAAGGCAAGTAGCTTTGGTCTGAAAAAGTGTGTAGTGAGCTTTCCAGAAAAACAAAGCAGGTTTATTCAAAACACTGATAATTAGTTTAATACAGCAATAAACAACATGGAAACACACTGATGTCAAAATTCCAAATGTGAACGATCTTAGAAAAATAATCATAATTTGCACTCATTTATAAGCAATTACTTCCTGATAAAGTGCCAGAAATGTAGACTTGGCATTTAAGCGGATTTCTGATTTTATACTCATTAGCCTCTGTCTCAGAACTGTGTATTTTTTAAACATGGCCTCCCCACAGAATAGACAGGCTTTCGAGGTGTGATCACAGTTATGATAAAGCCAGATTATGGTGTAGAAAGCCCCATTACTGGGAGATTTCCAAATGCTGCTGCAGGAGTCTATGCACGTATGCGACATTTTCCCTGAACGTTGCTCATAGAGAGTAATGGTCAGGAGTCCTGGGCTTTGGTCTTTGGGAGAAGGTGTAAAATTGAGCGTATAAAGATGAAACCTAATCATAGATTATGTTCTCACTCTAGGTACAGTCCCCAAAGTGGTCATACTGAATAGTGAAGTACATATACTCAATTTGTTAAAATTAATCAAAATCAAATCAAGCTTTCATTGCATCCTTTCCTTTATTAATGGAAGACATAAGTGAGACGTTGCATCTTCAAAAGTAAAATGGAAAAACTTTCTTTAATGGGTCTCATGCTTTTAATGACACTGAGTTTAATCCAGCTGCTTCAGGCACTGGTATAGGTATGATAAATACGACTGGAAGCAAAGTAGCCTTACTAGATTGAAAGCTTTAAACCTGAGTGGAGATCAAAGAAAGGTATATACACCTGTAGTAAACTAATTTCTAGAAGCTTGTTTATGTGGCTGGAATCAGATTCTTAATTGAGTCACTATCTAAAGCAGGTAGAAGAATGTGACTAGTTAAAAATACCCTGTTTCGGTCAGTGGTTTTATGATGGAGCATTAGTACTCACTGAAACTTTGCTTTTTGAAACCTCCAAGTGAACTGTGGGTATCTGCTGATTCAATCGGAGGGAAGTCATGAACTCTGCCCCCTCACTCTGCGGGGTGTGCTTCAATGACTCTACCAGGTTAAAGACAATTGCTCGTGCTGTTTACGGTTGACGTGCAGCACCATCACCAGTCATTCATTTTAAGAACTGTTTTCTTTCATCAGCAGTATCTTTCCTCTTGCCTTCCTCCAAACAAAAACACAAAATCAGGTATGCAGGAATGTTACAGTGAACAATACAAAAATCAGGGCGAGGCTTGCTTCAGTAAGACTTCCAGAAGAAAACTTTATTCGACCTTCAACTGCTGGGTAAACTCTCTTCATTCTCTGGAGGTAACGTGAAATAACCTCAATATCAGGTTCACCTAAACAAACAATAATAAAAAAATGGTGTTCTATGCAGTAGCCAAGCTCTGAACCAAAATTTAAAAACCTGTCTAAAAATGGCAGTTTTAGCTCAAGTCTTAAACTGTTTTCTACAGTTTGCCATGCTGAATCAGCACACATCAACACAGTGTTGTAGGGGTGTGGAGAGTTGTTTCTTGTGCACAGGTAAAACATCTGTGGTGGTTTGTAGCCAGAATTTTTGATAGAAACTCATATTTTACCAAAAAAAGAATTTTCTTTTTTTAATTGTCTGGCTTTTGTTTTGTTTTGCATCAGTTACATTGGTAACTCCCAGTCAGATTTAGGTAGGTGGAGACAGTCTCCCACCCATCTGGGGTAGAGTGCTGTAGATTTGAAAGTCTGTATTAGAGTCTGAAGAACTGTACTTTCATTAAAAATTTAACTTTTTTTTTTTTTTTTTTTTTTTTTTTTTTTTTGGAAAAATTTCTAGTCTGTGCACTGCTTCCTCCACACAAAGTATGATGTGGATTTTCTGCAGTGGAAGACCCTCTTCAGTCACTGCTGCCAACCATGTCACAAGCCCCTTCAGACCCCAGCTCTTACAATCCTCAAGTGCAACACCTCTTCCTTAAAAGTAATTACAGTTTTGCCCCTCTGCTATAAGTGGACGACTTTACCAGAACCTGCCAAGTTGTTCCGTTTCATTACTCTCAATGATTCCTCCCCATGTGAATTTATTTCTGCAAGATTCGTGTAACAGATATTTAATGAAAACTACATCCTCCCCACATTTACCACACGTAGACTGAATTTGATTTAAAACACCACTTGTACCTGTGAGAATCAATTTTAAATTGAAACACCCTGTAGAACCAAAAAAATAGTCTGTAACGAAGGTCCAAAATGAAAATTTTTTTGGTAAAAGCATGTGCTGTTGCCATCCAGAAGCAGAACGTATGAAATTAAAAGTTCTACAAAATGTAAATGTGTTCCTAGAAGATACTTTTTTTTTTTTTTAAATACAGCACTACATCCTGTTTTCAGAAATAATGAATTTTAATCTCAATTTTTAAGTTTTCCTTTGTCCTGAAAGATGTATATGTCAGTTGTACGGATGCAGAATTTCTAACAGATTGCATGCAAGTTCAGAGGACCCTCAGACAGCACTGTGACCCACCTCCCATCTGCCCCTCCAGCGTGCTGCCGCCTGCAGAACGCGTGAGCGTCCTGCTGCCTTCGGAGGGGCCAATTCCCACAGAGCCCAATTCCCACAGAGCGAGTTGGCATCTTTCCCCTCGCCCTCTGTGTTACCTGCCCAGACTGCACATCCTTTAGAAGCAGAGGTGACGACTCTGCCTTTGTAAATACTTCTATACAGTGCAAATTTAAAGTCTAAAGAAAATAGCACCTTTTTTGATGCAATGTTTAGTAATGAGTACAAGCGCAAGGCCGTGTACGTGGTATGTACTCTCTCTAGTGTGTTTTTTGCTTTTTTTTCTGGTTTATCATGATCTCAGATCTGCTCTCTAAGGAGTGCTGAATTGGTAAGTCTCAGTTTCTCTTTGAAACTTGAAGGAGAATATAGTTACTGGCTACAACCAAAACTGCCAATCCAGAGCAGACCGACTAGAAACAAATTTGATCTATCCAGTGAAAACAAAAAGTCTGATATTTGTACTGTTGAAAGATCGTTTAACTTCTGGAAATTGCTTGTCTGCTCCCCTGTTGGTGCCCATACTTACCTTTACTGTATCCCAGATTCTTGTCTTTCAGCATACGATAGCCATCTCCTCCAAATAACATATAGGATGGCAGAGTCACGTTGTATATTTCATCCATCTGGAGTGGGACATAGGCCGGGACTCGGCAGGCTGTGCAAAGCACTTCTAAGCTGACGACTCTGCTTCCTGGGGCTCTGGAGAGATCGTAGACCACGTGGATGCCTGTAAAAATACAGGTTCGAGTGCCACTTTATGCAGTGCCTGCTGAGCATACAGGGCTAGGAACAGTATCCTCCATCATCTTCAGCTGATTCTTTCCATTAGTTTCTGTGACTGAGAGGCTGTGTCATTCTGAATTATACCGGTTAATGCCCTATTCTCCTTGCATATTACTCAGCTTTTAAGCAAGAAAACTCACGCAATTAGAGAACTGCTGAAGCACTGTCCCACCTCAGTCACTTACCTGATCGTCTGTTCTCGTCACTACTCCACAGAAGGAAATTACTAGTCATGGGATTAGGATACTTCAAGATAAAAATACCTTCCCTTATTCCTGTAGTCATATGCTTTTTCATTCCCCAGGCTTGTTGGCTGAAATTACTTCTCTTAAAGCCAGCCAGCCACCCTAACCTAGCAGCTATTACGGGTAATAGGTGCTGTCCTGAAAAGGGAAAGTCAGGCCAGGGCTGAAAGTTGCGGTTTCTACTCACTGTGGGGGAAGTAACATTTCTAGTTGTGAGCCTTCCTTTGTCAAAGCCTGGGGAGAGTTAGGCCCCCAGAACAGCATTGCCAAGAATGTGCTGGTCAGGAAGCCACTAAAGCTTGTCCAAAGCAGAGAGGCTCTTCCAACCCTGGTGTTCTTCCTGCTCTGTATCTTCTGTCCTGAACCCTTTCCAGAGCTACTAGTTATCTTACTTTTCTGTGAGAAGGCAGCAAGGAGAGGAGCTGCTGCTGCTTTACCTCAGCAGTAGCTAAGAATGTGGTAACTTACTGGTGAAAGTGCAAGACATGGGTTGTGTCCTTGGCCTGTGGGCGTTCTAGATCACGGGCTGGGGGAGGCAGTGCCCCCATCACCAGGCTACGTGGGGGGAGAGGTATGGAGGAGGGGGAAATCCGTCTGCCCTGGCCCTCAAAGTTTAGCTTTTCTGCTAAATAAACAATAAAATCTGTGCCGCGTCACAGAGAGACCAGGAATAAACATGACTGTAGCCTAGTACACATCTGGATAAATATATGGTGAGCTGCAACTCAAGAAATGTGTATGGTTTTAATATTAACTGTTCATCCCGAAAACATTGAGAAATTCACTGGAACAATTCCATAGCCTACTTGGACTAACTCTAAAACTGTCAGCAATCATTAGACAATGGCACAAAATTATTTTGATAACTGAAATTTGGCAATAACTGGCAGAGACATCCAGTCTGGGGTTTCAGGTAGACTGCCGGTCAAGAACTGAAACCCGGGGTTTGATGTAGCTAGTACTGTGTTACAGCTATGCTCCATTGTATCTTCCTGTAGTTAACTGAAACATTAAACTGCTGCCCTTGCGGGTTACTGAAGCAGCTGGGAATCCTGTCTCTGCTGAAGGGAACAGTGATGGCCTGTGTGGGGCAGCAGCTCAATTAAACATACACAGGAGAAACAGCGTTACATCTGGCAGGCGTGAGGAGCAGGGCTAGGATGTACGGCCAACTTGATTTCCATTCTGAAAGAGGCTTCCAGGTGTAATACAAAGAGGGCCAACAGAAGGGATGGCTGGTTTGGAAAACTAAGAAGGGGAAGGAAGAAAACATACCTCCAACCTGCAGCAGCTCGCCGCTTCCTCTTCCGTACCTGTGCACACTGTGCTCAAAAGCTTCTTTCAGAGTGGAGCCTTTTAACCTTACCAAATCAAAACGACCTCCAAATGGCAAAACAGACAGCAAATCTTCCACAGTAATGCTACCTGAGGGAATGAGACTTTATTTACTATTTTTTTTTTGGAAGTTTACAGAATTATTTTAGGATCATTTAACAGTACATTTTTGACAACGAATGTGGCAAATACAATTTAAGAGAATGAAGGCCAGTAGAAGTGACAATCACATATACTGTCCCAAGCAAAGAGCCTATGTCTTTATCATCCAGGAAGTATCAAGACAAATAAATCTGAGTCTGATGCAACTGCATGTACTGCTATTCAAATAACTCCAGTAAAAGAGATTACAAACCACCAGCCTAAGCTGAAGAAACACAGCTATTCTTACTATGTCAAGCAATTTTTCCAGTTGCTTAAGATTTACTCACAGAGTCCTACAGGAAGATTTAGCTAAGCTGAAAAAGGTGTTTGTTTTCAGGTTTCATTTATATGGTATCAGAAAAGTAAAAACTGTAAAACCTTAGCACTCAGAAAACCCCAGAATCTACTTGTTCTACAGCAGACTACAGAAGGCCCCCAGCGCCCATACCGGATGACCCTGTAGAGTAGGTGAAGATTATCCACTGTCTTTCTTTGTTCCAAGGCAGCAAGGAGAGAGAAAAATAATAAAAAGCACTGTGTACGAACAACGCTAGGAACTTCTGTTAATGTCAGCCTGAGGCATTTGTGCTCTAACGATGGAAAACCATTCGAGAAAGTTTGACATCGCTTCCAAACACTGTGCAAATCCCATCAAAACAAGCCCATAGCTAACCCTGTGCTCAGGCTTGCATGGAAACTTGATTCTTTCTTCTTGATCAAGTTGTTATGATACCTCGTAATTTTACATACCATTCGTGCTCTGTTCATCAATGGCTGACCGTATCCCACCTCCGTTCAGGATGCACACTGAAACATGGTTCCATGACTTTTTATCTGGACGTCCGACATTCTCATAAAGCTACCAAAGGACAATGTTTAAACTGATTTTTAATCTTCACTTAGTCTAGGCTCTGGAAATTTACACCCAATACAATCTGAGACTGAAAAGAGACAAAGGTTTTATATCTTCTTTCAAATTACCTTCAGCCCCACTGTAAAATACTTAATTATTAAAAAAACACAAGGCAAAACACATCAAAATAACTATTTTGCTTTTTAAAATTTTTAACAAGAAAAATATTTCCCTTTTTCCGTAATTAACTCTCAGGCTCTCCCATAGTCTGTGGGCATGGGACATAGCCAGTGCAGGCCAGATGAACAAAGGAAGGGTGATTTCTTTATTCCAATATCTGTGATAAAGACAAATGATTTCAGCATGTTTGGACAATTGGGAAGTGAAGAGGACCTTAAATATAGTTGCACATTAAAAACGTAGGGCAGTGTATAGATTAATCTAGCTGTTATTGTAAATTGCAGGAAATTAGGATTTTTCAGCTTCTCTCAGATTGGTTTAATATTTAATACTTGGATTGGTCTTGGCAAACTAGAAAGATGTAGAGGAGTGGAGGAACAGGTAACAGGCATCCTAGGTCAGACCCAAAAGTCTACTCTACACAGCATCATGTCTCCAACAGTGTCAAGACCGACAAAATGCAAGGACAAGACAATATTTGCTTGAGGCATCCTAAGTAATAAAATAGAAACCAGGGATTTACTCACTTGCATAAGGATGATAAGCGTACAGTGCTAGTCCTGAGTAGAACAGGAAAAAGCTGAGAAAAGAAGCAAGAATAATGGAAGGGATGGACTGGTTTCTGTACAGGAGTGACTATGGTTATGACTCTTCAGTCTCACAGAGAAAGAGAAATACAGGAAGGACATGACAGAAGCCTGTAAAATCAAGAGGGGCATGTGGAGGCTGGGTAGGAATCTGTGTTTTCTCATCTCAAGAATGATAAAAACCTAAGAAAGATGCAGAGAGGGGTGACAAGGATGGTCAAAGACAAAGAAGAGCTTCTGAAGGCAAAACAATGATGTAGGCTTGGACTGTCTGACCTGGTAAAGAGACAACGGAAGGAAAATATTCAATGAAGCCTATAAAATCATGAGTGGCATAAAGAGTGTTGGACAGGGACCAAGTGTTCCAGTGCAAGGACTACTCCTTGGCCTCCAGCAGTCATCCAGCCAGTGGGCAGCAGGCAGCACGCAGACAAAAGACCAAAGTCTTTGCAGGCTGTGCAGGTCAGTGGTGGAAGCCCTGTGATTTGAGTACTGCCTCTCCACAGGCTTGCCCAGGAGTACACTCTTTCCTCACCATTCCCCCTTGGCCCCTCTTGGAGACAAGATGTTGAAACAGATGGTCCTGTCCTCTGTTCCAGTTTGGCCAGTTCTCTGCTGCACCCCTACGCTAAGTGTTTGCAGCCTCTGATCTGCAGGTGTGTAAATGTTTTGTGGCTCCAGCTTAGTGATCAAAGTTATTGCCTATGGCCAGATCCGTGGGATATTCTTAAATTTGCAACTCATAATCAATGAATGGATTGCAACTGTCCAGTCCTGAGCAGAGGCAGTTTAAAACAAGAGCTCACACAGTGCTGTTAGCAATTTCACAGCCTCACTTTCTGGCAGTGCTGCTGGACATTTATGGCAATGCTCGTTTTCTGGAAACAGTTACGTTAGTGAACATTTTTCCCTGGAGCACCTAAAGGAAATGGTGCTGCTGTGGGAGAGTAAACCAATCAAACTGAGCTAGTCTGAAAACTAGAAGTGACTTCCCATAGAGACCTTCTGGTGTTACGTGACCGTTAAAGCCCGGCGATACCTGTCAGGATGCAGCACAGGCCAGTGGCTCCGAGTTGGGGTGCTGGGGGCTGTTACCTCTCCTGCGCTCAGCTGTGTGTACGGCCTTTCCCCCTCCTTTGCTCTAGCTGGCACCTTTTGGGCTCTTCGGGGGGACAATTCTTATCAGTAGTTTGGCAGAAAACTACCCAGAAGTATTTTTCCAGGCTAGTGTGTTAAAAAAGGGTGACAGCAGAGCCCAGTGAGTAATGACGGGGCAGAAGGTAAGTGCTGTGAGCAGGGAGGGAAAGGGGCAGGGGAGCCGAGTTCTCCTCCCTGCTTGAGGAATGGGCTCTTTGGTCACAGGGCTGCACCTCTTAAAACTGCAGCTTCAGAGACAGCTGCCAACAAGCCATTCTCTAAATGAGGATATACGCGAAGAATAAACCACTCCTTACTCTGTACGGTAAGATTCATCAAAGCCTTGCTTCTGCCAGATCGCTCTAGGGACACACTAGACTGGCAAGCAGCACAGAGCCCGTGCGCTGAGAGCTCAGAGCCCGGGAGCATTTTATCTGATAGCTCCAGAGTAACGTTTAGATGTGATTGCCACCCGCGGTGGCAATGTCTTACCACAGCATCACAAAGCAAATTTCCCATGTTGCACTCTTGGAAACGGCACGCTTGGCTTGTACCATTCAGGTAAACACTAGTTTTTCCAATCTCTTTAGAATAATTCCCCAGGTTTTTCCTCCATTTTTCCACTTCTTCTTTGATGTGCTCATCTATAAAAGTGTAAAATAAGCATTGCACATATCTCATATTAATGACACTTCAGGAAAAAGACCGTGATCTTAATGATTCTAAAATGTTACACTTTCCCTAAAGACTCTTCAAGCAACATGACATCCCCACTCACCTCAAACAAAGCCTGTAAAGGGAGCAGGCAGGACAGGACAATCAAGTGAACAAGCTATTGCTGTACCACAGAAAGGTTATCTCCTCTGTAACACTTACAAATATTTTTTCCCAGTCCTGTTCTAACCTCTGACCAATGGGGTTTCTAGCAGCTAACCTCGACAGATGAGAGCTCCTATACAAGAATTTTTAATAGACAAGGGAGCCTGGTCTTTATTTGACATCATATTTTTTTTTCCTAATTATACTTCCTTCATCTTTAAAGTAGTGCTAAAAGGAATACTAGCTCAAATATCAATGTCTGGGAATAAACCTTTTATAGAAATTAATTCTCTGTGCACATCTGTCTGCCAGATGCAAATTTAATTCTTTCAGAAAAGAAACAGATACAAAGATACTTGTATATACAGACAGATAATGTCACAACAGTTTTATATCAGCTATTGGTTTTAAGCAATTTGCCATGTAACTGTCAGCAACAGCAACATCTACAAAACAGGAACACCTGTGTATCTGAATTTTTACTTTTACTGATATCAGCAAGAGAATGTAAAGTCTCTTCATCTTCTCATTACATTAACAGAACACTGAGAATAACATAGTAAATAAGAATATTTCTTTTTAAAGGATTTTTTTAATAAATACTCTGATAGAACCTAGAAAGTCTGATAAAAGTTCAGAGCTTCATAGAGCAAACACTGAACAAGAAACAAAGACTAGAGAACCAGCCCCAGGTAACTACAGAAGCAGTTAAGAGAGCTTGGACAGAGCTACCAACAGAAAGCAACAGAGAGACTCTCCTCCTCACAGTTCTATAAACGTTTCAGAGCCAAAACACCGAACACACTCAGCATTGAAGCCATGGGGTTTGTATATTACATTTGCACACTGCCAGAGCATTCCAATTCTTTTCTGGAACATTTCCACTTTCCTATATTGCCCTAAACTCTGCTCTGAAGAACCCAGACTCCGGGAAAACAGTGTAAATTTGTCCTCACCGTTTTTTAAATCATAATTACAAGGCAAGCTAGAATGGGGTCTGCTAAATGGTAAAGAGTGTATCACCCGAGTTCCTACAGAAGGACTTCGGGTGATTTTAAATAGATAAAAACATCCTCTGAATTTATGCATATTCAGAGGCTACTGTTCAGAAAGAGAAATAGAGGCAAATGGGTACAACTGTAACACAGCCTGAACCCTACACAGAAGAGAACTGCAAGCTCAGGAAGAAAGCTCAATTCTTCTTCGACATTGTACTGTGTGTTTAACACAGTAACACTTGAATTGTAGTAGAGTGCTGCGGGCAAATTCAGATGGTTAGTCCACATACCTTCAGGAACACTGCTGTCCAGCAGAATGGGGTTTCCAACTGCTTCAACTACATTTCCTTTCTTGTCAAATGTAACATTTAAGTAACCGAGATATTTTCCATAAGCATAAGCTTGTACAACTGGCACCTTCCTCCCATCATCTGAGTCAACCATGAACGGATACGGGCCAGCGGGCTGTTCAGTAGAGGGTGGGGTGCCTGCATGAAACAAGCATGTAAAGCTGGTCTTCAGCTCATGTGACCTTCAAGGAATTATTAGAATGACACCTCAAATGTTTCTCAGCCTTAAAAAGCCAAATAGGATATTAAGCAGCAACAACAACTAATGTATTGGACGACAAACACACGTTTGATTGTTCAGTTATGTTATTTCATAAGAGACAATGCTGTTTTCAGGACATGAGCTCTAATAACTGCCACAATGGTTTTTAAATTGTGACAGCACCCTCCTCCATGACATCACGTCACAATAGCAACAAAGGAACTTTTCATTCCAATTATTTCAATCTAAACCTCTCAGTAATGCACACATTCCAGCCTCTGGCTGAGAAGTTTATTGTTAAGCCTTCATACTACATTATTCTGCATCAGATAGAAAACGAGAATGTTCATAAAACACATATAAGATGTCTTGATACGAAAAAGTCTAAATTTTTATTGATAATATGCAGTCAGAATACCTACAACCAGTTCTGTGAATCTGTGCACACACCGAACAGATTATTTTTTACTGTACCCAATTTAGCCTCCAAAATTTCAGTCAGGCTGCAAACCCTCTGCAGAAGCAAACTTCATTAGCATTAGAGTTATGTGGTCATAGATTTCAAACTCTTATCAACCTGCAAAGTTTAAAGAGTGATTAGAGGTAGGACTTGGAAACAGATTAAAGGAAGGCATTTACAGAGAAAGGAGATCTCAGCTCAGTCGGCATAGGCTACCGCAGGATTTAGAAACCACGTAAGGAAGGAAAGCAGCAATGAAATCTACAGAGCACAGCTCTCGTCTCAAGGGTACCAGCCTTCTCCCTGTCTCCTTGAAAAGATCATCGGAGTAGTACCACTCCCCGCTGCTACTCCTGTCAGTATTTCTACCCCACTGTCAGCAAAGACCAAGGTCGGGCAGCTCCGCGGGGGATGGCGTGCTGCGTGGCAGGGCCCCGCCAGCGCCGGCTGCTCGCTCCTCTCCCAAAGCTGGTGGCATCTCCCCCCAGGTGTCGGCAGGAGCTGGGGTGCCCCTGGGGCGGGGGCACGGGGGAGCTGGCACGGAGGACGTGGATCTGGAGGAAAGCAGGCTCTTCACTTCCATTGCTCACAGAACAACTGAGTTTCTTCCATTTACAGTTGTTTATGTAATATGAAATCCTGTGATAAGCAGCGTGACAAATGTTCCACCCTCGAACTCCAATATGATTCACATTTATCTCTAATCACTCCTCCAGGGACAATGACTCTAACACACTACAAGCAGAACCAAATTTATCAGAGAGCTAGTTTTTCTACTTTCAGACTGGCCAACCGAGTTGGTTTCCTGTTAGTGCCTCTTCACTCTTTGACATTTATTTTGGGAAAAATTTAAGAACTCCTGTAGCTAATGAGAACCCTGCCAGATTTATGCACACGAAAGTGGCTTTAGGTTTTTTGGAAATGAAAAAAGAATCAGTTTTTGATCTCTTGCCCTTGTGTAGTCCTCGAATGAACAGAGCATCAGCAAGAAAAAGTTAGGCTTTCCAGTCACTGTTTTAGTTTACATCAGTTGTGCATGATTAAGTGCTTGTCCAGAGCCTTATTACTTTCTTGCTTTCTGAAGAAATACTTTCTGATACTGATACTTTCTTGCAGGATTAATGACCACTATGATATTATTCTGTCATAAGATAGATGTGTTCCTTCTGAAACTAAAAGACTTTTCAGTGCATCTTATCCCCAGAGGAAACAGCACTAGAATTCATGCACACATCTCAGTCAAAGTGTGAGATCTGTTGCGTTACAAATGCACAAACGCGTATTGGGTAACTGAAGACCCTCAGAACCCTTTTCTATTTTCTTACCTGGCTTTAGTCAACACACTACATTCTCAGAACATCCTTTCTGATCAAAACCAGAAACTAAAATGCTCTAACTTAAAAGTACCATTACTGTTTGAATCAGTTCTACAAACCCAAGACATAGACACACACACACAGAGACACTTAAAATTAGATGTTTTACGCTGCAGTCAAATCACCCCCACAGATGTGGCTATTTCCTTGTGAATGTTGGCTGACAGCTCTGACTCAGAAGGGAATGGTTCACACATGTGTTCATGGTGCTCCTGGATGGATCAGCAAGTGCCTCTCAGCACTTGGAATAAAAATTATAGACTCAGACCACATTCAGTCAAAAAACATATTTTGACTAAGTAAGTGGATACATATTTTTTGGTGTATCACTCCCAGATACTTTGTCTTACTTTTTATTTTTCTCACCTCTCCACTGTTAACAAAAAAGTAAGACAGACTTGTTTTATCAAAGCAGTATAGCCCTTGAAAAAGGAACCAGAACTCATCCCCAGCTGAGGTCTCTAACTGGGAAGCTGCAGGGCCCCATCCTATGCTGTCTCTGGCCTTGTGAATCTTGAACATCTTCAGATGGGGAGAGACAGAACAGCTGGACCTAGTCTAGTCTGACAGTGGGGTACTCTCTGGGATGACAAGAGAAGTGCATGTGAACTCCTATAGATCTAGACAGGATATGAGCTCAGATATCTCAACTCCTGCAGCACTTCCGATCACAATTACAAATTGTGAACAGCGGCACCTCTCTGGCCCACACCCCATAATGCATTTTGACTACTGTGGCTACCACTTCGAGGCACAAACTCTCTACAGGCATTGACCAACAAGCCTGTGCAAAAGAATCTGGATTGCACTGTGTAAACCCACGATGAATACTGTGTGCATCCTTGGTTTTCCCATCTTAAAATAACTGAATAAAACTGCTGAAAAAAAATGCAGTCGGTGGGCAAAGGGCTGCACACAGATAAAAAGCCAAGGTCTCTATAGGATGTGGGAGTCAGCGGTGGAATGCCCAGACACCAGCTCTGTGAAGGCAAAAGGCTGAAGGCACTCAAGGGAGATGAGGAAAGTTCAGGAAAGAGAAGTTCCAGTGGGAACTAGTAAATACTGAGACACTACTTGGAAAGTCCCTGAACTGCAAGCTGGTGGGAGAAACAGTGGATTTTAGTACAGCATCTCCACAGGCTTGTCTGCTCTTCCCTCACCATTCCCCCTCAGTCACTCTGGGAGACAAGCCATTAGAATGGATGGTCCTGCTGTCTGTTCCAGTTTGGCCACTTCTCTGCTGCACCCCCGTGCTAAGTGTTTGCAGCCCCTGACTTGCAGGTGTGTAAATGCTCTGTGTAATAAATTGTTCCCTGAGGCCAACTTCAAGAGATATTCTGAACTGTTTAATGTATAACTGTAGCATGCAATTGTCTCTCTTTAACAAGTGGGATACTAAAAGGTGAGAGCCCAGATGAGACAAAAATGACATGGGAAAGTGAGAGGAGAAAAGTAGGGAGAGGACAGTGCAAAATCTTTAAGTGATTAAGTTCCTGGGTACATGGTACTACCCCTGTGACTGAGGCACAAGGGCAATTCTGCTGAAAATTACAGAGAGTTCCTGTTACATTCTCAACCAGTTAGTGAAGTTGCCACTAAACGAGCCACCTTTGATGGTTTTAAAAAAACACAGCCTTTCTTTTACTTGTGTCCTTACACACTGGCACAGGGAAAGCAGCAGCACTGGAGAAGCTGCTGATAGCAGGTTCTTCCTAAAGTAGCACTGCTGTGGAAGAAATCAAATCAACAGTGTTTATCTCTGAAATGATGTCTACCTCTAGGGGAAAGAAGAATAAAGCCAGAGGTTAAAAGAGGGACTGAAAAAGACAGAGGAAACCTTGGAAAAGTTTTTTAATGACAGGGCTAATGGAGACCTATGAATACTGAATCAGATTCTATGGAAAATCAACACTGGTATTACTTCTGAAATCTTGTATGATTGATTTTTTTGTTGTTGTTAAGTCACATACAAGGTTAAATGTAACCATCTTGTTTACTCCTTTACATGTATGAACTTGAACAGATACAGTATGTTTGGCAGTAGTTTACCGGAATTGCTATCTTTGTTCCTCTGTCCCACTTTGTCTAGGTGACCTTGAACATCCACAGCATTAAGGAACATTTCAGTGGGTTAGGGTACTTCTTGCTCACAGACTGTTTTAAATTCTTCCATGGAAGTTATGGATAGGTACCAGCTATGAATCTGGCCCAGTACAGCCAGCAGTAAACTGTATTTGTGAAAGTTCTTCCAGTTTATAGAGAAACAGTTTCAGCTTTGCTTTAGAAGGAACATTTTAGCAAGAAATAAAATACCTGTATAGAGAAATGTGTTTGTATGTCCTCCAATTACAACATCCACTCCTTTCACCTTTTGAGCAATATTTTTGTCCACAGTAAACCCAGAGTGTCCTAGTGCAATTATTTTGTTCACTCCCATAGCAGTAAGTTCATTCACTTGCACTTGCAATGCTTCAATTTCATCTTCAAAGATGATATCATCCCCTTAACAAAACAAAACAAACAAACAAAAAAAAAGAACATGAATGTATTTACAAAGTACCTTATTTACTAGGTTTTTTTAAAAAAGTAGTTGATATCAGATACTATTTTGTATAATTAATGGAATATTGAATGTCAGTGGCTTTCAAATGCCCTTTGTTGGTTCAAGCTCCTGATCTGACCTGATGTTCTCCAGTCTCTCAGGAGCACCTGTATGCTTAGACTAATACAACATTTTTGCAATGACCTGTGTGTACTTGCCTATAGTAAACAAGTTGTAACTCCATAAAAAAATTCCAGTGACACCAATTGTGGGATCAGAAATTGAATGGCTTTTATCATTTAACAAGAGAAAGGAAACTATATGTGTCAGTGTTTGAGTATAAACAATTACATTGTACTTTAAAACTTTTTTCTTGCCAAATTATATTTCTTTGAGATCTTCTATTTATTCCCGAGTTACATCTCTCTCTTTTTACTCCACACTCATCTCATCCTTTGCCCCTACCCCCACCCTTGCCGAGGCTTTAAACAGCAGCTTCATCAAAGTCCTGCACTAAACTCCGAATTGCCCTTTTACACAAATTATGTGACCACTCTCAGTAATACCAACACAGCACAGCACACAACTGAGCTACCATCCCGAAACATGAACATAAAGAACAGAACGTCTGGATAGGAGAAACCTTTTCCAGACCACAGTATTGGGAAACTCACAATCTTTCTGCAAGGTTTCTGTGCCTGCTGAAATTATTCTAACAGGACAAACAGTTAAAAAAGCACTAGACAAACACGCGCTTTTATCATGGGTACAGTGTTTTGGGTTGTGCAAAAGGACTTCCTATGTAAGAGTCTAATTTTCTGGGCAAAATTTTAAGGATAGAGTTTAAGACTAGAGTCCACAAACTGTAATCCTAAACATTCTGGTGAAGACAACTGAGTAACATTTCTACCAATTCCCCTTCTACCTAATTCCTCTCCTTCCTGCAGAGTTTTTTGATCAAATTTTGAAATATGCCTTTGAAGTCAAAAGGTTTACATTATTTCATAACAAAGGGAGGAGTGAAACGAATTCACAATCCAGTGCAAAATGTCTCAGGAAATGAAGAGGAAGTTGCTACAATGGAAGAGATAAAAGGGGGTTACATAAATTGGTTCACCACCACACCCATTGAATAGCTCTGTCACTGCCAGAGGGAATCTCTGTACTGCACATTGCAGACTGAATTGTGCAGTGCATCCCCACAGTTTCTTCCCGTGGACCTCTTCTTAGAATCAGAGAGTCATAAGCTAATTGAGGCTGGAAGGGACCTCCGGGGGCCATCTAGTCCAAAACCCACTCAAAGCAGAACTCAAAGCCAGATGAGGATGCTCAGGGTCTTGTCTGAGCAAGCTGAAATTCCACAACCTCTCTGGGCAACCTGTTTCATGGCTTAACCGCTCTTACCATGACAAATTTTTTCCTTACGTCCCACCATAATTTCCTGTGATACTACTTAAACCCATTGTTTCTTGTCCTTTCTCTGTGCCCCTCTGGGAAGACTCTGTCCCTGTCTTCTCTATAAACCCCCTTAAGACAGTGGAAGACTGCACTTAGTTCCCCCTTAGCCCTCCTTCTCCAGGTTGAAGGAAGGCATCGGCTTCAGCCCCATTTTGTACATCCTTGTGCTTGGCAGGAGCCGGGCCTGATGAAGAGCTCCTGGCAAAAGGGGAAGTCCAAGAGATGCTCCTTGAGTGTAGGCCCTGTAGGTGCTCATCTCACCACCCGTGGACCAGCTACAATGGCCATGCACGCCACGGTGTGGGGACCAGTTCTGTACAGAGAGCTGAGCTCTCGGAAGGAAGAGCAGGAGCGAGGCGCTGACTAGCTGTGCTAGCACGCAGTTGCCTGCAGGCTAACTTCTCCCACGGCACGCTGCCAGGTGGCCCATAACCAAGCTCTCCCAAGAAACCAGGCAAAAAGCAACATACTGCTCAGCACTCCTCTGCGCATTTTTCAGAACAATCTGAACTGAAATAAAGTGCTTATTTAAGCGTCAGTTATTGCTCGTGTCAGTATTTCACTTCCCTTTCAAGGCACTGAAATGATGTGACATCCCCTCTTCTTTTTAGATGGGGTAGAGCTTCAGATAAAACGTCCAAACTGTGCCATAAATGAACAAGGAAAAAGAACTGGCTGCATGTTAAAAATATTACACAAGCTAGCCAGAATAAAGTGGAATAAATTAATTTAAAATTCCATTTTAGAAAACCCTGCCAAGTTGATAGTTTTAGTAAATATTTCGCTGCCTGTAGGGTTACAGAGTAAGCAGCTTTGGGTTTCCACCTTACATGAAAAGACAGTGGACAAAATGAGATGTATTATTTTACAGCCCCGAAAGGATATGTAGCATCTCTCAGGACAGATAAATACATTAGCTGTTCCGTGGGGGCTACATCATTGCAGAACTAAAGCAAGTGAGTTGGTACCATCGAATACTAGAAAAACGGTCTTGGGATTATCAGTGCAAAGCAAATACATAGAGAACTCTACGTGCCAAGTTATAAACAACTCGTGCAGGACATGGAATAACTGGCTGGGCATTCAGCTGAGATAGCTGTATGCAGCAAAATGGAGGAGAACTTAAGAAAAAACTGCCAGTTGGCTGTAATATATAAATTGTGCTGAATTCCCCATCCCTATGGTTTCCAAACAGTAACATTAACACTACCTTCAGCAGAGATTAATTGTTCCTTCACAATGGAAACACTGAGATTTAAGGACTTTATACTCTGTTCAAGTATGTTGATAGCTGTTTTAAGCAGACTATAAAAAGTACAAGTTGTAATTTCATAATTGTGTGGAAGTCATTGAGACTTAACAATAGAAGAAATCACACTCACAAAAGATTTCCACAGAAAGCAGTCATGTAGGAATTCACGTTTCAGCATTTTCAAGCTTCCTATTTGCCTTGAGAATGCCCTAAGAGTGTACAGCATGCCAAAGCAATTGCTGCAGAGTCTGAGAAAACTGAATCACTTGGAGGAAGTGTTTAGAGATAAACAAGGTACTGAATTTAAAATTCGCAACATATCTTATTCATTGAATTAAGGAATTAGGTTGATAATTATTCTGCCACCGACCCACCTCTGCCATGATTTTATCAGTCTGAAGGATTGCTAGGTCATGGGTAGTATCACTGACTTATATTAACATATCCTGAATTCACATTTTCAAAGCTTCCAAATGTTACTCCACACACTGAGAAGACAAAGCAGAAAATTATAAAAACTCTGACCACTATAAATGTTGCTGTTAGAATTTGCCCTGCTTGTTGCTCAATTACACTGTGGGATACACTTCGCTTAGGGCTGCTTCAGCTCCAACTATGGAGCTAACAAGCTTTCCCTTTTAACACTCTTTTTTCTAGTTGTGGTCTCTGTTATAATGACTCCGCATACTGAGGCATTCAATATGATGTCTAGCTGTTACTGGAAATGTATTTAAATGCTTCAGAGAATCATTCCAACACTATTTGGATTTTTCTCTAATTTGCAAGAAAGTTAATTTGCAAGAAAGTTTATTTGATGACCTCACCTCTCCAACAGAGTTGTTCAGAAGATGAGCTGAAATCTATTTTATTAATCCTTATTGAAGCACAATATTGGCTGGTCTGTCCATTTTAAAAACTTAGGATGACGTCAGATGATATGTACCCTCATGCCCCCAAGAACAGGTGAAATTCTATCGCCTACACAAAATACAGATCAATTTTCTTTTTCGCTGGGGAAAAACCAGAATGGTCTCCAAAAACACATCACTGTAAAATAGAAGTGAGATACTGAACTCTATTCTGACCTCAGATGTCCACTTCCTGACAGTTTAAACATACAGCATAGAAATTAAAATGCACAGAACAACCAGTTTTAGATTCTAATACTTCCTCAAAGTATTGAATATTCTTTTTCTCAAGAAATCTACCCATTACTTCTTTATTTACTAAGGAATGGAAAGAGAAGTAATAATATGAAGTCCTTTTTCAATGTGGAAAATATTTTAAACTGGTGCTTTGGGCATTTCTACTAAAAAAAACAGGGAAGAAAATCTGATTTTGTCAGAGGGAGGCTGAGCTTTGAGCAGGCAGTGACTCAGATCTCCTACAGCTGATTTAAATATGTTTCTCATTCCAGTAGACCATTTTATGTTACTAAAAAAAAAAAACAAAAAACAAAAACCAAAAACCAAAAAACAAAAAAACCAAGAAAACAAACCTCAACAAACCAAAACCCCTTAAATGTTGGAAAAAATAGTCAGAAATTGAGAAGTCTTTTTCCTCATCAATTCTAATTTTACTCATGAATGAAGCAATTGTGGTAAAAGCTGAATGGGTGTTCCTTCTGTAGTATAATTTCTGGAAATATCTGAGAGGCTAAAAACATCTTGGGCAACTTCTGCTTCAAAAACAGATGAAGCTTTCCTTGCTTTTACTAGGGCTTGTGCATGGAGGCATCCAAGAGCAAAATTTCAACACACAGAGAAATATCTTGGATTGAACACATTTCACTCTAGAGGCAAACTGTATTCATGTTTTAACATTTGTTTAAATGGGTAAATAACAATAAAATATAAAAGAATATAAATGTAAAAAGCCAAACAATAAAAACCCCAAAGGCCCCCCCGGTCTCCTGCAATCTCACTGACCTTCTTATATTCTTAGATAATTCAGTGACGCTAAATAATTCAGGTCTGTATGAAAATGGTTTTTAATGCTAACAAGCCTTCTCCAGTTTAAAAATCAGGCAGTTACAAAGTTGAATAATACAAGTAAACACTGATAAAACAACAAACTTCTCAGTTTTCAGCTGAAAACAGTCATCTTTGGATTCAAACAAGTGGGTAAGTAGTAAAATAGCAGCAAAGGATATAAACATGTATTAAAGAAACCATACCTGGCTGTGAAAGAAAAGAAGTTTCCTTTGTAGTGTAGCCAACAATTCCTACTAATTCTGAGTCAAAATGTACTATTTTAAAAGGATTAACATATTTCATCATTTCATTTGCTAATGGGGTTTTCCCCTTAATGTTTGCACTCAGGATTGTAAAATTAGCATTTTTAAGAAGAGGATCCAATAATCCGCTCACACCTTCATCAAACTCATGGTTCCCCAAAGCCTGTGAAAATCAAGAAGAAAATGTAAGATCCTACCTCCAATATTCAGACTAAATACTCTTATAAATTATATCCAATGTACATTTGAGAGAACAAAGTCTATGTTCTAAGGAAGAAAACCCTATATTGTCTAAAACAGCACATTCCTGTTTCTCACGAACACAGAAATGTTTGGGTTTTTTAGGTTTAGGTTTTTGCTTTTTACACTATCAATACAGATGTGAAAGTTGAAATCTAAAATCTGTCTAAATAAGTGTTTGTAACCAAATACCAGATTAAAATGCACTGGTTTTTCATCCTATAACTGCAAGAAAGAGGATTAACAATAACCACAAAGGAAAACATGTATTTTGTGTATGGAAAATACATTGTTTAAAAAAATACTGGAGAAAACGTTAAATGCCAATGACAAAATGTATAATCTTTAAATAAAACATGCGTTTTTAAAAGCTTGTGCTTGGACTATAGTTTTTTAAACATATTTAATTCACATTTAAGTAACAGTTCTTGTGTAACAAGAAAGTATCACTTCCTAGCCCTCATCAACCTCAATACCTAGTGAAAGCTCTAACGTTTATCAGCTAGTGAGAATCTCCACAGACAACCCATAGGAGGTGTGTGTGCACACATTCAGGTATTTGTGTGCGTAACACTGTGAAGTGCTAAGACTATCACACAAAATGAGCAGTTCTGTTCAATTATTAGCAAGGTAACACCAACAAGACAAGAATGTTTAGTTGCTCTAGGTTGGTTAAGCAAAGAAAAATGGACTTACCTTAAAGGACCATGGAATTTTCCCCTACCCACCCCTTTTCATGCTCAGACTAAGCTGCCACATGCTTGTGCCTGCAAGTTTGGCGACAGCTGGCAAATCCTCCATAGACAGCAACTTTGCAGAAGCACAATATATGCAAGAAGCTTGTAGCACATTAGAGTGTTAGTGAAGGAAAAGATATATCTATAGAAACGTGGTAATAGTGTAACTTGGCACGTGGTAACTTGGTACAGGTTTTCAGGTGGCAACTGGAGTAAAGCATGAAAGGGGTGCTAGAGCCACCGGGCCAACTCTTCCAGACAAAAGCATGCTCTTAATTCCGTTCTGAAGATTAAGTGGGGAAAGTTGCATTCATCATCTAAAAAGACATATATACCTCCCTGCTCTACTTAGATAAACAATTGCTAGGTGCTTGTTCCAAACAGTTTATATTAACACTGATTGCTTTCCAACCCAAGCAGGACCCTGAAGACACTACAGAAGGCACAGAAGCTCTGTATTTCAATCAGCAACTCAGCAGTGTCTTTTTTTTGGGGGAGACAAAGACTCCCGACTCCTCTGATCCCTGCAGGCAGGTAGTCAGTGGCCCCATGGAAAAATCAGGATATCAGCAGTAACTTGCACTGGCAGCCAACTGCTCCTGCTGACGCTAGTGAGAACACTACTCACACCCCAGGGAAGGAGCAGAATTGTTTTCCTGCTGCTGTAGCACTTTTCCTAAAGAACCGAGAACTATCTTTAAGAAAATCCTGACTCGGGAAGACACAATCCACTCCATTTCTAACTGCGTTCTAACCGCAATCTAATTTGCTGTAAAAAATAATTAAAAAGAATAACCCTCTAAGGAAACTCATTTTGATGCTGACTGATGTTCTGAAAAGCCTTCCACAGACTGGTAGAGCATCTCAAAATGGTAACAAGCTATTTCCTTTGGCTGATGCATATGCCTTCTGTTCCTCCTAACTATGCAATTAACCCCTCCAAAAAAAGATTGCAAATGAAATAGGAATTTGAATTGGATGTAACTACCATTAGCTTGTTGGGGAAAAAAACAAAACAAAACAAAACAAAACACAAACCAAAACAACAACCAACCACTTATAAAACCTTGTTTCTCTTGGCTTTGTATCTTGCATTTGGATTATTTCATGTCCATTAGGATATAAGCTTTGATCAAAACTTTTCCCATGGTGTGGGTGGTTATAAAGTCTCTTGTTCATGAGAAACCACTGGTGGCTAATAATACAGTTTTATTTTTGATGAAGTTCTTGCTCTGGGGATGAGGATATGGACCATTTGGGGTTCTGGTAGTCTAGCTAACCACACTTAAGCCCAGAGCTTCTAGGACGCTGTACCTGTGCAATATCCCTTCACCAAATCTGAATCCATTGGCCAATGTAAGTGGAAGTCACAAGGGGAAATAAACAGAAATATTCAGGCACATAGCATGTGATCATATAATCCTCCTTTCCACAAGAAGCCAGGCTAAAAATATTTCAAATTCAAGATCCAAATTAACAGAAGGATGCAACTTAGAAGTAAAACCAGAAGACTTCTATCACCGCTTCATTTACTGCCTTCACGATACTTAATTGGGATTTTGGTGCTAATTACATCAAAAAGCAAGGCTACTGCCAAGAAAATTTGGGAGGCAATACCTAGCTAAAGAGAAGAAAATAGGCTTGAGGTGATAACAGGCATAAGTGAGAAAAGGGCAAACCTAAAATAGGAAATCTGTCCCATTCGTGGAACAAACCTCTAACGCTGCCAGGCTGCCCTAAATCCTCACAGGAATCCTGCCCCCATCCTGTAACAACTCCTATGACTCACGTTCCCTCCTTCATCCTGTTTGTAATCCTACTCCTGCACCTCACTCTAACCATTTCAGTAACCTCAACTTCTTCTGTTAGGGATGTGACTTCCCGATTTTGCTTAAAGAAACACTAGCTCACCCTTCTGCAGTGTGGCTCTTACCTTGCACCCTGTGCCCCCCAGCCACCACCCCCACTGCACAGTCCCCATGGTCCACGGGCAGAAGAATCAAAAAAGATGCTGCAGAGCTGCCCAACATTTGGCATCTGTCCTCCGGCTCTTTAGCAGCAGGGAAAGGTGCTGAAGTCTCTGCAGCTTCTCAGTCCATCCTGTCCCCTTCGATCCACTGACAATATTCAAATCATAATAGGCAGCACTCCACAGAGAACAAGTGGTTGTCTACCTCACCTAGGGCATTAGCATCCAAGAGAAGACTCTGGCTTATCCAGTATGTCGCAGAATTATTTCTGAATCTTCTTCTGATGAAAAAGCTCATGAGATCTCATAAACAGTCATCAGTTGCTTCCTACGTAACACGTTTCTAAAACTAAGCAGTAGTTCAACACTGCTGATTTTGCCTGAAAGAATTTCTTCTTGTGATATGATCAGGAACTGTACAAGCTCCCAGCCTGCCCATGAACCAGTCAAACCAGCAAACGCAAGGCTGAGAAATGACAGCCAGCTTTGGAAAGAAAGGTAGGAAAAAACAACTGGAGCTATTTCTGCACTGCAGGACCCCAAAGTGCTGCCCAGCTCTCAGTGAGGAAGGGTTCTGAATGCACACGCTCCTCCCTGTCACCATCGAAAGGAAAAACACTGTTAATGTTAGTTTTACGATTAGGAAACTATTCATTATGCCATGTGAACAGGGAGCAGTGTCCTTCACAGACCTGTCTGTCTGGTATGATGCGTGCTTAGCCTAGGAAAGTGCACTGGGGCATCCCTTTCCCTTCCGTAGCTGTTCTGAGGCAGAGGGAAGAAGTGGGTGAAGCCCTCTTTACCTGGGAAAGTGCAGTCCTTTTCAGAGAAGGCAAAACAGATGAAGACAGAGGATGTGATATGCATAGATTTTCCCCTCAAGCTGTCAACTGGGATGAAATAAATATGCAGTCACTCTCGAACATAACTTTAATCTTTCTCCTCCCTTCTGGTGTTGTACGCAAGCAAAATAAGCCACGGTAATTCTTTATGTATTAACAGGCTATTGCCCCAAGACAAAAGATTTAAGGACATGGAGTGACATCCTCCAACCTCAGTCTCAAATTCTTCTACTTTCCTCTCAGCACTCGGACAACCAAAAGAGACAGGGTAAAGATGCTGGGCTGTCACTGCCTCCAAGAGCTCCCTCACAGATGCGCTGCTACAGTCACTGGCCCACTCGCACCCAGCCCCTTACACCAAGTCACAACCACAGCTCGAGTGGGACTGGACACCACCAGGGTGGGATTGATAAAAACTAAAAATCCTCACCCTTCAAAACAGCACTGCCAACATGTCCCATCCGTCCCTTCCTGCAGGACAGGCTGTGAGCCTCGGCCAGGATTAACCCCTCTGTCGCAGGCCAGGCTCCTTGAGGAGCTTTTGCTAGGCTCGCTTCCATGCCTCTGCCGACCCTTCTCCAAGAGAGTCCCTCCAGCCCCCTGCCCGCCCCACGGCCCTGCCTCTCCCCAGGGGAGCTCTTCCACTGCATCGCTGCCTGTTCCTCTGGGTGGCCTCGGCATCAGCTCCCAGTTTCGGGCTGCCCATGTGGCTGCCAGCTCACGACTTCATTCGCCTGGGTGCCCATCACCTTGCTCATCGCTACTTTTCTCCTTGCCTACCTCGCAGCCGCCTTTGACCCCAATTTTAGCGTGACCTACAGCCTTCTCTGATGCAACGCTACGCACTCAACAAGGTGGCAATGCAAAAAAACAAAACCAAACCAAAAAAAAAACACACACAAAAAAAAAAAAAACCAACACGCCAGCAGGGGAGGAACGGGAGGCACAGACCCAGCACCCAAGGGGGGGGAAATCCCCCATCGCGCTGCTCGCCACCCCCCACACCCGCCCCCCCCGCGGCCCTCTTTACCATGGCATCGTAGCGCAGGAGGTTCATGAAGTGGACCGCCTCCCAGCCCTTGAAGCGGGAGAACCACACCGTGCCCTGGTACTGGTCCCCGGCGTCCAGCAGCAGCACGTTGCGATGCGCGGCCCGCTCCGCCGCCACCCGCGCCGCCCGCCGCGCCACGCCGCCGAAGCAGCCCGCCGTCCCCTCCGCGGCCGCGCAGCTCCGCGTCCCTGCGCCGTGCGCCTCCACCCGCCCGTGCACGTCGTTGGTGTGCAGCAGGGTCAGCCGCAGCTCCGCCGCCGCGCCCAGCACCGCCGCCGCGCACAGCCACAGCGCGCCCGCCCGCCCCGCCATGCCGCGGGGGGCTCCGCGCCGCTCCGCGGGACCGCGGGTGGGTGGTGGCTGCGGGAGGGGAGGAGGGATTGGGGAGCGGGGCGGGGAGCGGGCGAGCCGCCGGGGAACCCGCGCAACTTGCGCGCCGGCCCGGGGAGCTCTCCGGCCGACACCCGCCCGCGGCAAAGGCGCTCGCTGCGCGTCGGGCGCGGAAGCCGCAGGTGCTCCGCGCCCGGTGGGCGTGTGCGGAGGGCTCGGGGCGGCTGCCCGCGGTGCGCGCCTCCCCACCCGCGTCCTTCCCCGCAGCGGGGCTGCTGCCGGGCCGGAGATGGGCTCGCAGCCGGCTGCTGGAAGTCAAGCGAGATGAGAACTGAGCCAGCAGCGAAAGGACAAACTCCAGTGCCTACAGGAAGCCTTGGTGAATGTTTAGTACGAAGAAAGCCGTTTCCAAACCTTCACACGAAGATGTTTAAGGGTGCCACTCAACCTCTCTCCTCCTCCAGCGATACTTAAAATAAAGAGTGCAATTTCAGCCCTAAAAAGAGCTACGTTACTTTAAGTGTTGATTTAATTATAGCCCTAGTGTTTTTAGCGTAGATTCATGAATTGCTTTCAAGACTTGCTGTCCCTGGTTAAATGCTAAGCTTTTAGCTGTGGTTTGGCATATGCGTGCTGAAGGGAAAACCCACCAATGCCTTAAGTAAACAGCTCTTTAGGGGTATGGCGTGGGGGGATTGCCACTTTGGTAAGTCAAAGTAACTGTAAAGTAAAGCTCCACCTGCTCCTTTAAGTCGTGCATCCACCGTGCGGGTTCACATCTTCTACCACTACGAAATGATGAAATTATCTGGAGAAGTACATTTTCTTACAGTTAGCTTCTGAAGTGTTGTAACTTCTCTATACTTTCTTGCAACTTTTGGATAATTGCACATTATAAGGAGGGAGTGACTGGTCGATTTTTTTCTTAAAAACAGAACCTTCCCCACTGTGCAGAGAACGTCCTACAGCATTACAGAAGCTGTACGAGCTGCTGTCTCCTTTCCACCAGATGATGTCATGTCCCGGTTTCCTGGGTACCCGAAGTCCACAGGATGGAATCTGAACTCATTTGGTCTGTTTGTTTCCTCAGATGGCTGGAAAGTGAATGAACCTGCATTTTCTCCCATGATGGCTATGCTTCACTGTACCCCTGCTTCCATACGTGACTTGAATTGAAAGAGCTGTGTGGTATCTTCTCATTCCCTCGGGTGACTGCCCTGTGCACTGCCTACCCCGTCCCAGAGGAATCCCTACTGGCATCTGGAATTGTCCTTCCTCTCCTCCTCTTCACATCCCCCCCTTGGCTACACTTCCCCCATCCACTGGCCTGTGCTGACAGCCTGGCTGGGATTCAGTTCAAAGCCAAGACACATTTAGGTGCCCACAAGTAAGTGCCTACATGTGCTCTAGTTTGCTTACGTTTCCATTGTGGGCAATGGAAATCTTGTCGGGACAGTCACTGGCACTTAGAGCATGAACCGGTCACCCTAAAGTAGACACACCGGCTGGGACTCATCACCTCAACAAAGGTGCTGGTGCTGTTTGGTGGTCTCCAGGTCTCCGTCTGGAAAGGATGATCTTGTGTAGGTCCTGCGTTGTATCTGCTAGCCTCATGTGGCTGTCTGGGGTATCTGGATGTCTCTTTTTGGGCAACTGAGTGTCACGTGCCATGGCTACTTTTCCGGACGGCTCTTCAGAGCGCATTCCCTGTACTGAGTAGATCTACACCAACTTTATGAGTTTAAACAGCTCATCACACGTAGAAAGTAAACACTAGTTCTGAGTTCAGTCACACCCACTTCATCCCAATCCAGTGGCCCTGCTCTGAACCTGCTAGACAAACAGCAACACCAGCATTCCCAAGTGGACCATATCTGCTAGGAAGTCAGCTGTGTCAGAAACAAAGACAACTCTGGCTTGTTGTGCTGCTCCTGGATGGCCAAACCTGCACGTAAGTGTGCACCAAACACCATTTATCTCTTTGGCATCTGTTTGGCCTTGCCTTCTTTCCTCATCAATCACTGCCCCCAGCCACACCATTTCTAAACAGATGCTGGTTCTGCCCACCGCAGCTCTGTGCAAACACGGAGACACAGCAAAAACCCAAAGCAAGCAGAATGTACTTGCATACACAATATTGTCTTTGGCTTGTACAGCACAGCCGTACCCTGAACTCCACAGAGCTCTTCATGCCCGGAACAGGCACACTTCAGTCTGGTCCAAGAGACCTTATCAGAAATAGCCTGGGCTGTCCTGAGAAGACACCGGACCTCATCTATCAGGGGTGGACAATGGAGAACTCCTGGGAGGGCTACTCTGCCTCCTGTGCCTGATGGCCTTGGCCGTTCACAACATGCCCCTTATCAAGCTTCTCGTTCTGATTCAGTGAAGATCTCATCATCTCATGCAACATACATTTACAAGGTGATCAGAAACAAATAGGCATCCTCTTGGTGTGGGAAGGGTTTTTTGACGACAGTGCCTTTATCCTGGGAAGCAGCTTCCTGGATATTAATTAAGGCAAGAAGTGGGAGAATATGTGAGACCAGCCTTGTGCTAAAAAGGCCTACTCTGGAACCATGCCATGATGGCCAGAGCAGGGATGTGCTACTAAAACAGGATGTCCACTAGATATCTTATCCATCTGCTTCTATCACAGCCTCTGCAGCCTACCACTGATGTTTGTCATGGTTTGAGCCCAGAGGGCAACGGAGCACCATGCAGCCCTTCGCTCGCCCCTTCCTCTCTTACTAATGGGAACTGAGAAAAATGAAGCAAAATGCATCAGGAATCCAGATAAAGTCAGGGAGGGGCAGATCACCCATTATGGTCACAGGCAAAAGAGACAGACTTGTTAGGGGAAGAGAAGAAAACATCACTTTAATTCAAACACTGACAAAGACAACAAGGTGGGACAATGAGAAGTGCCACCACATGCAAAACCACTTTCCCCCACCCCTCCCTTCTTCCCAGGCTCAGCTCTGCTCCTCATCTCTCCACCTCCTCCCCCAGCAGTGCAGGGGCAGGGGATGGGGGTTACAGTCAGTTCATCGCTCCTTCCCTCTCTGCAGCTGGGTGAACGCCACACATTCCTCCCCTGCTCCACGGGGCTCCCCTCTCACTGCAGACAGCCCTCCACAAACCTTCTTCAGCATGGGGCCTCCCCACGGGATGCAGCTGTTCCTGTGTTGCTTCAGCGTGGGTCCCCCCCGCGTGTTGCAGCCTTCCCAGCGCCGAACCACAACCGCGGGGGCTTCTCCCCGCAGAGCCCCGGCCTCCTTTCAGTGCAGCCGCCTGTCCTGGCGTGGGCTCCTCCACGGGCTTCAGGTCGGCCTCTGCCCCACCGTGGACCTCCATGGGTGGCAGGGGGGCAGCCCTGCCGCCTCACCATGGGGGTGATACAGGGGTGTCTGTATTCAGTACTGGCGTATGTCTCAGGAAAGCTCTTCCAGAGCTTCTTTAATCATTTTCAAAGCTCTCACACAGGACTGGTTCTGACACAGGCTAAAGTGCTGCAAACCCTGGTTGTGCAAGGGTAGGTTCCACAGCCAGGCAGTAGTACGTTGAGAGAGCATTGGTATTACCTCTCCTTCGTTTTGGTTTCCTTCTAGGAAGTGGATTGCTCTGTATTGTTCCTCTAGGTCACTCAGCAGAGCTGTATGGGCAATGAGCTCTTGATCTTCCTCTGGAAGTCAGCATGTAACAAAGTAAAATGAATACGTCTTGACCTTTTGGGTTAAATGTTACTAGAAGTAATTTCTGGAGCTTCTGCAGAGGGCTTCCAGTAACAGGCTTCTTCTGTCACAGCATTTCTCCCTGGCATCTCTGTTGCAGGGTCTAGCAGCTCACACTAGGCATTACAACATACTCAGTTTCAAAATATTCTGGAATAGACCAAGAATGGACAGCTCAGCTGTACTGGATGGCTTCTAGAGGAAGTCAGGGCACTGAGGAAAAGGGAGCCCACTTTTCAGGGGCTGGCTCTGAGATGAGTCACAGACTGGCAGCCAGCTGGGTAAACATCCCACATGGGTGGAATTTCTCATGCTCTACCACAAGCATTCCAGGGTGGTCTGGCTCAGCAATCAACTGAGCTGCTAGGAATGGTGGTTCCCAGCATTTCTCTGCTTGGAGGTGTTTGGCCTTTACATAGAAAAGGGCTTTCTTTGTTATCGTTCTAGCTCTATGATTGAGAGTCTAAGCTTAGGTCAACCACTTCTTACACGAGAGTGAGAACCCAGAAACAATGACCTGTCTCAGTGAACTTCAGAAGACTGTCACTGTCACAAACAACATCACTGGCTTCTCATACAGCTCATGGCTTCATTTTGCCCCAGCTCACATAGTCTCTGAGACATACTGTCATGGCTTTTCACGGGCTGAACAAGATGCACTTCCTCCTTGCGTACTCTCCCACCATTGTGGTAGTGGGCTCCTAGGTATGCCTCAGAAGACAGAACAATCCCCCACACTGTTCCTTCCCTCAGTAAAACCTCTGGACAGCACTCTCATTTCCACCCTGGTGGAGTGGGGATCCTCATCCCCTATCCCCCTCCTGTGTCTAACCAGTAAGAATTTTCATTGTAATGCTTAGTCCAAACACTGAATCATAGAAAGGTTTGGGTTGGAAGGGACCTTAAAGACCATCTAGTTCCAACCTCCCTGCCATGGGTAGGGACCCTTTCCAATAGGCCAGTGTGCTCAAAGCCCCGTCCAGCCTGGCCTTGAACCCTTCCAGGGAGGGGGCAGCCACAGCTGCTCTGGGTACCCTGTGCCACTGTCTCACCACCCTCACAGGAAAGAATTTATTCCTTACATCTAATCTAGATCTACCCTCTCTCAGTTTAAAACCATTACCCCTTGTCCAATCATTACACCTTCTGATCAAGAGTCCCTCCCCACCTTTCCTGTAGCCCCCTTTAGGTACTGGCAGGCCGCTATAAGGTCTCCCCAGAGCCTTCTCCAGGCTGAACCACCCCAGCTCTCTCAGCCTGGCCTCACAGGGGAGGGGCTCCAGCCCCCTGATCATCCTTGTGGCTCTCTTCTGGACCCAAATGAGCAGTTCCACATCCTTCTTATGTTGGGGGCCGCAGAGCTGGACACAGTACTCCAGGTGGGGTCTCATGAGAGCGGAGTAGAGGGGGACATTTACCTCCGTCAGCCTGCTGGTCACATTTCTCTTGATGCAGCCCTGGACACGGTTGGCTTTCTGGGCTCTGAGCACACATTGCTGGATCATACTCAGTTTTCAATCCACTAATACCCCCAAGTTCTTCTCCACAGGGCTGTTCTCAATCCACTCATTATCCAGCCTGTATTTGTACTTGGGATTGACCTGACCCATATGCAGGCCCTTGCACTTGGCTTTGTTGAACTTCAGGAGGTTTGCACGCAC